TCACGAAAAGCAATAACTTACGACGTTCAAGTATTGTTTTTGTCGAAGCAGATGCCTATTTACACATCCGTAGAGATCCTCGTACAACAGAGAGAGAGCTACATTTACATAAACTAAGTGCTGTCCAAACGCATTCAAACGATTGCCGATTGCTGAGCTGGCTGATCCTCTTCATTGTCGGCCTCGCCGTCTTGTTGACAGAGCAGCTCACGCCGGGTTGGTTTTCGAGTACCAGCCTTGGCTGATCGTCGCAAGACGACTCGCTTGCCGAGCGATGCTGGGATGGAAGCCCCACTGTCAAAGTCTTCGTGCCAAATCTGATAGCATGTTTTGCGCACGCCTCCGTAGCTATGGCGCGACTTGGGGCAGAGGAAGCACTTTGCGTCTGCGTGTGAGCAATCCTCACAATAATAGGTCGTTTGAAAGGATTTTTTTCGATCGCCTCGTAGAAGAGCGCATACTTTGCAAGAGCGTTGCCGGCGCTTTTGGGTGCCTGAAACGGTGACCCAGTCGTCGAACTGGATGTGTTTGTGACCGTCTAGTCGGCGGCGCTTGCGAGAGCGAGCCATAGGAGAAGGTGTAGGAGCAGTAGCTTCAATGAAGTCGTCGGCTTTGAGTTGCATCAATTGCTTATGAAGTAGAAGATACCATTCTTCACGATTTTTTGGTACCAGCCTCTTGATCCGGCATGTTTCCTTGTGTGTGAGATACGCATTGACGAGTGCCATGTCCATGAAACCCATGAACAGTGACTTGTAATACTTCCTGAAACGGAAAGCCGTTTGGATTGAATAGGACTGCAGGCGAAGTTGATCATGTACATCAACTCCGCCCATCCAGCGTTGGTAATCAGTAACTAACTTTGGGCATTTGACGCAAGACGGCCCGACCATCTTGACGTTACGACGAATAGAGTCCTCTGCCATGACCGGACCCGTGGCCAGGTAGTGGACCAGCTTTCGGTCCCACCAGTGGCAAGCTATCATGGTCGGTATAGCAGTGGAGCGAGAGAACGCAAAAGTACCACGCTCAATCGCTCGAGGACGTGTTTTACGGTTCTCAATAACTTGCTTGTCGAGCCCCAGTCTGTTGACCATGATCGTTCCCACCACGTAGATACCCATCGATAGAAGCTGAATAGCCAGTGGGATAGACGAGTAAAATCGATCGATCACTACCAATCGAAACCCTTGTGATCGATCTCCCAGAACAACTTTCATGTTTCGAATAACTGCAGCAGCCCCCGTCCTGTCGTCGACTGCTTGCTGATCACCATCCTCAATCTCACGCTTTCCGACGTACACCTCGAATCTATAGTAGTAAGTTACGACGTAATAAAATATCGTATTACAATTCAAGCCGTAAGTTACGACATAATTTTTAAACGAAACAAACTTACCGGTGGCAGTATGCACTCACAGAATCGCAAGCCATAAACAACTTGGTTCCGTATCGATGGGGCTTGTCGGGCATAAACATCCGCGTGGTGTTGCGCTTGGACGTGGCTGGTAGTACGCCTTCGTCAAACGAGAACTTACTGCCGAGTGACCAGCCAGATCGAAACCGAGTTTGCAACGTGTCGACAACAGGCCGTAACTTCCACAATTTGTCTCGAATCCGTGGGGCTTCGTTGTTCACGCCATGGAAGTCTCGAAGAATTGACGTGCAGCGGTTTCGAGCCATGAACATGCCAAAGTTTCCGGCAGGTATTGCACCGTCTTCGGTCATTGACCAATGCCGAGAAAAGCGACGCGTCATTGGGTTCAGCATTCTTGCCACTAAGAGCCCAATGACGTGGAGTATCTCATGCGTTTCGTACGCAGCCTCGACGCGCAATCGCCTTTCAATCTGCTTAACAGTCTCGGGGGCTGGTACAGTGCGTTATATTTGCTTCTGTCGGATTCGCTTAGCTCTGGCGTGTACTGTCTGCTTCTTGTAGCGATTTGTCTCCTTGGTGATGGTAACCCACAGTGATTTTGGTAGGAAGTAAAATAGAAGCAGCAAGGGAGAATCCGCAATGTCCTGTAGCTCCCTGATCGGTACGGCGACGTCCGTAGACAGGCGAGGGTACCCTCCACTGTCAGCTTCGAAGATGGACGAAGGAGGACTCCACTCAAAGCTCCGGAGTGCGGCCTTGTCGATCGACTCCAGTGTTAATTTGCCACCTAACGCCTCGACAAATGCGTCGTCCATCAGAGCAACGTCTTCATCGTCCTCAAGTGTGTCGTCGGGGTACTCACGCCTCACGATGATATCGTCGCCACTATTGTCGCTGCTGTCGCTGCCACTAGAATCGACGGCCTCGTATTCATCCGAAAGATCTCCATCGCCCATAACATTCACGTCGGTTACCGGCAGTGCCACACGGCAGTCATCCTCTACAGTCTCACCTCCACACACACTTGCGCCTTCCTCCTCCACACTGGCGCAACCATCATCGTTGTCGTCCGAATTGCTCGACTCGGCGCCTGACAGGAGCCGCTGGAACGCCCCCACGACCATCTCTCGATCCGACTGCTCCAACTGATCCTCCGCTTCCGACTGGGGGTCACTGTCCGTGCCAAACATCGCCGATAAGGTGTTGGCCGACAGCGCGATGGATGTGTCTATCTGTGACGCCGTCACTGTAACGTCCACCGGCACGACCTCATCACTGCCCACCTCCCTCTCACTGTCGCCCACTCTCTTCAGCAATAAGCCCAGTCTCGATTGCATAAGCCATTACAGCATCCTCTTCTAGACAAGTGATATAAATTAGACAAATGAAGCACATAACCATATACGAGCTTCGCACTAGTAAGCGACTTCCCGTCCGGCGACGTGTACGTCCACTCCTTCGCAAGTCCACCGGAATGTCTCTTCGACGTCCATCCCTTTGCGCGTAGCTGCCGCCAGAGATGCTTGAAGTCGATGGCACGCACGTCCATCGTGCTGGCAACTGCTGATTGCTTCGTCCGCGTACTTGATCGAACTCTCGCCATGGTGGCAAGTTCTTGAATGAGACACCAGTGGCTCGAGTCGGCGCTCTCGGCCACTCATCATTCTGTTCGGTGCAGCACATCTACCCTTCCCCCACCCTTTCTTTTACATTTGTTATATAATTTGCCTCCAAACTTTGACTTGGTTAAAGTATCGTGTCCTCTTTTTTCGAGCCATTTTCTGTTTAAAGGCTCGAATTACGTCGTAAGTTACGACTTTCGCCCTACTCAAAGTCGTAACTTACGACGTTGGTAACAGAGGGGTTAATAAAGTTTCGCTGTGCATAGCACATTGATGAAACGTTCAACGTCTAGATCAATAGAGGTTAAGGTGGACAGGTAATCCCGACTCGACGTTGCGTCCCAACCTGGTACGACTGCGGAAACGGAGCCGGGAGACAACTGCGTGGTCTGAGCAACGGCCTGAACGAAAGTGCAGTGACAACAAGAAAAATTATGTTTCAGTGACATACAATCCTCACCACCCAACCGACATTCACAACTGCCTAGCAAAAACCTTCTACGGTAGATGATCTAGATTTGGAATTGTCTAGTTCTACCTTTACTGTATATACAAAGAAATTTGGAGACTAGCGACCTCGCTCGACAAAGGGGATGACGTCAATGAAAGGTGTATCAAGGATATTTATTATATACCAAGAAGCTCAACTGATCAGCTCAAAACGATTCTAAGTTTGGTGGCACTGTTGTCATCAAGGACACCGTGGTCGAGATGCTTTGATGACGTGCTTTCAAGGACCCTTTGACGTGTATTCCTACACTTCACTCACGTGCTGATGCATTTTTAGCTTTTTGTCTTTTGGAGATCGTTTTGAAAGTGCCCGATACCTTGCCGAAAGTTGTGTACGACTAGTGTTGGTGGCAGATGCGATGCATGATAGAAATAGCAGATACGGGTTGCCTGCGCGGTCGAGAAGCTACAAAGGATCACATTTTACACACGAAATTATAAAGGAAGGTTGTCGAAGGCTCAACGTACGACACGAGTTCAAGCTGGCCTACAGTCCGTGGATTAATGTAAGTGTGGAGCGAGCAAACCGTGACATATACCGGTGCTTGCCCATCGACTCTTATGTCTGATGCAGACTTTTGGACGGCATAGTAGACTACACTGTAAGGTGGGGCCAAAGGTTATCGCACCTACTGCGAATTCGAGCTGGTACGATTTTCAAAAGCCCCGCCTGGTCAGCCTACAGACTCATAAAAAGCTAACAGCATTTTAGTTGTTTAAGACCTACTACAGCTTGAGGTGTGATCAGCCTGAGGTCCTGAGCTGTGAGTATCATCTCCGACCTTCCGTGTAGACAGCGATCATCCAGTAACAGGAGATCGGGCCTTACTAAAAAAATAGTACTGGCGGTTTAGACTAAAAGAAGTTTGATCCAATATTGCATAGTGTTAGTGGGTCTGTCAGGAAATCGGAGTGACTAGAGAGGATATTTTACCGGCTAGAATAGCTGCTACAGGCGTTACGATCGACATGATTGAAGTAGTCATGCGCCTGAAACGAGTAAGGTAGGCTGTGAGGCACAGCTAGCTTCGTGATGCGCAATTGCCGTAGCATGCAGCACGTACAACTTGACAAACCGCCGTAGCATCGGCATAAATGCAGTTAACGCGGATTCAGTCGAGACCAAAACAAAAGTGTAATGGATAAAGGAACCTATGGCCTATTGGCGGATCGCATGTGCGTTTGGATGAAAGCTATTACATGGTACATTTCAACGCTATTGTGGCGGAAATACAATTTCTACCTTGCTTGGCATTCCCACCGACGCCCCCCCCACACACACACATACACTTACACACACACCAGCCGAGTCTGCGAAACTCACAAGAATATACTACCACGTCTTCGGGTATTCATTTAAACATGCTTAAATGCAGTGAGATTCACTATTTTTAGAATCAAAGTAGTATGTAGAAAATAAAGCGGCAAAATGCTCTCTCTCTCTCTCTCTCTCTCTCTCTCTCTCTCTCTCTCTCTCTCTGACCTTTGGTCTATTTGCGCTTCTTCTTGTTCGCGTAATGCGCAACAAATTCTGGAAAGTTGTCAATATCATCGTGTCTGGTCTCGATCCCGATCTCGTTCAATGTGGCCCAATATCTTTCAAGCGTTCCATTGATTTCGGCCATTTCAGCTTCTTCGGTGATTAGTTCTTGCTCCAATTTCTCGATCTCACTCTCAAGTGTGGCGATTGCATCAGCGAATGTGCCGGGCTCACTGAGCTCGGTGGTATTCAATTCGTCCAACGAAGAGTTCTTTCTCCGCAGTTTCTGGCTCGCATTTTTTATTTCCAACTGCTTGTCGTGGAGCTTGTACATGGTTTCCCGCACTAGGATTCGAAGTTTAAACTCGCATTTGGAGTTTTTGCAGCGATCAGTGTGAGCTTCAACGTCGTGCCAAATACGGCACATCTTATCTTTGCATGGCGCAGTGCTCTTACACATTGACCCTCGAATTTTGTTGCAAGTTCGCGTACACATTTTACCTGGTGGTGGGTGGCACAATAACGCATCTACAAATTGAATTGACTTGCGCAGCCGCTCTTTGAAAAATGCTGTCTGTTCGGGCGTACGTCGGTCTTGGTAGCACAGTTCTCCAATGGCCTCTTTGAACGTTAGAAGCCCTTGCTCATCCTCCACCGGGATTGCAGAGACCACTACGTCTTCATGCTGTTGCGACACCATTTTCTTTTTGGGTCTATTAAGCTCCTTCTGTTCCTCGTCGGTATCTGTATCGGCCTCGACGCTCTCCTCTGCAGAGCTCACCTCCGGTCGACGCCGAGGCGCCTTCTTCGGCTCCAGCACTAATTCCTGCAATGGTTTCTTCGTGGACAGTTTCTTCTTGCTGGTCCTGCTCCTCGGGCGCTTCGTGAGCAATGAGCCCGCCACCTCGCGCCTTTCAAGTCCTGCATCGTCTGCTACCGCTCTACCGGAAGCAGTAGTGCCAGGAGTAGCACTCTCCCTTTCAGCTCTCTCCTGTTTGATGACAACCTCATCACTATCTGCTGCTCTCTGAATAGGCTTCGCGTGTCCTCTAGGACCCCTACGACTAATGCGTCCCGTTGTCGCCTCTCTGGACTCCCCTACCTCCACCTCCACGTCCTCCTCCTCGTCCGAAGCTCGGAACCAGACCTCCTGCGTCGCCACTGAACTAAGCACACGCTTGGAGGCGCCACTAAAGCACGCGAGTATGATTCGGTCCATCTGCTCTATGAAGCCAGGCGATGTAGCCATGTTCTCCGATATATAGGTCACGAGTTGTCGGCAACTGCCGTAAGACCGATCCATACTCACATCCGATTGCTGCAGAGACGTAGGTTTTTGCTGCTGTGTGCGTGACCATTCGCCGCACACTGCGTCCACCGCCTGGGTGACCCGCTTACGCAGCTTCCGTTTGAGCTTCTCCACATCGTCATTCGAGCTGCCACCTGCACTCGCCGTCGCCATCTTTGGGGGCATCGAGTTTCGGATATTGATCCAACCGTTGCGCTTTTGGGTCAAGTCTCTTCACTTCACTAAAGACAGTGATACGTAGTCTCTTCACTTCACTAAAGACAGTGATACGTAACCATTTAGTTACAAGGCGTAACCTGTGTACCCCTTGGTTACGTCAGTTCTCAGAATCTGCAAAGCTCGAGTTCGGTGCTGACGTCATGCGGCGCGCTACGGTCAGCCCCAGGGCAAAAGGTAGGTCTCTGTAGCAAGCTCACCTCGTTCCCCTCTCTCTTAGTCACCCAACAATGTAATTTTCGTCTGCAGACGGCCCGTTGTTCCCAAGTGCACGAGCTCCGTCGGGTAACAGCAGTCGTGGGCGCAATGGGGGGCTTTTCTCATCTTCTTCGTCTTCCTCGGGGGATAGTGACGCCTCAGACGGAGAGAATGATGGTAGCCAGCGAGTGGGTGCGGTTCCGCCTATGTTAGGTGCCATGGCACGAAGTCGCTCGGCCAATACGCAGTCGAATTCGATGTCAGGCGGAGATTTCCGACGTCGTACCATGTTTTCCACTTCGACGACGTCACTAAGCTCATCTGCCAATTCGGGGGACAATGGAGGACACTCCTTGGAGAGAAAGGGCTTGTTTGAAAACGACGATGACGCTGGGGACTCGCTCGAGACGTTCCATGAGCGCGTGAAGCTCCGTCAGAGCCAGAAACAGTCGGAGATGAAGGCGCTCATAGCGCAACTAGAGACGGCCCAGCAACGTGCTGAGGAGCTAGAAGCCAGACTCAATGAAGCTAATAAGGAGAAAGAGGAAAGTGCCATTCGCACCAAGGAGTGCCAACGTATTATTGAGAAGCGCAACAAGCAGTTGATGAAGGCGAGCGAGAAGATGGCACGACACTCAGAGCAGTACGAACTGCAGATGGCCGAGCTGCAGACGAGATTATCGGCGATGACTGCGCAGTGTGATGAGCTGCGTGCTGATGCTGCGTCGACAGAAGAGACGACCCGACGAGAACGTGAGTTGAAGGACAAAGAGCTGCATCGAGAACTCGAAGCGCAGAATAAAAAGCACGACCGACTTCTTCAAGCAGCGGAGGCGCGACTTCAGACTGAAAATGCGACGCTGGTTGAGAAATTGCGCCAAGTGGAGCAACAGTTGGTGTCTACAACACATCAGAAACCCACTGCGGCGCAGGTGATGGCAAGTGATGAGTTTCAGAGCTTGGTGAAGAGATGTGAGGATGCAGAGGCGATTGGTCGGGGACTCAACTTCCAACTGGAGAAAGAACAGCAAGAGAAGAAATACCTACGCAAGCAGTTGACAGCTCTGCAAGACACTGTGGGGGTCAAAACTGCGGCGGCTACAGCGGCATCTGTTGGTTTCTTTCCCGATGCAGCACCGTCGGAGGCTAGAAATCATGCAGCAAACGCTAGAGACAGCATCGCGACAGTGGTAGCTGAGGCAGAGCTAGCAAGCTTTGACTTTACAGCGGGTAAAGGGTCCGCTCCATCCAGTCCAATTGCTGCTGATGCCGCACCTGCACTTAGTTCTCCTGCAAGTGCTGCCTCAAGTCCAGGTCATGGCCAGGGACGCTCGCGGGGCTTTTCTGCTTCGAGTTTTGGAGATGATGCCCTTAAACCAAGGGAAGGCAAGCGTCGTGCTGCTTCCGCCCAAACGATCAAAGTCACTTTAGATCCTCCGGAAAAGCCAGCAGAGGACAAGACTACCACGGTTAATGGTAAGTCCGCTAACACGTCCGTGACTTTCTTTGAGAAGCTTTCCTCTAGATTCAAACGAGTTTCGTCTCCTCGGAACGGGGTGAATTTGGCTAAAGCTGAAGACGAGGCAGCCGAAGGAGCGACGACAGGTGAAGCTGGGTTTTCGTCACCGCTTCCTCCGCGTCAAGGATTCGCTCATAGCAAGGTGTTGAAGGAGCGTCCTCGTATGTACGTGGCAAAGTCTCCGTCGCATCATGAAGACGAGTCCAGCGATAGCATTTTTGGCAGCGAGTCATCCTCAAGCGATTCATCGGACGAAGACATGCCACCGCCACCTCCCCCTCCTCCACTTTCTGTGCACGAGGCGCCTCCGCCTTTTGCCTCCCCGGTCCATGTGGATATACCGTCGCAACTGATTCAATCCGATGCAGGAGCCGACGCGGATTCAAGCAGCTTAAGTGAATCAGAAGACGATGGCGTTGAAAGTCAACAGCTGCGTGAGGCGTCTGACAAGCCGACCCAGTTACCAACACGGTTTGCTGATCCTATGGAGACACGGGGACGCGTCGAAACGCCTGGAGAATCGCCGTCTTTCAGTAGAGTTTCCTCGTCTTCTTCATCTTTCTCGTCCTCTTCAGACGACGACGCTGACGAGCCTGATGTGGAAAAGAGCCAGCCTCTTCACGTGGATGCCAAGAAGGTCGACAGTCTGTCAGAGTCGTCTTCTTCATCCGATTCATCTTCATCGGACGAAGACGCTAGCACAGTCGAAATCAAGACTGAGGTTCACAGGAAAGTTCGTAAGAGCAGTTTACCGGGCCAAGATCGCCACGACAAGCGTTCGTCTCGCTCGCCTACGTCTTCCAAAAGTCGAGAAAAGAAGCGAAGCTTGAGTGGAGGTGACAACTCGCATAGCGCAAGCAAGAGTCGCATGAATGACTACATGGAGGCTCGAGCGAAGAAGCGCAATGAGAAACTGAAGCGCAAGCAAGAAAAGGAGCACGAAGAGACGAAAAAGAAGGAAGAGTACGAAAAGGAATGGGAAAAGATGGCTCAAGAGGAACGCGAACGGAAACGGAAGCAGCAGCAAGCGCGGCGAAATGGGAGAAGACGACCGGCCAGTATGAAAACGGTTCGTGTTTCACAGATGCGACAGCAGATGAATAGCAAGCAGCATCAGAAAGAGCCTCAAGTATCCTCGCCACCTCAACCGAATGACCCGCCGCGACCGCACGGAGATGACAGTGTGGATGTTGATGGCCAGCCTCGTCGTAACGTTAGACGGAAGAGTGAGAGCAAGACGTCAGAAAGTGAGGCGGAGGAAGAGCGAACGCCATCGACTGAGGCGCCACCGCTACCTCCCGAGCCTACGATGGCGGACACAGAGCTGTATCTTCGCCAACAAGCGCGTTTGCGCGAACGCCATGAGTTGCAGATGAAGAAGAAGCTTGAGGCTGATGAAGCTGACGCTGTTCGGGGAGATATTCATCGACGTGTGGAGATGTGGGCGTTTGGCAAAGAACTATTGCACATGATTCTCACGTTGGACCAAATCTCATCGAATGATGCGCTTAAGAAATGCCAACTGATGGTGGTACAATCTCCTGACGATGATACAGTGCGTAAGGCCTACCGGTGAGTCCAGCGATGCTGTGGATCGTCCTTATTGTTGTCGCTTACGGGGTGTTGTTTTATCTGTATAGGAACATCATTCGCGTTGTTCACCCCGACAAATTACGAGGAGCTACGGTGCCCGAGCAACTGGAGGCGAAAGTGCTTTTCACGGTGCTGAACCAGGCCTTTGAAAAGTATAAGAACCAGATGAGTAGAGTTTTGCCGTCATGAAAGCCAAACCCGAAATACAGCCCAAAGTTCATCACGGCAATAGCAGAAATCATGTCTATCTACTGTACGCTACTGCCTTTGGTGGTCAGCATTTGATATCGTGACGCTGATGAGTCGGTCGAGCTCGCGTACCAGGTAGCTTTGGGCATCGTATACCCCACTAGCCAGCAACAACTTCCGCTCGCGTTGTAGACGACCTAGCTCAGTGTCCAGTGGTCCGACGAAGGTATCGTCTGAATTTTCTAACGCTCTTTGTCCTTGGTCTGTGTCGGCTTTGTCCGTCGCTAGTGAGCCCCCCTGGTGATAGATTAAGGACTCGCGTTCGCCCCGTGACTCGTGAAGATCCAACTGCGGGGTTGTGTCTGCACGTCTAGATTCTTCGTATGGCTCCCAGTCGCTTGCATGTCCATACGCGCTATCAGAGTGGAAACTCGATCCTGGGTGACTTGATGAGTGAGCGTGATGTACACATGCAGTCTGACGACTCTGCGTGTGCCACTGATTGCGGTGTTGTGGCGGTGAAGTGGACTCATGTGAGCGCTGTCTATGGGAGCGTTTCTTCTCACTGTTGCTCCTCAGCTTAAACCCCTTTAAGTCGTCCAACTGCTTCTTGATCGCTCGAAGTTCGTCTCGATCTCCATCCAAAACGTATTTTTCCTCTCGAGCAATGTACTTGACACGAAGCTTCTCCAGCTCATCCACCACCCGTGCTTCGTGTTTCTTCTTCTCTCGGGTCAATAAGCTCGTCATTTGATCCAACTGGGTTTTCATCTTCTCGACATTCGCTTGAGCGATCTCGCACTCCCGATCTTTCGCCATTTTCTGCTTTTCTAGCTCTGATACATTTCCCTTGAGTGCTGCAATCTCTTCTCGAAGTTTGGACTCGGGAAGTTTCCGTTGCTGTTGACGGTACTCTGTAAAATCGGCTTCAACTTGCTTGGCACGACTTTCGGCGTCACTAAGCTGAGACTCCAGTAGAGCGATGCGTCGCTCATAAGCTTCTGTCTGCTTCTTCGCTAATGACAATGTGTGGTTTTGCTCACTCTTTAAACGCCGCTGTAGAGAGTCGTTCTCGTCTCGTTTAGCCTCCTGTTCTCGCTGCAAAGAAGACTCGGCCACAGCTAAGCGACGCTCTCTCGTCTCCAAATCGGCCAAAGATTTCCGTAGCGTTTGTTCGAGGCGCTGATATTCTTCCTGCGCTAAATTCAGTAAGTTGCTCCGCTCTTCTTCACGACGTGCCCATTCCTCCTCGAGCTCGTCCATTCTCGCTTTTTCCATCTCTGCAAAGCGCCGTTTCCATTGCAACTGCTGAAGGTGCTGCTCTTGTTTCCACGCACTCCTTTCTCGCTCTAAGGCCTCCTTGAGTTGCGCTATCTCTTTTTCTCGATCACGTAGTTGCCTTGCTCTCTCCTCTTCGTGAGGATTAGGAGAAGACACTTCAACCATTGGAGAGGATTTAGTTGCCGACGCCAAGCGAGTCGTTTCTTCAGCTTCTCGTAAGACAGACGTACTAGCTGATCGCTCTCGCATCGTTCTGGTAGAACCATCCATGTCTAACTGAGATTCATCTGGCATTTCTTGAATGGTCATTTTTTCTTGCACTGAAGGGGGAGCAAGAGTAAGCCTACATACAAGCAAGCAAGTATTCGTCATGGGCCTTCTTACAACTCACAATATTACCAGCACAACGTACACTGCGCTCTGTGCTGCACGCTGCACTCCAGTATCCTCCAAAAATGCTGAAACACGGACGGAACCCACACGATGCTGTTGTTGCATTGTTGACCCACTACCGTTACCAACACGGATGATTGGAATGTTGATCGAGCAACTGCGATACGAGTGCGAGTACGCCTCTGGTCCAAGGTGAGTGTCAGGTAGTTTTGACTCAGTGTGAACGTCAAGCCAGTGAGCTTCTGCGTCGGTTTGAGTCATGAAAATCTCAGCACAGTTGTCTTCAGAACAGCAGAAATGCGCTTCCGAAAAATACAAGTAGCTCAAACTGAAGACGGCACTTCCGACCCTACACATAGCACGAACAGTGAGTATAACCACGAGGTTTAATATTCCGAGAAATGATTCGAGAGCTTACGTTTCTTCATCATAACAGACCAGGTCGATTCTGACAGACTCTTGCATTTCTTGCTTGAGCTGAAGCGGGTTCTTCGCTAAGTCGAACATACAATAAAAATTCATAGACTCCAGCTCTCCCTTGTCCTTTACAGTGAACCAGTCACTGGTGACTACACAAAATCAAAATAACAAGTCAATCATCTGTCATACTAACCAGCAGCAAACGTCAATACATACCCATCGCTGAGCTGAGAAATGGGTTCTGGTACCGCAGCGAATATCCTCCAGTCATCTCAAAATCTCGGACGGATTTCAGCTTGAGACATAACCGATAGCGGCGCACGTCTTGGCTTGCATCACCTACTACTTCACGTTCATGAGCATCAGATCTACGTGTGCAGATTAACGTGCACTGCCCCACAACTTGCTTGGACTCATTCAGCATGGTGTAAGCAATAGATCTGGGATAACCTTCATCGTCCTGAATGACCTCGGCGGACGCTGACGATGACGCAACCAAGTGATTGGAAACTGATGACAAACATCGGATACTAATAGGTGTATCTAGAGCACCTTGTTGTGAAATTTGACCAAAACCCACCGTAAGATCCCCACACGTAGCAAATGCTTGGTGTTTGGTGTAAGAACAAAACTTCAACTCGCTAGACACGTTTTCTGCTCCAGTAACCACCTCAATGCGTACATTTTCTTCACCAACAAACTGCTCAATTGCTGACGTTTTCAAACGCACATGGTCCAATTTGAATATAACCTCAGAAGCCGCATCCACTTCACCTTCAGCGAGTATAGTTTCATCGTCAAATGTTGTGATTTCTTGGGTCAGTACTTCAGCTTCTGGTCTTTGTTCGGACTTATTCACCAAACGATCTCCTTGGGTTTTGGTATCTTTGGATTCCACGAGTTCAACAGCAACGGAAGCAGAGATAATGGCTTCTTTGAAGTCAGGGAACGAAAACTTGCCATCAACGTCAACAGTGTCGCCCGGTTTCGGCTTGTTCCTCCCTTCTGCAAAGAACCCTTTTGACAGGAGTAGGTGCAACGGAATCTCTACTCCAGCTAGGACCCGGTTTTCTGAGCACAAAAACACCGAAAGGGTCCCTAAAGCCTCGAGACAGAGTGCTAGATCCTTCAAGCTGGTCTTCACGCGGAAACTATCGCGAATGGGCGAAAACTCGGCAACACTCAGGTTATGGAAAATACCAGTCTGGACTACCACATCGAACAGAGAATAGCTGAGCCAGAATCCCGTCTCCTCCAATGCCTGTCTGTTCTCACCCACTGAGGTTTCTACAACCTTCAGCAGGTTAGAAGCTGCCTGGATGAAGACAGACAGCACAAAAATGTCTTGACCAGTTCCGTCTCCAATCTGCAAATATTCTCCACTTTCGCCTGAAACCACAGTTGGTATTGCTCCCGCTTCGTCGACTGCCACTGCTTTGGCCTCTGCTCTCACATTATCTTCAAACCGTGTCACGGATTTGTTTACCGATCGTGCAGGCGATAGTTCTACCGGCAAAAAAGTGCTGGAGATCAAAATCTCACCACCAAAAGGTGAGTTTTGCAGTTTGAGCCACCGTTCTGGGAGGTCTGGGGTCCTTAACGCGCATAAAGTGTATGTTGAGATTAGTGTACTGGTGGACATGTCAATTTAAAACAAATTAACGAACCTTAGATCGAGAAAGAACCATCCAAAGCTCAAAATCGCTCCTTCTTTCTCTTGACGAGCGAGATTCTCGATCTGCGCTCGGCAAGGGTTCACCACTCCGGCCTCTCCAATACCGTACACAAACGCCTTAACCCTCGGAGCATACGCCTTCAGATGACGAAATTTCTCCATTGGAAAAGTCCATTGCAGCTTCCCTTCACCGCGTGTCCACTTGGCCTCTTCGATCAGTCCACTGCGTCGATACGGCTCCACCCTCCTCAGTGATTTGTTTCGTTGTCCTCGCTTCCTAGTCGACCGCTGAGGTGATCGTCCAACTGACTGAAACTCTTGTTTCCATCTCGATCCTCGCGATTGAGCGGCTTGTTTGTCGATCGTCGCAAACACCCGCAGCTCTCTGATCGTTGCAGAGTCGACCACTGGAATTCGCAGCATACGGACCTGCAACGCCGAGACGGTGTACGTCCATGCGGTATTATCCATTAAGCGACGGCCACTAACGGAGTTTGACTCGCGAGAGGTTCGTGCGCGCTTGGATCCCTCCTTAGGTACTGGCGTGACAGCTCCAGATTCGCTCTCATCGTCCGGAAGGTTCGTGTCCAATTGAAGCGTCGGTTGCGACTGTGCAGTAACGGGCGATGAACTTGGGAGATGCTGTGACTGTGTTTGAGGTGATTGAGGGCATGCGGGAGACTCGGGCTCGTATTCGTCGCTCGCATAGTCATCGTCCGGATCCGCGTCCGACATGGTCACTTGGCGAAGAGTTGTGTCGTTTCGCACCAAACGACACTGATTGGACAAAATTTTCAAGATTATCAGGTCTGTGTGATTATGGAGGGGTCTGATTACATGTGTGGAGGTCGACAGGAAGGTAGCGCATGGGTCTCTCTGGTTTGAAGGTATCATGTCTTAAACCATGTCGCCGCCGGCGACTCGCCGTGTATCATTTTTCGTGTCGCAAGCAAGACCAGGTACCTCAACGACCTTATCAAACCATGGCGTTTCCGCAGACCTTCCGCGCCTACCAGTACGAGAACTACGGGCCGCTCGACAGAGAGTTGAAGCTTCAAAGCAATGTCCCTCAGAAGAAACTCGGCGCAGAGCAAGTTCGTATCAGAGTTCACAGCGCTTCCGTGAACCCCATTGATTACATGCTTCTGGAGGCTGTGGGCCAGTTGTTCTTAGGCAAGACCCCCTCTGCAACTGAGCCCTTTGGCATTGGCTTCGACGCGGCGGGCGAGATTGTAGAAGTCGGCAAGGACGTCAAGCGCCTGAAGGTCGGTGACGAGGTCTATGCCATGACACCGTTCAGCGCGTTCGGCACGCTTGGCGAGTTCTCTGTAGTGGACGAGCAGTTCGTAGCGACAAAGCCCCGCAACCTCAGCTTTGACGAGGCTGCGTCCGCTCCGCTTGTTGCCCTGACTGCCTATCAAGGTATGTTCGAACACGCCAAGCTGCAGAAGGGCGAGACTGTCCTCATTCTAGGGGGTAGTAGCTCAGTCGGAATGTATGCGATTCAGTTTGCACGAGCCATCGGGGCGCGTGTGATAACGACTGTTAACAGAGTTTGTCAAGTCTCTGGGAGCTCACCAGGCCATTGACTACCAAAAAGAAAAGTGGCTGGATGAAGTGGAGGCGCACTCTGTGGATGCATTCTATAACTGCGGCGTGGAGAATGCTGCATGGAACGAGGGTGCTCAAGTCATGTTGAAGCAGAACACTATCACGATCCTGCCCATGGCGCAGCCGATAAAGGAAGCTGAGTTTGGTGCACATTTAATCGGTGAGGTTCACGTGCATCCATCTGCTGGCAATCTCGCCTCTATCACCAAGTACATCGAGGCCAAAGAGGTAAAACCTGTGATTGACACGGAAAGTTGGTGGTGAAAGTGCAGCAATAAGCCAGAAAGCAGATGGCTCTTGCACAGAAACGACAGTTCGAAGTTGCTGACAGCAACAGTGTTTAATACAAGTATAACTTGCAACCTGTCAGAATCGATTTCTGTTTTAATGATTGGAAAAAATAAATTGGCTGCAATACAATAGGTATGGTACGAAAAATATCACCACTTGGACGAAGACAAAATGACTCACATCTATGATCGTGACGGCAAGGTTGGTGTGGTGTGTTGGCCCTGCTGAGCGCATTACTCTACCGTCACAGCTTGCAGGTTTATGAGACGCACGATGTGGACGAGGCTATCGGCAGAGAACAAGAACAAATACCTTGATTTCGCTCTATCAGTTTCAACAAATGCAACCGTATACTCGTCAGTTTTGAAGCCTGTCATCACTACTGCTGTTTACTGTAGAGCTGAAAGAGTTCTTTGGTAAGAAACGTACTTAAGGGGGGAAATTTAATAAAATATTAACAAGCATCCAATATTTCTCGAATATCTGAGTTATTATTAAAATTTCCAAAAAATGGACTTACTATTATAAATTAGTATCGGAAGTAGTACTATATCCATAAATTTAGTATATATATAATATGATATTTACCATTGCCCCTGCTTGAGGCTAATGATAGCCAAATACACGTACCGTACATGTCGTCCCCTCAGCTTGACCGCCTGAGGGGATTACGTGGTACCGCCTGAGAGGATTACGACGTAATCCTCTCAGGCGGTAATTTACGTGGGGTAGAAGTGCAATACATGTACAGTAAGATACTTTTTCTTTCTACCTGGCAGTACAGTCATGCACTGTACTACAGTGTACCGGGTAAATGTCAGCATCAACAAGCTGATTGTGTTTGTACTGTAAGCGTCATTCACTCTGCCAACAACGGCGTTCGATTACGAATTCACCTGAGAATGCAGTTGTTCCATTCTCACTTTTCATTTCTCTCTCCGGATGGATGACGAGTTAGAAGCAATGTCATTTCCGAAGACCTATCGCGCGTACCAGTACGAGAACTACGGATCGCTCGCGAACGAGCTCAAGCTGCATGATGGCATCCCGCAGGCCGAGTTGGGTCCACAACAAGTGCGCATCAAGGTCCGCGATGCTGCAGTGAACGCCATCGACCGCATGGTGATGGAAGGTCTCGGCCAAATATTTCTTGGAAAAGCTCCGTCGGATCGCCAGCCCTTCAACATCGGCTGCGATTGCTCTGGTGAGGTAGTTGAGATCGGTACTGCCGCTAAACGCCTAAAAGTTGGCGACGCCATCTACGCCATGACACCATTCACCGCGTTTGGCACGCTGGCTGAGTATCTTGTCTTGGACGAGGACTATGTAGCATTAAAGCCCAAAACCTTGGACTTCAAAGAAGCAGCTGCAGTGCCTTCAGTAGCACTCACAGCGTATGCCGGTATGGTGAGGCATGCGAAGCTTCAGCTGGGTGATACTGTGCTCATTCTTGGCGGCAGCAGCTGCGTTGGAATGTTTGCCATACAATTTGCACATGCTTTGGGGGTCCGTGTGGTTACAACGACGAGCTCGCGGAACGTCGAGTTGGTGGGATCGCTCGGTGCTGACCAAATCATTGACTACACAAAGGAAAAGTGGGTGGACGTCCTCGAACCGCACTCGATAGATGCTGTATACGACTGCGGCATGGAGCCTTCGGCTTAAAATGATGGCGCGCAACGTGTACTAAAAAAGACTACGGGCCGATTTATCACGATCCTTCCTATGACGAAACCCGTGAAAGAATCCGAATTTGGTGCACAGCTTGTTGGCGAGGTCCACAACACTGATCCGTCGGCTGAAAAGCTCGCTACCATCACGAAGTACATCGAGAGCGGAAAAGTCAAGCCCATTATTGACACGGTGTATCCGTTTGAGAAGGTGTTGGATGCCTATGCTAAGCTGAAGACATACCACGCGCGGGGCAAGCTCGTTGTTGAGGTAAACCCTTGAGGAATATGGTTTGAGACCCATTGAATGAGAGCATAACAAAACTAAGGAAACACTTCGAAGTTCAGGGCAAACCATTGCGAGCATTAAGTTATGAAACTTTGAGTGGTGGGGGGGGGGGCTAGCAAATTTCAGACTTTCGCTTTCAAGGATGTTTGTGACCATGCGAGCACGCTTAGGTTGCACTTGAACCACGAACTTTTCTTGTGCGTGACACTTTTCAGCTTCGCGTACGCATCAAGTGTTTTTTCGAACGGATACACTGTATCAATCATAGGCATTGCCTTCCCACTTTCAATATACTCCGTGATCACTCTGAGTGTTTCCGCGGACTTATCGTCGGAGCTGACAAGACCAATAAGCTTCGCACCGAGTTCAGCTTCCTTGGTAGGTTCAGGCATCGGTTCCAACGAGTAAAATGATCCGTGTTCTTCTGTAGCACTTACTGTGCACCGCCGTCCCAGGACGAGGGCACCACTCCACAGTCGTACAAAACGTCCACCGAATGTGATGCCAGAACATTTTCCCATTTGTCCTTCGTGTAGTCGATGACTTGGTCGGCACACATAGACTTCACTAACTCGACTTTGCGAGTGCTTGGTGGCAACTGAGTCAAAGTCCTTAGCTTAGCTCCAACAATTGTCATTAGTGCACTTCAACTTACAGAAAATCCAACCAATCGTCGAGTAGGAGCGAAACCTGGCGTATCATGCGGTACAATAGTGCCAGTAATTCAGCTCCAAGAACGCCATTCCGCGCGATGCCAAGATTTGCTCGACGTGACGCAATGCCACACCACCACGTGCCGGAGGCAAAGGAGACGTCACCCATAGTAGATCGACTGCGACTTCAGCTTAATCGCACAGTGCGCAGAACTGTGACCGAGGCTGTTGATGCAGTTTGGGCTGCCTTTGAAGACGAGTTAACGCAAGTAGCAACACTTCCTCCTATTACTCCTGCTGTGGACGACTATGAAGTGTTCTATGACTGCTGCAGTCGTTTGGCTAAGTTCATCGAGAGCAATATGGACACAACGCCCGGGTTCTTGGAGCAAATGGACCGCCTCATCCTCGCCTGTCACAGCGGTGTCATGGGGCGCTCCGTGTTAACGAAAGATCTCCGTATCCGTCGAGGGAGCAAAATGAGAAATGAAACAGAGCACGCTAACACCAAAACGGGCCAGCTGAGAGCGAGGAAGCCGGTTATTCCACCACCGAGTGGCTCGCGTGGAATGATGGACGAGGCTTCGGACGAGGAGTTGAAGGTGACTGCTACGGTTGGGACAGAATCAAGGCAGTGGGCGACGAGGAAAAGACTGTCGACGAAGAACCATTCGCCACCGACGCTGCCTCCATCGAAAAGAGTGAAGCGATCAATGACGTCGGAGTTTGGACGTGGTAAGGATGGAAGCAACGAGGGAATGACGCAGCAGGAAGCTGACAAAGAGACGAAGAAGCGAAGAAGTGTGCGGCCTTTGTCGATGCGAGCGGTAGCTGTTAGACGCACTCCACGCCGAATGACAAGTCTTCGTCAACTGGTAAACGGGTTTGAAGATGGTGAGGATAATGACAGCAAGGCGAAGAAGTCGCGAGGTCATGGTGCTGCTGCTGGATCTACACGTCAAGAATCTCTCACAGTCAAAACGGGTAGAAAAACACGACGAAGCTTTAAGAATTTCGTGAAACGTACCTCTGGTGTTCGTGAATCCATAAAGAGAGATGCAGGCTACCAGACACGATCAAAACTGAGAGAGAAGGCTCAGTTATCGGAAAAAACTGACACGACCGAGTCAGAGCAAGACACACACGGGATCGAGGAGAATGATCCCGATACTGGCATTGTCTCAGAACCGTCTGAAAGGGGGACAGCGCCAAACGGGAAACAAGCACGCGATGAATCCCCCTCGAAGTGTGATAATGACGTGGTTACTAAGGTGAATGGTGTCGCTGACAATGAGGAAGAGCTTGAAAGCAAGACCAACCCGCGTGTGTTGGAACATGCTTCAAAGGTGACTGCCGTGAAGAATTGTGATTTTAAAGGACAGAAGACTCGGCGTAATAAGGTAGATTGCTCTGGCCAGGAACAAACAAGCGATGCATTGAGAAGTGTTGATAATGCTAAGAATTGCGAAGCAGAAGTCGCAAGTGCGGAGGTATCGACGACACGAAACATGCACGGCGATTACGCAAGATTCAACACCGATGATCACAATACTGGTAATGTACTAGACAAATCTTATGAAGATCAGGTGACGGACGCGCTAGCTGGCCGAGCGGACACACCTGAACAGGAGAACGACACTTTATCGATGGGAGACACTGAGCTACCAATTCCAGGACTTTGCGACGCAGGAATGCGAGCACTAGAACAAGTCAGACACTTTAAGTCATGCTTGAGAATGTCAATTCAACAAGTGGATGCATTTCACTGCAAGCCTCCTCCCGGTAAACGTTGCGTCAGGAACTGTATGAAAACCATTTCGCGAAGGTGTAGCGAGGGGGTTCCATGCCGCGACCACCTTTGTCGAAATTGGCATAACACACAAGCACACAGAGAGCGCTGCAAGAACCTGCTGTGCGAATTCAAGACTCGGATCCAACTTCGCGAGACGATGAACAAATCTGCAACTCTGACTATAGAACTTCAGTTGCTGATGTTGCAATGGGAAGAGAAAAGCCTGAAATTGAGCACAGCCACGAGTAACAGCTCGATGACGAACAGCTCAAAGGAGAAGTACACGGTCAGGGTGCTGAACCATGACATCGGAAAACTTGAACTCGTCATCGATGATGTTAAGGAAAACATCGCAACGCTGAAAAATGAAAGACGATTACTCACATCCATCCTCAGTGCAATCGGCATCGAGTCTCAAAACGATGCAGCTGATGGCTTCCCAGACTTCGAGACACACTACAAGTGATCAGGAGTGGACTGAGACCCGAGACTCCTTTCGTTGGTTCACACTATGTTTGGTTCTTGCTGAGACTTATCCTTTTGTTGCCAGGAAACGTCGAGACGGAAGACGCAAGTCTTCCACTTTGAAACTAACCTTCACCATACTAACCTCCACGTGAATAATAGTATATCGTTGCTTCGACACCCACGTCCCGAAGATTGCGTGCTAGCAGACGCTCAACAGCGTACCAGTTGAAATTCGGAGTTCCGTAGCCGATACGAGGTAGATGAACTGTGGCCCTCAACTCAAGAGCACGATGTGCTAAGGCCTGCAGCGCAGTCTCCAGGGCATTGAGTCGAAAGTTCGATGACTTGCCCTGCCGGACACCATTACCCACACGCTGTTTCTTCTTCCCGATGAATCCTTGTACGACGAGTAAGCACACATATCCATCGGCTGGCAAGTTATTGTTGGCTGCTGGTAGTCGCATCAAGTGTGCACTACCAAGCTTGAGATCGCCGTTGCGGCCAGCCGCTTCGTACTGCTTCTGGATAGCAGGTGACAGCGACGATAGGCTGCGAAAAAACCCACGTGAACACCAAACACCACTGTTATCCCCGCAATGGACAACAATGTACGGGCGCGAGCGTAAGCTCGTGAGAGGAGGATGACTGGCATCACCAGACTTGTAGTACAGTCGTCCTGGGCTTCCTGATAAGCCGTAGTCGTCAGAATTACGCGGTGATGACGGCGGAGATCCATCCCCAGGTTTTACTGTATCGATAGCTGCAGATGTATACTTGTTGGCCTTCCACTGGGCGAGTTTCCTTTCCAGCGCTTTTTGTCGCCGCTCCTCTAGTTTTCGAGCCCGTTCAACTTCATTCTCAACAACATTCTCCTCACCCTCGTCTTCTTCCTCGTCGTCATCTTGATCATATCGCTTTCGTGCTGTCTTTGTCTGGCGCTTCGAGCTATTTGTTGTTTCCTTGCACAATTTTTCAAGCAACTCTGCATCTTGTGCCTTGTTCGTCACGATCTTGGTGTAGTCTTCTCCTTCAAAGTAGTACATGTTCTCCTCTCGGAAATCCCCACCCGACTCAAGCAGTTTGTCGCTTTTCACAGTTGATACTGTCTCGTCGTCGGAATCTGTAGCCCTGTCAGCTGGCTGGAGCGATTTCCGGGCCAGAATGTGCTGAATGTATTCCTCTTCCAAAGGTTTCATCAGCGCGTCTTCGTCTTCATCGGCGGCCTCTTGCATCAGTCGGTGCAATCCAAACTGGATCAGATCCAGCAAACTCTTGTCGCTATCGTCTTCAGTTTCTTCATCTTCGACGTTAGTTCGGCGTGCGAGGTTACGAATGCGATCGGCCATGCGCATTTTCTTCAAAGACCGTCGATAAATGCTTTCTTCCACCGTGTTTGCACATAGAAACTTGATCACATGAATTGGTTTGGTTTGACCCAATCGGTACGCACGCGCTATCGCTTGGAGATCCGTTTGGGGATTGTAATCCGAATCCGCAAAGATGACCGTGTCTGCGCTCTGTAAATTTAGTCCCAAACCTCCAGCTCGTGTGGAGATGAGAAAGACAAAGGTTTCGGGGTCCTTCTTGAAGCGTTCAATGCACTGCCAACGCTCTTTGCCGCGTACAGACCCGTCGATGCGTTCGTATGCAAAGCTCTCAAGCGTGAGGAAGTCTTGAATAATGTCTAAGAAAGGTGGAGACTGGCTAAACAACAGCACCCGATGACCCTTTTGCTTCAATCGTGGCAAAATTTGATGTAGAACGAAGAGCTTGCCACTGTTTTCGTACAAGTGACTTCCTTCCACAAACGGCTCTGGTTCTGCTCCAGGAAACAAGTACGGATGGTTGCATGCCTTCCGCAATTGCGGCAAAATATTCAGCAATGGGACCCTACACGTAACCATGTAGACACCGTCAGACTCCACCCCCCTTCGTGCATTTCAAATTTGTACAGCATACCTGTTGCCTTGAGCTCTCGCTGCCCTATTCAGGACCTCGGCATTCTTCGCAATTACTTCCTTGTAGTATGCGCGTTGCATCGCCGACATGGGTGTATGCACGACCATTTCGGACAGCGGTGGCAGTGTAAATGCTCCCTGAACATCCTGCACCGTACGCAGCAGTAGTAACGGAGCCAGTAGTCTACGCATGAGCTCTTCCGCTCTGGATGCTCGCTTGGACTTCGCCTGTCGATCCTCCTCAAGTCGTTGCGCCTTGGCTGAAAAATAATCTCTGAACGTGGCTTCAAAAAGCTTCTGGTCATTAAAAATGCTCGGGTTCAGAATCGACAGCAATGCGAAGAGCTCTTGAAGGTCATTCTGAATTGGAGTGCCTGTGAGTATCGCCATGTACTTCGAGCGAAGTCTGGTCGAGACGATTCCGTGGAGTTGGCCCTTCGGGTTTTTTAATCTGTGTCCTTCGTCCATTATCGTCGCCTCCCATTGGGTCTTGTGAAAGAAATCGTGGTCAAACAGCAACATCTCATAGGATGTCACGACCACCAGCGGTTGAGCCAGTGGACTGGCCTCGATGGCCTTCTGTATCGCCTCCCGATCTTTCGCGGGGCCGATGTACATGACGGTCGAAATGCTGGGCGCGAACTGCTCGAATTGCTCCATCCAATTGGGCAGAACGCTCAGTGGAGCGGCGATTAGGTACCTACCTCCTTCAGCCATATTGTGCTCCCGGTCCGAGACGACCAGCGCCACAATGAAGGAGATAATCTGCAGCGTCTTGCCCAGCCCCATTTCGTCTCCTAAAATGGGGTTCAGTCCTTGCTCATGCTTACGCAGCAGCCACTGTAGCCCTGTCAGTTGGTAGTCGTGCAACGCCACATTCTTCAGCAAAGAAGGTTGGGTCGTAACTTGGTCCGCAAGCGGCGTTGGCTGCTGTCCGCGCTGCTCAAGGGTGTGCACCACCTTTTCCATTGGCAAAGTGAGGTCTAAAAGTTGCAAATGACCATCACTCTTAGCGACAAAAAAGGCAATCCGATATGCGCCCACGGGTGTTACTGTGCGCGAGCGGCAGCGTAGCGACGGTCAAGGTGCCAGAGATTGCAGTGCGATTATCGGAGACCGCGGAGGTGCGTGGTTAATGGTCGAGATGTTGCGGCTTTAAAGCTAAATTTGTTCTGTTGAGAGCAGGTGTGCGTGGTGCTCACCAAGGCGGCGGATTTCTTCCTGCAACGCGCGAAGAACTACAACCCACTCGCCTGGGAGAAGTTCTGTGCAGCAACACAATTACCGGGTGATGATCAAGGCAGGATTGTAGTTGTTCGTGATGAAGATGAATGGGCGGCGTGGAATGTTGTTGGTGACAGCGTGCGCCACATTGAGGTGCGACGAGAGCCAAGCAGTCGGCGATAACTGTACTAATACTCATCATAACCCGCTGTGTCTTATATGTGCTGCAGCTTAAGGACTGGGCGGACGTGATGCTGCTGGTACCGATGTCGGCAAACACGCTAGCGAAGCTCGCGAATGGTTTGGCGGATAACCTCCTCGTGCGTCTCTCGTTCCCTTTAATATAGGACCAGATGCATGAGTTTTTGACATTTTGTTGATGTTTTACCGTAACAGACTTGCGTCGCTCGGGCGTGGATCACATCTAAGCCCTTCATTTTTGCGCCTGCCATGAACACGGACATGTGGAATCATCCGATCACCGCAAAGCAGCTTCGCGTGTTGGAGGAATTCGGCTACAAAATGATTCCTCCTGTCGAGAAGAAATTGGCCTGTGGGGTTGTTGGTACGAACGAAAGTAGTAAACAACGGAATTCTCTATTCATAAGGACCGTTAACCTCCTGACCTTGTTGTATTTTACAGGCAAAGGAGGCCTTGCAACAGTCGACAGCATCGTTGACTTCACACTAGACCGACTGCGTCAGATTTCGCTCGCCAACTAGATCGAAAAGAGACAAAATACTCAAAAGTACAGGGATATGCACTCTACAATGGAGTCTTGGCTTCAACATCTTCCATATCGAGGTGGAAGACTTCGCTTATGGCCTCGATAGCAGCATCCTGTACATCCTTAACGGTTGCATCTGGACGTATACGCTCAATACTCGTGACAGCGCGATCGTCAATACCGCACGGAACAATTCGGTCGAACCCACGCAGGTCCGTCTTCACGTTCAGTGCGAAGCCGTGCATGGTCACCCAGCGACTCGCATGCGTGCCGACTGCGCAAATCTTGCACATTTCACGTTCAAAGTTCCCCTTGCGGTGTTCATCACCCGTAGATCCGTGTTTCTCCTCCACCCAGACACCCGTAAGCCCGTCCACACGTTCGCCCTGAATGTCAAACCTGGCAAGTGTGCGGATCACCACCTCCTCCACCTGACGAAGGTACCAATGCAGGTCTTTCTTGTGCTGCGTTAGATCCATAATCGGGTACACCACCACCTGTCCGGGACCATGGTACGTTACTTCACCACCGCGGTCGACGCGCACCAGCTTGACGTGCTCTTTTTCAGGATCAAATTTGACGTTCTCCATGTTGCCACCTCGCCCTAGTGTGTACACGCTTGGGTGTTCCAGGACAAGAACCACGTCCTTTTCCACCGATTGACCGGCGCGAATGGCCAGAACACGCTGCTGAATGAGCTGCTTCTGCCAGTCCCATGCAGTCTCATATTCGACGCTACCCAGACGATAAGCGACGCACTTGCGCTGCAGCTGCGGCGTCTTCATCGCCATCGCCTGGGTGGATAAGAGGCGCCTCAGTTTGGCTTCAGTTGACATGAACTGTTGTCGTCTCGTGATCGACGACGCTGTGGTCAGCACGCTCTTCCATCCGCTGCGCATGCCTATCACTTTAGTGCGGCACTAATAGTGCCTGGACAATAGCGTAATTGGACGTTAAGTTCGCATAAGAAGCGAACTTAGTAAAAACGTATTCAAAAATTATGCGCGAAGGAGTTGGCGCCACCTCTCGTGAGCAAATTCTGGAGCTCGTCCAGCGACGCGGCACATCACAGAGAGCTCTAATTCTCTTTGCACCTCAAGCATCAGCTCTTGTGCGCAATGTCAGTGCGGTAAATGCGTCATCAAAGGCTTTACCCTTGCTGAGAGCGGCAGTCGAGCGTCGGGTATCAGATTGGACCCAATCACCGACTATAGAGAGAGACACCAAACGCCAGCGCGTGAGCAGCAGCAGCAAGAATGACGTCGTATTTGCAGCTAAGGTGGCACAGAGCCTTGTGAAGGTTTATGCGGCCGCTGCCGGTGCTGCAGCCAAGGAAGACGGTCAGTAGACTCATACCTTTATCTCGATGAATAGGAAAACTTGACGTAATATCGCTGTTGTGATGCAGAATTGGAGGATTTAGTGGCAGCAATGGATCTGGCGTGTGTGGCGTTGTATGTGGTATGTACACTGGAGCATGCGGTGCGTCTGGGAGATCTCGTAGTGGACAATCTGCTCTATCAAGTTGCCAAGAAGTGTGCGGAGATTCCTGAGGTAAGTCGACTAGTATGAAATCGAAGATATGCGACTAACAGCTAGGTCAACGGTACGCAGATGAGAGAGGTGGCGCTTTGTGTGGCTGCATGTGTTCACATCCGACTTTGGGAAGCGCACTCGGAGCTTTACAATGGAGGGAGTGAGAAGTCGCAGCTTATGAAGCTGTTGGATCGTCAGGATGAAGGCAATATCGCTCTCTCCAGCAAAGTCATGGAAAATGTCGGACTATTGGCGGAATTTCCCACACCAAGAAGTCCCCACTCTGCTCAATTCGCTCGATTACTACTGGGACACACGAATACTTGTGTCTCGCTGCTGTCTGCCATGAAAAACTACGAGGTAAGTAGTATATTGGGGGGGGTATACCCTATTCCTACTAGCTTAACTAATCACAAGATGCGACGCTGTAGGCTGTGCTGCTAGTGGCGGAAACAACCCTATCTCCGTGGATTCCGCATCTACAAAGAAGCTCTCAGCAGGATGCAAAGTTGGCGTCATCGTTCAGTGACCGGACTTTCCGGGTACTGTGGAAAATCGCTGCGGCGGTGGATGGTGTCAAACCAAAAGCTACTGCAACGAGTGGTGCACTCCAATTTCGTTTGTTAGCTCTATCATTCCTGCTCAAATGCTCAAACTACACTTCTTCATACTTTATCCAACAGGTAGAAGAAATGCTTGACGACGATAGTGAGAAATGAACTGAAGCGGAAGGCTAACTAACCTTTTCTTTCGGTGGTTTGATAGGTGCACCGCGTTGGTGTCCAGCACGAACGAGCAACCAAAAGATCACAACAGGGACTCGAGGAATTAATCTGGTTTTATGATCAGTCAGCGAACACGTTGAGTGAAGCACAGCCCACTTCAACCCACATGTACAGCGTACGTAATAGTGTGCTTGCATGCGAATATGTTTTTGTCATACAGCTAAAGACATGTGTGTGGCGTTTTGAAATACCTGACAGTCCGAATCCCTTCAATGGGAATATATCCAATGGCTTGAGCACTTCGCGTTGATTTGTGAAGTGTCTGGGATGCACTTAAGGAGTGCCATGATTCTCGAGAATGCGGTCCAATATGTGCAGCTGTTTGGAAGCGCCGGAAAGCTCATCGAACCCTGTCTAGTATTCTCCATCGCAGGTGCTCTCTTCAGCTCAATTCAGTCTGAGAAGCGAGAAAACTGTTTGTCTTCTTCACGTGGTGGCTTCAGCAACTCGGCTATCGACAAGAATCTGGAAAATGCCTCTGGTAAAATGATACGCGATCTCGTTCACGGCACCTCCGACAAATGGACTGATCAATGTGAAAAGGCTGCGCGCGTATATTTGAAAAAGCTCGAAGCATTGGCACCGTTCAGCTTCGTGTCACTAGACTCGAAAGATCACCCTCTGTTTGTGCCGTTCGTGATTCGCTCCTTAAAGAGAAGCGCGACGAAAACATTCAACTATGTTATCAGTGTACAGCATTCTGCAAAATACCAGCTATACCACCAAGTCATTACGAGGTAAGTAGCTTCAGTAGTAGCGAATCGGGCTTGTCTTTCTCGTTTATCTAACACAATTACTGCAGTTTTGATGAGCTGTGCAAGGCAGTTAAGGAATTACGGTCTACAGTGGGTGATTTGGATGTTAAGATGCTGGAATTGCTCGTTCTGGAACAATCACGACTTCATCGGATGGAGGTTATACTCTCGGTGCGGTGTTGTCTGGCAGATAGTACTGCGACTACTAAACCTGCGTTGCGTATGCTTTCTCGACATGTGACTTCGGTTCGTGAGCTTTTGGACAACGCGACCCTGGATGGGAAACTAAGTGACTCGATTATCAACGGAGTTCTCGGCGATCTGAATGCTATTGCACGAGAATGTTACAGCTGTGCGACTTGTTGCTACAAAACAGGGGACTACCAGGATACGATTTCTGCTTTGCTGGGGGCGTTCGAGCTTGTGGAAAGTTACCTGGAGTATGTGATGTGCAGTAACATGAACTTGGAAGGGATTCAGAAGGCGCATTCGCAACTGAAAGCGGATGCCATCGCTTCCTTGCTGGCGCATTGCTATCGTGAATTGGGAAACTGCACAAAGGCAAAGCTGTTCACGGGGTATTCCATCCTGTATTGTGGAGACATGCACGAACAAACGCCGCAAACAAGTGTCGACAAGTACGTGTCATGCATCCTGGAAGACGCGAAGCTATTGGGGGAGGAAGCTCTACCTGTCATCCTAAACGAGTTTAAGTCTTTCTTGGACAATATCACCCACGTGTTCAAGTCTCGAAGAATTCCTGAGAACCAGATTATGGCGCTATGGAGAGCGTTCCGGGATGCTTTCAATCGAGAATCTGCCAAAATCGTGGTGAGCATGCGAGGCAACTCATGCGCCTTATCTGATGCTGGTGTAGATGTTTCACCTGTGATTCGCGTACAGCTGTGTGATGAACTTGAGCACTACTTGAACGTTGAGTTGATGAAGACAAAAATGACGGCGATGAACGACGAACTACCTCTTAAAGTTTTGCGAGATGCCTCGCAGTCTTTGGCAAAGCGTAAGCTGATTTACTCCTGCTATTACGCCAAACGCAATGTTGATGACACAATCGAGGGACTTTTACTCGTGTACCACTCCCTTACTGCTGCTGCTGAAAACCTTTCGAGCTTTCGTGATGCTGTTGGTGTTGATCTTGGAGGGATCTACGGATGGCGTGGCGTCGTGACGATGGAAATTGCTCTCATGATGAGCTATGGTGGTTCATCAGATGAATTTGTTACACCTGGGAGTGATATTTCCGTCAGCGAAGAAAGCGCAATTGGAGACATTGAGCGCTGTTTGGCTTATTGGGGTAGAGAAGATGTTTGTGGCTTTCTGTTCGATGGACTTTACGCTGTGCAGTGCTTGGAATCTGTGTGCAACACACTATCTCTCAGTTCGTGCTTTCTACTAGAACAGGCAGCGAGGAAGCTGCTAAGGGAATTACAGCAGTGTCAAGGTGCTCAAGGTTTGATGCCGAATGTCATTCCTCCTCCTGTCGGACTTCTTCATATGAACTCAAGTACCTCGATTGTTAAAGCAGAGGGTGAAACCTCAGCGATTGCAGGCAATAATCGAGAGCTGCTGTTGTTTGAGCAGGTTGACAGAGACTTGTTTGCTGCGAAGACATCGCATCTGGGTGCCATAAGAGATCAAGCATGCCAGCATTTGCTTCGTGCGATGAAGACACTCGGTGACATAAAGCAGAACGTGAAGTACTGCCAAACTGCACCCGTGGCAAAGGCGATAGGGATGCGGCAATTGTTTGTCCACACGATACTATCGGACATTCACTTTTACGGAGGACGAAGCCAAGACGCTATCGCTGAAGCTAAATCCGCGTTGCGAGTCTGTTGGAAAATTGCGAAAAAGTTCACCGCTCCGTCGTCGCCCAGTGAGACCAAATTTTTCGAGTTACCTCCAGAAATCGTAGCGGGGGAATATTTGCAACGGAAATCAGCACATTTTCTGTATTTCATGGCGCTAGAATGCTCGTCATGGGACTTGCTATTGGCTGCGAAGGTATCATTATGTCGAATAGCGTCTCTCTACAGCATGTCTGATCAACCGCACAGGTAAGCTCTTCACATTATTTGTTTTTGTTTGGCATATCAACTAATCAAGACGCTTGATTGTTGTTCCGTAGGGCTGCGTCTTATTTGACGGAGGCTATGCGGCTCGTTGGTGGCTTGAATCTGCGTTTCTTCCGCCGTGGACCGTTCTACGAATACGCCGAGTTGGAACTGAATGCAAACCACTTGGAGAAGGCGAAAGTAGCCATTTCTCTGCTGTCATCTAATTCAAAGTCGGACCTGCATTGCCCAGGAACTAGCGAAACTATCGTCACTATTGCTGATGCGTGTCACTCTGGCATGCCGTCGGATCTGGCTGTCATTGAGCAAAGGTGCAATGAAATTGTTCAGCAAGGAGATGTTTATCTCAATGAGGCCAAGCAACAGGAAGCATTAGCGTGTTATGCGAACGGTATTGAGATTGTGGAATCTGCTGAGGACTGTCGATCGCCCATTTCCAAGAGATTAGGACGAGTCAAAGCTCGATGCTGGCGTAAGTATACACGACTACAAAGCGAAGTCAGCGACTTATCTGACCAAAGAGCAGTGGAGTCACTCCTCGGGGCGATGAAGAAGCTCAAGCGGTCACTGAAGTCCTGCGATATTCATCTGGAGCGAGTCAAATGCATGCTTGAGCTGGGGCGCATCAATACAAGGCTACTGCGGTCAGCCTCGCCTCGGGCGTTCACTAGCTTAGGCCGGACGCTTTCTTTATTGGAAGAAGCTTATGTGCTGGGAGACCATCTAGGTATCCCCCATCTGAACCAAGAGCTGCGGACAGCGTTGGGGATGGCCTATTTTGCTGATATCGAGGAAAACTCTCACGACGATGCCGATTCCATGGATGGGGACGAACGGGCCACTTTTCTGTCGTGGGCGAGCAGTGCCTTGCTGGCAAATGCTGGCAGCGGTGATGCGATCTATGTAGAAACAGACAGGGATACTTCAACACCGGAAGGTTTAGTGGGGCAGCTTGAGCGGTTAGCTGCTGGCCCAAGCGCATGTCTAAAGCAAGAACCGCAGAAGTATCTGGCTCGAATGGCCCAAGACATTGCTGAAGAGGTTCAACAACTGCCAGACAACTGGATCATTGTTTCTCTGATGATCGGCGTATCGTCTGAGCTCGTGGTTACGCGTTTTCCCGTACGTATTGTATGATCATTGGTGACAGCGTGGCTAGCTAATCATGTGTGATTATGATAGACAAATGGCTCTGCTCCAGCCTCGTTTTGCCTGCCTACAGTGTCTTGGTCGAAGTGCATTCGTGAGATGGATGCCATTATTCGAGATTCGAGGTATGTTGGTGATGCACCGAGCTGTAGTTGCGGTGAGTGGCTAATAATTTGTGGGCATGTGTGGGCTACAGGAAGACTTTATCTGGTCACACAGCTGAAGAAACGAGCTCCTGGAAAGCCGAACAGAAGAAGAAATGGTGGGATACTCGCAAACTTCTGGACAGACGCATCGAGGAAGCAGTAGTTTCCATGCAGGTACGAACAAGTTGGGACCCGTGCGCGCTTTGAGTGATGAGCAACGGATCCTCTAATCTGTTTGCCTTTGATGTGTAGGAATCGCTCGGATTTTGGCGGTGTTTACTCGTTGGAGGATCTAATTTCGATGGTCAAGTCCGTCGCTGCTGGGATTTGCTGACCCAGAACACAACAGACCCCATCAAACTGGCAGACAGGAACCAAAGCTTGCTGTGTGCAATTGCGGATGCTCAGCAGTATCTGTCAGACAGTGAAGTGATCGACGGACTGAAGCATATTGCAGCAGAGATTGAAGTCCCCTTATCCGATTCCGTATCTCGAGAGGCTCTTCAAGTGCTTCGGACTAGTCGAGACGATTCAGCACCCAGTTCACCCGAAGCGACCTACTCGAACTTGACCAGCCTTAGCAAGGAGGAGATTGCGAGAATGAATGTTGGCGAAGTGAAGCAGCTTCTTGCTGCTGAAGGGCTCAGTACTGATGGATTAAAGAAGGTTCTGGTTGCACGTCTCACTGCCGCCCGTGATGCTGCTCTCGTCGACAGGATGAGATCAAGTACGGATCGCTGTGGTGGTGGTAGTAACCCCGACTTCTCGACCATTTTGATCCTGAATCACCAGCTCCAGCAATTTCCATGGGAAGCCATGGACGTGATGAGCCTCAGCAGCGGAGTGACTCGCATGCCTTCACTCGATCTAATAGTCCAGAACGCCAAGAGTTATTCACCTGTCCGACGAGACCGAGTGCGCTATTTGCTGAATCCTGCTGGGGATCTCAAGTCGACACAGCATCAACTGGGGCCGATCTTGGAAGATGGAGCGACATCGTTTGGCTGGGAGGGGATCGTGGGAGAAGTCCCAGACCCTGAGAAACTTAGGTATGCCTCGTTGCTTCTGGTTTCATGAGCCTGGCTCTGACGTTGTACATTCCTACAGAAACTATTTATTAGCCGCAGATTTGTATATTTATTGCGGCCACGGCTCCGGCGAGGCATACTTAAATCGTGACAAGGTGTTGAGTCTGCAGTCCGATTGCAGCGCCGCCCTGCTCTTCGGGTGTAGCAGTGGACGGCTGGAGCGCGAGGGAATCTTCGGACCTAGTGGCGCTGTGTTGGCCTATTTACGTGCTGGCAGTCCGGCAGTGTTAGCGATGCTCTGGGACGTCACGGACCGAGACATCGACCAACTGAGCGTCAACGTGTTGCAGGAGTGGCTTCTGGCGGACGACGAGGACGACGAAGACGACGACCAATCGCTGGCACAGATACTACAGTCGTCTCGAAGCGTCTGCAAGCTCAAATATCTTAACGGCCACGCTGCAGTTTGCTACGGACTTCCACTATACGTCGCCAAGAGCTGAGCGAAGGTTTTCGTCCAATTGGCTACTTCCCGAACTTATCCCGGTTGTAGCGATAGCGTCTTGCTTATTGCTACCGAACCTGCAGTTCCGCGACATGTTTTACATTAGTAATCCTGAATCCACCAATCACCAAACATCACTGACGTGGCGCGTAACCGCCATTCGTATCACCTCAAGCCAGCCAGTCTATAAGGGAGGAGAAGAAGAAGAGGATGGTGCTGCTGTGCTCAACGCCGCCAGCTCCGCTGCCTGTGGACGTGGCTGCGACTCGCCCGTTGGTGCAAGAGGTGACCACGTCTGCTGCTGCTCGAGAGCATGTTCGTGCTTTGGCGGGGACCACGTACGGACGCTGTGTGCTTGGACTCGGTACGATGAAGATATGCTGATGAACGATTGTTAGCCTGAATTGACGTCTGCTGATGCTGCTGATAGCGGGGTTCCTGACGATTGCGACGGACCATCTGGCTGCGTTTGTTAAGCGCATGAACCGAGATGTGAGCGAGGACGACCTCAAGGTTGTACGTGAGATTCTGCTACTGGTTGCCGAGACGGTTGTCGATGAGGACAATGCTACGTTTATCGGTAAGAGTAAGATGGCTACTTGTTGTTCATGCTTTAAGTGCTGACAGCTTTCTTATTGTAGCGCGTATTGGAGCTCACCCATTGCTGATGCGGCTTATGGAGCACGACAACGAAGAAATCCAGGAGGTCAGTATTGCTGCCACCAATGCGGAGTGTTGTAAAGCGCCAGCATCTGACTTTGCCCTTATGAATCGTAGGCTGCAGCAGAGGTCGTCACAGCGTGTACGAGCAGTCCATTAGCTATCACGTTCCCACACCGTGTGCGTCAGATTGGAGAAGTGGAGCGTGTGTGGCCGCGTGCAGTGCCTCTGCCTTTCGACCCCCGCGACAATGCTCCCAAAAGTGCCGACGGCAGTCAGAGCACCCTTAATGTGCTTATTCGTCAGGTGCCAACGCGAATGACTGGCCAGAGGAAGACGGGATATCTTCTGTGGGGTGCTGCTTTTGTTCTCGCACGCTGGATACATAAACATCGCGACCTGTTCGTGGGTAAGAGCGTGCTAGAAGTGGGCAGCGGCCTTGGACTTGGAGGCATCACAGCATCTCGATACGCGACGAACACGACGCTCACCGACTACCAGTCAGATACTTGCACGGCGCTCGAGTACAATGTTCAACTCAACAAACCATTTACGCACGAATTCGACCCCTCGAAGCCTGAAGTGAAAGTTTCTCTGCTGGATTGGGACCTCACTGAAAGTATTGAGGCTGTGCCCAAGGCTCAAGTTGTGATTGCCAGCGATATAATCTGCGAACCGAGCACAGCTGAAGGATTTCTGCGCGTGGTGCGCCACCACGTACTGGGCAGCCCCAACGGCGTGGCATACCTGATGAATGCCAACAGCCACAGTCGCTTTGGCGTCATCCATCTGCACGCGCTTCTAGCCGCGAGTTCCGATCTCTCGTACACCATTACACCAGTGAGCGAACTTCCGGACGGCGCTGAGCTTCTCGAAACAGTCAGCGATGCACAAGAGTTGTCTTACGAGTTCTACGAGATCCGTGCTGCGTCCTAGCTAGAGCTACAGTATGGAAGTACCAATAGAATAGAGAGCATTTCTATCTCTTAGACGAGAATATTGTACGCCACAGGCCCAGTGCAACGCGTATCGTCGGGGAAGCCCTCTCCGGTTGGATTCGAGTTGCCAGGTATTCCAGTAGCAACACAGGAGCAGCGTCCGGAGCCACATAAGTTCGATTTCGCACGTTGCAATTGTTCCTCACGAGTTTTGAACTGCTGACCAGGTTGCGGACAACTAAACGGTGACCTCATTTGCAAGCGCTTCCACTCATGACTTCGTTGACACAGAGCTTGCTGAGCAACAGTTAAAGTGCACGAGTTGCAAGTACGGCAAACCCGATCCACGCCCGCAGCGCAAGGTGAAACTTCGTACTCATCCAATGTACATTGAGTGCACGACGCACACACACGATCGGTTGCTGGAGAACAGGCCACCGCAATGTATTGACCTGATCGGCACTCGGTACATGCTGTAGAAAATCGAAAAATGACGAGCTAGTTAGTGCGATAGACAAGTACTGCTGCGCCAAGTGTACTTACGATAGCAAAGAGTATCTTGCGTGGCTCTGCATGGTTCGAGAGCGTATGAGTTCCAGGGGCATATACTGCATGTAGAACACTTGCGGTCCTTTAGGTCCAAGCACGAGCTAGTGAGATACGACCCTGTTGGACATGGCGAGCAATCTGCAACTGAAACTTGCAACATTGTGCCTGGTGGTCCAACAGCCTTGACGAGATTCCCCGCAAAGTCAGCCACGAAAGAGCTGTCGATACCGAGGAATGTACTCGCTCTTTTGATACCAATTTGACCAGCGCCGATGCTGCTAAGAGCTGTGACATCGGACCGACCAAGTTGCAAGGTGAGAAACGTGTTATCAGCGGGTAAACGGTTAGCGTCACGCAGTGTAGCGCCACTTAATGGATCTGGTTGTGGCGAGAAAAGGCGCGTAGTAGCGGACGAAAGCCTGTAGACATCGATACCTGCTGCTGCTTCAGCGAATGCCAACGCTTCAATTCTCAGAGTTGTGAAATTCACAGCCTCCGAAAAGTGCAACTTCAGCAGTCGTCGAGGTAAATCTAAGCTGTAGCCTAAGAGAAAAGGAGAATGAGTATCTGCAGTAAACGTTGTGACAGCCAGCGCTGCAGTTCTCGAAGTCTCGACTGTGATATCTGGAGCGCAGGCAAGAATCCCGGTGCTCTGGCAATTGTCGAGCACATACTTAAAAAGTCCAACTTCCGTACTCAAAAAGGCAGAGTTTGCACCTTTTGCCAATCCGGCAACACGCTTCAGCGAATTCAAGTCCCCAGCACCAACACTCAGCAGAACGGTGGTTCCATCAGTGCTACTCGTGGTAGTTTGTTGCGGAGTAAACTTAAAAGTTGGGCCGTTCTTTTGCACACGCTCGGATTGAAGCAGTAACGTTGTTACATTCAAAGTCGAAGCTTGAACTGGAATGTTCATTCGAAGTGTCATGATTCCGAGTGTCATGTCCAAGTCAAATGAAACCAAGTGAGGTCCTTGCGCAATCCCTTTTAACACCACTTCGAGAACATTACAAGCACCAACAATTGCGCCCGTCACCTCAGACAGTTGCAGCCAGAGCGAACGAGGATGAGGGTCGTAAGTTGGCGGGTCCAGTATCTTCAGAAGCACTTGTTTAACCTCGGTTTCTCCATTTTCCCAGGTAACAACCTGGTCCAAAACTTCGTAATCGATACCTGGTGTTGCAGTACCAGCCACGGTTTTCACGGTCACTCGCACAGGTACAGGAAAGCTTGCAAAGTTGCGTTGAATTGCCACTGACATCACTCCTGGCTCTGTAACTACTACACTCGGACAGAGCTGGAGTTTCGAACTTGTGTCACGTGATGCCAGTTCGATGAAGCTGAAATCAGGAATGCGTAGCACCGATTCCAGGGGTTCGCGAGTAGCAAAGTTCACCTCACCAAGGTAGACATCAGTCAGACTGGTGATTTCTACATACGACGTACTAGCGTGAGCCCCGTTTAGTGGAGCTCCCTTATTATTCCGAAGCACGAGTGCTAAGCGACGTGGTGGTAGCCTTGGATCTGCTCGAGGAAATGAAGTCACGACTATCTGTCTATCGCTTGTATCCCCCTCTTTCCAAGACAATTCTCGCTCCAAAGGTTCGTAATCTAAACCAGTTACAGCTGTATCATCTTGGGTAGCCACACGGACGGAGCAGTCTCCATCACTGCCACTGCGTCGTTGAATCATCACGAGAGCGACACCTCCAGACTGTACGGAGTATTTCTTACTTGCGCAGTCTGGAAAACATTCGGCCTCGAACTGCAGTGTTCCCGATCGAGCATCATTAGGACCGTTAATTGTTACCACAACTTCTCCAATATCCCTAATTGTTCCAGTACCAATTGTGGAGTCCTCTGAAGGCTTCACAGTCACCAGGCGGATACTAAAACTCTCGGCTTGTTCATATAACTTGTCATTGAGCAATCTCAAGACGATATTCTGCATTCGATCGGCAGAAGTGACAGGATACTCGTCTCGTTTCCACTCCAGTAGCTGCGTAACTGGAGATATCAACTCGAAGTCTTCTGGAAAGCATGCACTCTTGCACATAATTTCGAATTTTACACTCGCCGTGGATGTCGTGCCAGCCTCCCAGAGCACAGGGATTGTTAGCATATTGCCTTCTCCTACGTTGACCATAGCATTCTGAAAACTGAAGCTGCCAGGTACCACTGCAACAAATATGAACGATTAGTCCCACATTTTAAAGAAAATGCTCCGAATAAACTCACGATTTGAAGGCGGAACCAGCACAACTTGCGTTTGATTGCGGTGACTATTGATTTCGGCACCAATAGCATCGTGCAGCTTTAACATGAACGTCTTCGGGCTTTCTTGAGGCTTCCCGTCATTGTAGACGGGAACGTACAGTGCTTTCTCGAAATCTTCGCCATCTTGCCACACAAGGCTCACATTGAAGAGAGGCTTAAAGTCTCGACCTGCCACAGCATTCCCCACACCAGGAATCGTCGATACATAAACAGCAGCCCTTCCACCAGCTCTGAGACCACGTTGAATCGTTATGGAGGCGACTCCGAAGTCTTCAGTTGTAGAATAGACAGCTTGTGAGAACTGGAATCGACCATTTGTTGCAGTGGCCTGCACACATCTCAGAGTGTGAAATATCTCGCCTGTTGCGATGATACTCATGAGTAAGCATGTCAAAGACTGCCACAAGATCGCCATTACCATTTGGCCGCGGCGATTTGAAATTAGAGGAGCGAAACCCCGACGACGGTTCAATTACCGGTTGATTAGTTATCGATAAGCCACCTCCCCGGGATATGTTCTTCGTGGTGTGTGGTAGTTTCTTCTCGTTTTGAGCGCGATATTGCAAGATGGGTAAGGCGTCTGTAGCACACGTGCAGTATGATGTCCCTGGAAATGGCTCTCGAGAGGTTTTCCAGGGTCTTTTCAAAGATTTGGGGAAGCAAGCGATGGCTCTGGAAGCCATTCTGCGTGCGGTTTGCGGTCGAGTGGACAAACTGGAGAATTGGCTTACAGAAGTGAGTTTTGGTATGACGGAGATCGATCTGAAGCTACGAAATATCGCGCACAATATCGACGGTACTGCTGCAGTAGACGACGAAGCACAAGGACCCCATCGCTGGGCCATTCCTCAAGCGGAATCTGCCAAACCGGTAGCACCTACTGTGAGCAAGAAGCTTGGTACGGACAAGAAAGCGGTTCGTGTGACTGGCATGGCTGCTGCCATTTTAGATAGGCTAACAGCAACTGAGAAAGTTGAGAAACCAAGTACGAAGAAGAAAAATAAAGACAAGAAGCACAGTGCCAAAAAAGTAAAAGCTAACGGATCAACGGAGCTACCACCGGCTCCACTACCAGCAGTGACAGAGGCGTCGGCCTCAGCAAAACGTGAGCTTTATGAGGATACGCCAACGACTCCGCCTGTACCAATTCCAGCAGTAGTTGTCTCTCCACCGGCAAATTCAGAGGTTTCTCGAAATGAAAATGCACCCCCAAAGCAAGTGCTGGAGGAAGTAATTACGTCTACTGCTGCTGACGAAGCGGTAACAGTGATAGACCACAAGTCTACGAGCAATGACGAAGCAAGTAAAGTGGCTGAAATTCCTGCTGCAATTGCTAAGACCACAGAGTCTAGTTTGACGGAGCAGAAAACCGTCCAGACTTTCAAGGTGAAATCTAGTGCTTTGTCAATCGAGAATAATCCCGTCATCTTGGATGATAATTTACTTTCTGTGCCACAGGTACAAGCTATGCAGACAGTTGCAGCTCCATCAGCGACAGCGGAACCGATAATGCAGTCTGTTGAACCACAACCAGTCTCTTCAAGCACTCGTAGTGCAGTTGCCAAACCTCCGACACCCAACGTCACTCTTGTTCAGAACGCTCGTGACAAGATGCCGGTCCTGACTCCCTCCGTCTCAAGTATCCTGCCAACCGTTCAAATAGAACAATCCATCGAGCCTTATCTACTGAAAACCTCAGCTCATACAGTGAAGGCGGCACCAAGTGTACCCAAAAGTAGTTTGGAGCCTACCCGTAGTGGTTCGGACCACCAAGAGGAGGTACCGCCAGTGACTTCTACGCAACCCCCTCTTACACCCTCTCCGATAATTACCAAGGTGGTTAACACAACGTTGGAGAAGGAAGAAATTGCCAGCATTCCACCCCCTATCGTGGAATCTAAGCCGGCGTTAGTGGCAATGACAGCTCTGGAGACTAAGCCAGTGACACTTGACGTAAAACCCTCTGAGCCTATTGCATCTGCAAACACAACTCCAGTCACGGTTGCTCCACCCGCTAAGGAACATGTTTCTGCAGCTTCCAAGGGCTTTAAAGCGTCCGGTGCACCAATACGGCAACGAGAAGACAAAGCAGTATCGCACCATGATATCAGCGCTCCAGAGACACCAGCCGACCCACTTTTACCGCTTCGATCACCTTCACGACGACGATCGTCCAAAATGGCCCCTCGAACGAGTTTTACGAAAAAGCATGAAGGCAATGAATCCGCACGACGCTTATCAGTGAATAAACGCGGTTCGCACTCGCGACGCTCCTCGATATCTCTGCATGCAAAGACTGTAGAACAGGACGTACCCCACCCTGACCAGCCTATAGAGCCCGATGTATTGCCTGTTGAAAAAGCAGTACCTCAAGTCAGATCCCAGCCACCTCCACCCGCTGAACAACCATCACCTTCTGCAGCTACAGCAAGCACGACAGAACAGGAAAATATCGAGGAAGAGAGTCAAGATAGCGGCAGTGATTCTTCTGCCTACGAGTCAAATTCCTCAAGTGATGACGAGCAAGACGAAGATGCAGAAGCTGTAGTCGAGGAGATTTCCAACGCCATGACAGCTCTCAAGAAGCTCAAGCGTGCTCAAATGCTATCTCCCGAAGAAGAAACCGAGCTCAAAGAGCGTGCCCATAAGAAATGGTTCCAGCTCAAGGGCCATATCAAGGAAAAACAGAAGAAGGAAGTGACAAACATTTTACTTAAGCGCAAGAAGAATGTCTTCACTGTGTCGTCGAGAATTGAGCTGCTGGAAGAAAAATCTCGAGAGATTTTTGCAGCGCTCAAGGCGATTACGAGCGAAATACGAGACAAGAACGACCGCTCTGCGCACGAAACGCTCCGACGCCGAGTTGCTGACATTGAGCAGAGCTTGTTGACCATAGACTCGAGATTCGCGTCGCTGTCTGCTCCTGCCATGGATAATGTGCGGGACTTGGAGAATGAGGTCGTCTCGCTTCGAACCACAGTACAAATGCAACTTACTACTGCTCAAAACGAGGCAACTGCGAGGCATTCGCTACTTGAGGAAGCACTCGCGAATCAGCGAATGCTGGTAGAGACATTAGCGCTGGACGTTCCTGCCCAGATAAATGTACAAGCCGAGCTCTTCATGGAGAAAATCAAGCAGCTACCCGATCATACTGCAACGATAGAGAATCTTCGACGAAGCCTAAAGCGCAAAGCAGACTTGAAGCTGTTGAAAGAGTAGGTATCCGTTAGTCTTGCCGGTTTGATGATCTGAACTGACCGTAACATTCTTGTTTTTAAAATGCAGGTTGGAGGCTCGATTGCTTGGTTTGGATGCTGAGAATGAAGACTGTCTCGTGCGTTGTTTATCGTGTCGCAAAGAAGTTATCAATCCGTACAATGAGAAGGACACTGAAGCAGATGAACAAGATGTGGGCAACGGACAGCTTCGAAAGGTTAATCCAGGACCTTCGTCAGCTCGGATTTATCGCTCCAATATTCCATTTAGTGCCCAAACCTTCGTCCAGGAATCCATCCAAGAGGAATTTTCCGAGGAAACGTTGATTTCACCTCGAGCACAGCCAAGCCTGTTCGCCATATCTGACCCCCGGCCTTATCAACAATTCCAGGCGGCGGGTGATTCTCATGCGAGCGAGAAATTGGCGATTCCGAGGTCGGCACCTATCCTGAAAAGGGACACGAAACCCTCTCAAGCACCTCCGCTTAGGTAAGCAAGTCCCGAAGAATACTTTTTTGCTATCGTGCTTTAACGCTCCAACACTCCTACTTTGTGTTGCAGTCTCATGAATATCACGGCGACAAGAGCTATCTTATCACCCGATCGGCCAATTAGTGCACCAGTAGTGCATTTGAAGAAAAAGTCAACCACAGCAATTAGATCAAAGTCTGTGCTGAAATCATTAACTCCACAGCCAGGCCCAAAGTAGCTTGAACATCTTGATCAATTTTGTCTCGACAGTCGATTTTGCGTTTTTTTTTGTCAGATGAAGGAGCCTCGTCACGAGGCCCTCGTAACATTTTATTTCAAGTCGAAAACGAAAAAAAATAAAGAATGGGTCGGAGTATTACCCTCCTGCGGAGACAGCTACACAAGATTATTACGTGTATCGTGATTGGAAGGACATCTTGCCGACTGCATCACTTCAACCACCTTGAATATTGACCAATAATGTCTCGTTATTTTTTGGATTGGACGATTCACAGCGGCAACTGTTGGCTACCGACGAAACGGCTCGCCCTACAAAGCGCAAGAGGTTTTTCTGACAGCCATTCGGTCGCCGTGAGTTGTCAGGTGCATTGGCACAATCTCCTCGCAAGTCCTGTCGTCCTTTGCCTCTTCCTTTTCTCTTCTTGAACCATGTGTGGCATCATCGCGTTGATGCTTGCCAACAAGTACGAGCACTGCAACCAGGGGCTCTACGATGGTCTCACCGTGTTGCAGCACCGCGGACAGGACGCCGCTGGCATCATGACGTGTGAGAAGAAGCGCCTGTTCCTACGCAAGGACAACGGCCTCGTGCGCGACGTGTTCAAGCAGAACCACATGCTCAACCTGCGCGGCAACATGGGCATCGGCCACTGCCGCTATCCTACGGCCGGCTCGAGCTCCAGCTCCGAGGCGCAGCCGTTCTACACCAACTCTCCGTACGGCGTGTCGCTTGCCCACAACGGCAACCTCACCAACTCACACGAGCTTGTGGATCAGCTGGCAAACACCAATTTCCGCCACGTCAACACGGATTCGGACTCGGAGCTGCTGCTTAACATCTTGGCCGACGAGCTGCTTAAGCGCGTGGACCAGCCACTCGACACAGAGATGGTGTTGGATGCCGTCACCGGCGTCTTCAAGCGCTGCCGCGGCGGCTACTCGGCTGTCGTGCTCATCAACGGCTTCGGCATCGTCGCCTTCCGCGACCCGCACGGCATTCGCCCGCTTGTGTACGGTACTCGCAAGACTCAACACGGCACCGACTACGTCGTGGCCTCTGAGAGTGTCGCCATCGACACGCTCGAGTTTAAAACAGAGCGCGATTTCGCTCCCGGTGAGGCTATGGTCATCAAGCAGAGCGGAGAGATGACCACCCGTAAGTGCGTACCGGACGCCAAGCTGTCGCCGTGTATCTTCGAGCACGTGTACTTCGCCCGACCGGACTCGTTTATCGACGGCGTGTCTGTATACCAGGCCCGTCGTAACATGGGCTCCAAGCTCGCCCAGAAGATCCTGCGCGAGCGTCCTGATCACGGCATTGACGTGGTCATTCCTATCCCTGACACAAGCCGCACATCGGCTCTTGAGGCTTCGCAGAGCCTTAACCTTCCGTACCGCGAAGGTTTCGTTAAGAACCGCTACATTGCGCGCACCTTCATTATGCCTGGCCAGGTCGCACGGAAGAAGACGGTGCGTATGAAATTGAACGCCATCCGCTCCGAGTTCGAGGGCAAGGTTGTGTTGCTTGTGGACGACTCGATCGTGCGTGGCACCACGTCGCGTCAGATTGTGCAGATCGCCCGTGAGAACGGCGCCAAGGCCGTGTACTTCGCGTCGGCGGCTCCTGCTATCCGTCACCCCAATGTGTACGGCATTGACATGCCCACGACCGAGGAACTCATCGCCTTCAACAAGACGGAGGCTCAGGTGGCTAAGGAAATCGGCTGCGAGTGGGTGATTTTCCAGGATCTAAAGGACCTCGAGGACTCCGTGCGGCAGGAGAACTCGGCGCTCGATGTCTTCGACTCGTCGTGCTTCGACGGCAAATACGTCACGGGTGATGTGAACCAGGCGTACTTCGAGCGGTTGCACGCTGAGCGTTGCGATGCGCGCATGCAGGCCAAGAACATGGGTTTCACCCCGTTCAACCGCACCATCTCCACTCCGCAGTCCGATGAGAGCATTGACATGTACAACGCTCCGCAGTAAATGTGGGGAAGTCTTCCCAACCTGGACTGAACGAGACCATTAACAACGACCGATGAGATCGGAAGGGCCGAGGAAATGTCATCCGAGCGTGGCTTCCTCGCTCTTTTGAGTATGGCGAGGGTTTGTCGGAAACTCTCGCCTCTGTAGACTCTACATAGAGCAAGAAATGCACACCAGTTTCTTTCCAAACGCTCCCAACACACAGAAGATAAATACTTCAAACTAGTGTATGTCGGAGGGAGAGCATGCAAAAAAAAACTGCAAAAAATTCGCTCTCTTCCTAGTGAAACACAACAAATAGAACTTTCGTGATGGAATGCTGCTGCATGCTGCGCAACATTTCCCCCCCACACTCTGAGATTTGCTAAGTGTAAGTCGGACATTGGAAAGTTTTCCGTCGATCCATGTTACCCAATCTACTGGAATGGCACGTTGTTCTGCGCAAAATACGACTGCAGTGACGTCAACGTTGCGGGCGTCGGCAATTCTGTCTGGGCGTACGCCAAGTGCTAAATGAACATATACAGTGTCAGTTACCACAGACACTTCTTGAAATAAGTAAAAGAACGCACCACGCCAGGTTTGGAGGCTGACAGCTTCGAGATCGATTCAGCAAGGTAGCATGTCGGCACGGGGTATTCCTGCAAGTAGTCAAGTGGAATCACCGACGCGAAGAACAGCTTCGCGTAACCGGCTTCGTAACCCGTCTGCTCCAACTCCAGCAGCGATTCATCCTCGTCCTTGACTGCAGCGCCACTGTCTCCAGCTTCCTCCAGCACCTTCACCGCTGCAATCAACATCTCCGTCCACATATCTAAATCGGCGCCGCAGAACTCCGTTTCGCACATCAGTCTTGTGAGGCCAATAGCGCAAGCCTTTCGCTCTGCGGGACTGCGACCACGCGCATTGCACTGCAGCCACACAGACTTGATGAACATGGTCGACATTCCCTTCTGCAGTGATTCCAGAGACGCTAGGAACGTGTCCGGACCGAGCTTTCCAATAAGAACGGACACCGTATAGACCAGTTCCTTCGTGTACCCTTCAGAGTTGCGTCCAGCCATGCGAGTCTGCAGTCGAATCATGAGAATCTTAATAATCTCGTTCAGGAAACTCCCGTACGCTTCACGTGGCATGAACGCAAAGAGTGCACGCAGCAGTGAGAAGGCGTTTGCTTCTGTCGATCTAGACGAAATCAGCTTCTGGAACACGCCGAGGATTCCCTGTACCGACTGAGCCACATCGTTCGGGGCCTTGCGCATGTACGCCTCGATGAGCTTCACAATAGCCGGCACGTTGCTGACTCGTTCCCACAGTGTAGGGTTCAACAGCACGGGGAACATACTCTTGTAGGCATCCGAGACGCCACTGGGTCGAAGCTCCAGCATCTGAGCCAGCACTTGGTACACGTACGGTGACAGCGCCTCCACGTCGTTCGTTAGCACCTTCTGGAACGGCGGGAACAGCAGCTCTTCGAAGCGCTCCGTCGCGGCAGGGTTCGTCTTGCACACATTAAGGATCAGCACGGACAGCGACTCGAAGAGGTAGTGGCTGAAGGACGGGTTGCTCGGGTTAGCGCAGATGCGGTTCAGGATACTCGTGAGCTTGTTGACAGCCATGTCTGTCAACGGTAAGATGTCTTCCTTGGCCACGTTCATCACTCGCATCACCACCTTCATGAGGTAGTCATTCTCCGGGTAATTCGGTTGTTCCAAGATGTTAAAGACGTGCTCAAGCAACTTGCCTAGGTAGGGTGCAAGACGTTGCTTAGAGAAGCGAAGCGAGCCTGCCGGGTCCTTCACAGTAAGCAGACGCTCCAGACACGCAGCAGCGTACGTGTGCACCACAAACTGCGAAGGGTCCATGCAGTTCATCAGCAGAGGGAAGAGCTGATCCATCACTTCCACCGGCATCTGGCTACGGAACGTCGAGACAAACTTGATCGCGTCGGCCTTCAAAATGAGCGACGCCTGGTTGGGCGTCGACAGCTCTGGCAGCACTTCGGCCATAAAGAAGTCCATCAACGGGACTCGGCTGTTCACTTCGGACACTCCACGCAGACGCGACTGCTTGATCGCGGAGATAGCGATCACCAGATTAATTGACACGTCCTTCATGGCCCAGTTCCTCGCAGGATCGGCCTTGTACTGCTGCAAATGGGTCTGGATCGTGTTCATGCAGATCTGCGTCACTGTTTCGTCGAAATTGCCCAACAAACCGCGCACCAAGTCACGAGCAGCACTTCGACGACTGTCACCATCCGATCCTTCGATGTCACGGCGAATGTAGTCCATGGAATTGTCCTCGAACAGCTCCTCATCTGACGACCGCAACTGCATATTGGTGACGACAATACCGCACAGTTCTGTCAGTACTTGTGGAGACTCGAATAGTGCACGGTGGAACGATCGAGAGGCCACCGACGTCAGGAACTTCATGCACTTGGCGGCCAACTCGTCATGCTTGGGGAAGAGCGTAATGCGATTGGCTAAAAGATTCCAGATCACCTCAGTGAACTTCTGCAAGAACGGCTTGAACTCCTCGTCGTACTTCTCTGCGTACAGATTAATGTTCTCCACAATAGCCACTAGAAGTCGATCGATAGGACCAGGCTCGTCCTCGTTGTCTGCGTCCTCAAGCGCTGGGTTCTCGTAGCTCAAATAACCCAAGAACTCACCCATCCACTCGGCGATGTGGTCCTCAAAATACTCAGGCAGATCCTGCCAGTTGAGCGAGTAGAAGATGCGGCTCATGTATCGCAATGCTGTCATCATTTGCGCTTGCTGCGCGACAGCAACGCCAGGAGCACGCAACGCCACGCCCGTCTCCTTGAAAAACACGAGCAATGGCTCCTGAAAGACTTCGAGACAGTGTTTAAGCTCGCGGAACAAGTCGTCGGACTTGAAGACGTTGCGGAAGCGCTTGAAGATGGTGTTGGCTGTCATGAGCACGCCGTTGCGTACCTGCCAGTCCTGCTCGGTCTGTAGTTTGTGCACCAGTTGAGCCAGTAGATCTGTCCATTGAGCAGGGAAGTCGTACTCCCCGATGGTCGTGAGTGCCTCGATGAGCTGCTTCTGTAGAGTCTCGGGCATGCGGCACATGAGCTCCACCAGGTGCTGTTTGACCAGGTTCTTCTCACTCTGAGGCACGCAACCCTGCTTTTCTGGGTCCCAGTTGTGCTTGATAAAGTTCTTGAACAGCAACGCGGCCGCCAGACGCACCTCCTGCTTCTCGTTTGCGCTCTCGAGAACTTGTAGAAGCAAAAGAACGTAGTTGGGCTGCGACGAAAGCGTGTTCAGGTACGCTTCAGAGCCCTTGCGAGTCTCTGCGAAGGGAGACAACGTTCCCTCCAGTGACTGGCGCAGCATGGGCATGTTGGGCTCCGCCATATCTGCCGAGATCTTCACTCCGAGCGGTGTTTGGTGGCTTCACGTGGCTGTGAATTGAAAACTGAGGTACCTTCTGGAATGGAAATGGTGTTTTACACAAAACTTGAGCTTACCGGTAATCGGTTTTTGTTTAAAACAAAACGATACAAAATTGGAGTATACAGTATACGTTTTCTACATGGAGCTTAATTGATGTTCCCATTTTGATCGGTTTGATAAATTGTATCCATTTTGTGTGTTCTTCACTTGAAGTCGTTTAGATTAGCATCGATGCCCGAGGAGGACGACTGCGACACGCTGGTGTCGGACCTGCTACAGGTTAAGAAGCTGTTCGCAAACAACCATCTAAGCGACGTGCTGTTCATCTTCACGTCGGACTCAAGCGAATCGTCTACGTCTGATGGGGGCGACAAGAGGTCGACCACAGGAGACCACCTCATCCCCGCACATCGGCTGGTGCTATCGCTACGTAGCGGCGCGTTCCAGGCGGCATTACTGAGAGCTAAAAGCAGTCAAGTGCCGGGTCAAGTGCGCTTCCCACTGAAGATCCACGTGCAGGACACGCCCTATCATGTGTTTCATTCGCTTCTGAGATTTTTGTACACGAACGAGCTGGGTGCCGACGGAGAAGAAGGAGGCAAACAACGAGACCGAGAGGAATTCTGGCAGCAATTACTGCGAGCAGCGTTCATGTACTTGGTGCCGTCATTGGTGGGCATTTGCGTTAAAAGAATTGCAAGCTTAGTGGAGCTGGAAGGAGACAAATGGGGGGAGGTAAAGGTCGAGGACGAGAGTGAGGACGCCGAGGAGCGAAAGCGACAGCTGCAAAAGAAAACGTTGGATGTGTTGGTGTTTATGGACGCGGTACTGACGACGAACCCTCTGACCGCTAGACGAAGAGAACCGCCAGATTCGAATACGATAACCCCACCATCGTCGCAGAATGGACGTCGATTAATTAATGAGGCAGGTGACGCAACCAACTCTGTGCTGTCACGGTGTACGAAAGCGGTGCATGAATTACAGAGTATGTGCCTAAAGCAGCTCCAGCACATGGATGAAGCTGCATTTGAGGAGTTATTGCAGAGTGACACAGGGCGACAATGCTCGACAGAGAGATTGTGCGAAATCTTGAGAATGCGATCAGATACACCACTGGTTGTGGCGATCCGATATCAACTTGGTCGTGTAGTAAATGAGCTGTTGCGACGCGGAGAACCATTGGATCAAGTTGGGGACGATGGGGCTGATTTACCGCTTGTTGCAGCAATAAAGACTGGGAACAACGCGATCATTCGCCGCCTGCTTGTCGATGAAAGCGCACCATTCTTCCTTCTCACCGACAAGGTTCCGTTAATGTTTTTGGCCAGCGCAAGTGGAAATGTGCAGCATTGCGAGATTCTAATCGAACAGAACGCCGCTGATGTAAATCTGATCTCGCAGTTGAAAGACGGAGACAAGGAGATTACAGCTGAGTTCGGACATCAACAGACACCACTGCATGTAGCCAGTCGAAAAGGGCACAGTGAAGTGGTGGAATTATTGTTACAACATAATGCAGCGTCCAACTTGCCTGACGAGGAAGGAAACACAGCGCTGCACTACGCGTCAAACATTGAAACGGTTGAAGTGCTGCTGAACAGTGCGTTTAGAACGAATGCCAATATTCCAAACAGACGAGGACGGACACCACTACACATTGCTGCCGCACGAGGAGACGTTGCGGTGGTTGCATATCTAATCCGCCATGGTGCAGAACAAGATATTGTGGATGATCAAGGGCAGAACGCATTCCACCACGCTGCTGCTAACGGCCACACGGCGGTCACTCTTGTTCTGCTTCACGAGAACGAAGCTGCTATGGTTAAGGCCAAAACGCTGGCAGCAACAACAAATCAAAGCAGCCAGAGCTCTGGAATAACGGAAAATACCCAGTCTAGCCCATTGCAGCAAGTGAAGCAGCCTGAGAATGGGACAGTTAACAACCTAGAAGAAAACGAAGAAGAGCGAGAAGAACCTAGCGGGTTTGATATCAACAAGGAGGACTTGAAAGGCAACACCGCTCTTCACCTCGCTGCTATGTCGCCATCCGAGAGGTGTCAGAAAATGCTACAACTGCTGCTGGAGAATGGCGCTGATCCGAACCGAGCAAACTGGTTCGGCTACACTGCGCTACATTTATTTTGCTCTCATCAAAACGGACCGGCGTCTATTATCAACGCATTTGTAAGTGGCCAAAGTTTCACTTGGCACCATATTGACATGGCAATTCTAACCTTGTGTTACGTTTTGTTGCAATCCAGATTGAACACGGTTCAAATATTCACGCCCAGAGTTTAGATGGTAGTACAGCATTACATCTGGCTGTGGGTCGAGGAAGCCAAGATGTTGCAGTCGCACTGGTAAGTGCTGGCGCCTTCGTGCACCTGCTGGACGCAGCGGGTCGCAGCGTGGTGGATCTCGTGGAAAACACGAACCAGGGATCGATGCTAGTACCAGTGTTGCGCAATCTGTCACATCCACCCGAGTGGGTTGGCGACGAGCAAACCACCGAGTGCTCATCCTGCCACACAGCCTTCCGACTGGCCATGCGCAAACACCATTGTCGCCACTGCGGGCGCACCGTGTGCTACAACTGCTCGAGCAACAAGATCGCCATCCCGAAGTTCCAAGTGCTTAAGCCCGATCGAGTTTGCGACACTTGCTTCGACGTATTGTCCTTCCGGAAGTTGCTGTAAAATTGCAAACACACAGATGGGTACATTTTTCTTCCGTTGACAGCTACACGTTCTCTTATTGGTTGATATTCTCGGTAATCGCCATGGGTGGTCATTTCAGCAGCAGCTCTGGTTCCCACCGGCATCGCTCCTCTGTTGTCGTCTCTAGCTGCTGCTGCCTCCTCTATAGCTATGACCTCGCCGGATGAGGCTCCACCACCTGCACCTGCGTCAGTTGCAGCTGAAAATTCTCCACAGGCGCCGAGCAATGGCGACGAGTTTATTGTCACTGCCAACCTCGTGGGTGCCGCTCTACGCTGCGTTGTGAACCCCCAGTGGCCATGCGAGGCACTTCTAGGTGCGGCTGCTGAAGCCTACCACGTCGCCTTCCCAAACAGTGAAGTTCCCGAGTGCAACGTGGTGTTTCACCGCAAAAAGCAGGAGTTTTTGGTGGCTGGAACACCGATCGTCGAGTGTTGTGCAAGTGGGGACGAATTGGAGCTGGGCGTGACCGTCCCAGCCCACACTGGTGCTCACGTTGAAGCTACACCATCCGTTGCTGCTAGTAGTATCAGTGGCATTGATAGTGATGGAGAGACGAGTGAGTTCTGCGTACTATTCCACAAGCTCCCATTGGGGTTCACGATGAAACGTGGAAACGACAGCAGCACGGAGGTGGGCACCATTTATCCCAAGAGTGCAGCGACACATTTTCCTCGGTTGGCACCTGGTGTGACTATCGTGAGCATTGCGGGGACGCCACTTGAAGACATGGGCCTTCGGCAGGTGCACGATGTGATCAAGAACGCGGAACTTCCATTGAAGATTCACTTCCGAGGGCCTGAGCTTATGGTGCCGCCATCGCTCTCACTAGATCCAGCTTTGCAACAGCAAGAATCGCCTTCTCGGCTGTCAGCGTCATCTGTAATACCCCCTCCTCATACGCAGCAACAGGGAAGACGTCGCCGAGGATCTTTTGATCGCCGCAGCGTGCGAAGCAACGGTAGTAATGGAAGTGGTCGTAGTCGTAACAGTCGTAGCAGCGGACGTGGGAGGAAGAAGAACGGCGAGTCTAACCAACAGAAGGGCGCTGACAACCAGCAGAAGGGAGATGGCTCTAGAACACGTATACAGGCAGCAGCTCATGCCGATACAAGTGACTCAAACCAGCGCGGTGGACCAGAGGACCATAATGCGGATCGCAATACCGAAGCTGAACTTGTTGAACAAATCGAACAGCTCAAGGTGGCACTACTACGCAAACACGAAGAAGCCAAGCAAATTGCACGTCAGCTTGAGACGTGCTCCGAGAAGCTACTTGCTCTGCGTGGCGATTCTACTGGCATGGCGTCATCTCACCAGCAGCAACAAAGACAGCAGAATGGTACTCCTCGTTTACGTCGTAGTGGAGCACCTTCGTCGAGTAATGGTGGCTCTAAGGTTCGACTGACGCCTGAGGTTTTAGAGGCCATGGATCAGAAAGCTGGTCTTCTTCGACGTGGCACGGGCGCCTATGCCTCATCAAACGTGTCGTCCGTCTCTGGATATTCTGCCCAATCCATGCCCGTAGCTCGCTCTGGGAATTTGCAGGCTCGCAGTGCTCGTGCAGCTGCTCTGGCCAATGCCGACAACGTGTCGGTGTCTTCCTACGCATCGAACTCGTCCAACACATCCGCACGTCGCGGTGGTAATCGCTCTCCGCGTGGTACGGCGTTGCGTACCTTGAACAAACGATACAGCTACATGCCGCAGAAGTACGCAGCAAACACAACGGGAGCTACGGAGTCTGGATCTACTTCATTGTCATCACGTGGAGCTGTGATGTCCCGTGCGCGGATCTCGCGTGACTCGTTCATTACTAAGAGCGAGAGTCCAGGTGTCGGTTACTACGACGTGCAGGTCAAGGATCGTGTTAAAGGAGGCGAAATCGGCGACTCGGACCGCTCGTTACCGTGGTCTCGAACCTAAACTGGATATTCTGAAGCGATGTCACTGGCCTCTCCTTATAAATTACGCATCGATAGAGCATGAGAGTTGGCAGTCAAGTTGTTGGCTGTACGAACTTTAAATCAATGCAATAAACGGAAGTCTTAAAATGTTAGGTGGAATATGGTGCCCTCGATCGACTTTATTGAATCCAAATCCTGTTAAACTACTGAACGATGCATAGAGAGAAACTCAACCGCACGCTAGCGCCAACGCTAGCCACTCCTGGACAGGGGTATTGGGCTTGGATCAAAGCAAACCCAATCACACAGCACGGAGCAGCCAGCAGTGACATAAATACTTGACTACGCCCTAACAACTAATTGCTCGCGACAACCACGTAGGCCTCAGAATTCGGCCACACAGGAAGGAGAGTCGTCCCGCTCGTAGATGCTCTTGTTTCGAGGGCCGAAAGTAGCTTCAAAGTGTTCCCAGAGAGCTTGAAAGCACGGCGCGACCTGTTTCTCGTCGTACCCAGTGAGCGCCGACAGCTCATCTCTCCACAGTGGAGTGACCCCAAGTGCCTTCCGGGATGCCACCAAGACGCTAGCAGCTACAACTGAAGGTCGGTATACTTGCAGCGAGTACTCCTGTAACACTAAGTCCACGAAGAACTCGGCGTATTTGCAGTAATATCCATGTGCTTCATCCACCAGCTCGGATCCCAGCAGTTGGTCGTCAGCGAACAACACCGTTTGGCCCATATAATGCTGCAGGAAGTGCAGCGGGGTCATCATTGTGAGTCTCCAGCCCAATCTGTTCATGCAGCACATCAAATTTAGCACAGTAACGAAAATAAAAAGCTTTTTCGTATGTCCTGGCAAAAACTCCCAGTCGTTGCATGACGAATAATTTTCCTCACGCACTTTTGGAAAATATCTGCCTCGGCATCGCTAATCTCCTCATGCGAGTACATTCGGTTCCCCATCTCCCAGAACTCGGCCATGGGAGGCAGTTCCTCATCCGTGCCTAGAAACTTGAGCGCCACGCGTAAACAACTGAGTGCCAGTAACTGGAAGCGGTCCTTGCGTGGCAGTGGCGCGTCGTGTGCCAATACCTTCTCGAGATATCCAACAGCGGCGTGTACATATTCCTTGCGCATTCGCAAATGCGTCTCCCCCACCTCGGACATCCAGTCGACAAGCACGCGACGATATTTGAGGTATTCGTACTGCTTGGAGAAGTCTGGCCGAAGGAGCTCCTGGCGCAGCATGGCTCGGTACACGCTGTCCACGTCGCGGTCTTCCAGTGCCACCAGCTAACGATTTAAACCACATTGACAAAAAAAATTGTCGTCAGAAAATAATTGTCAACATGGCGAGGCAAGAAACGTAGGGAGAAGGAAGGACGTACGCTCTGTTCCTCGAACGAGAGCTCGGCCGTCCAGGGTACGTCTGTCACGAGGAGTCCAAGCACCACGCCCGTCTCGGAATCCTGCGTGCTCATGAGGTCGTCGTCGTCCAGCACTTCGTCGCACTCGAGGCATTGCGCTTCCCACTCCATGATGACGGCAACTACTTTTTCACGGAGGAAAGTAAGGGGGAAGTGAGGGCTGCGCGTTGATAATTGCCTCAGAGCAGAGCTGATCGGTCGTGCCTTGTTGCCTCCGCCACAAAGCGCAAATGTGTTGGACGATGGCAATGCAATGCACCCAGCGCTGCACAAAGTGAGACCCGGTCTTACAAAAGTCAAGTCAATTTTGCCATTTGAAGCGCAAAAATGGCCCGTTTTTGGCGGATATCCCCGCCCATCTCTTCTATCAAGCCTCCATTAAGTCCGAACGCTGTTGCTTCTCGAAGTCCTTGCGAACTTCCAGCAGGCGATGGATACGCTCATGCTGTGATGCCAGCAGCACTAGCTATGAGCGATAATCTCGCGGTGTGCGCGATATCGATACGACCGGAAGAGCAGAGACCATTTCGCCGCACAATCGCACAACGCTGCGGTCGCGGATAAGGTTCCCTAGCCCGGATATGCGAATCAAACACCGACATAGAAAAAATAGATGTGTTTTGCTCAGTTTCAACGGCACTTTAACCGAATACTTCTACTTCAGAGTAAGAAAAGAATTGACTGTCGTCGCGCAACCATCGTGGCGACATGAAATTTTGTCGGCAAGTTCTTCGAGGGTTGTAATAAATTTCACGCGTACTTGCACTTAGAGACCTTTCATTCTCTATATACAACCTAGTCATCCAATTGGGACAGCATGGCCACGCCACGTGCGACCCAATGCGCCTCTGGCCTGCTTGTTGGCAAGCGAATGAAGCAGATGAAGTTCGTCGAGTGGCCTGTGGTTGACAGTGTACCTCGTCGCTCGCTAACAAGAATTGTAAAAAGTTAGGATGACCTCACTTGTACAGCAAAACTTCCAGAAAACGCACCTCGTTTTGTAAACTGGACACGAATACGAGCTCCGTTGACTCATTTCGGTCTTCTTCACTGGTCGGAAAAGCAGCACCGGTGCCAACGAAAACAGCACCTTCGGATCTGATTCTCCCAACTCATGCGTTGTCTTATCCCATTTGGCACCTTCGAGGAACAACCCGCGCACATACACACCGTCCTGACAAAAGTAAAACGACTCATAAGTTACCAGTTCTCACCTTATTTTGTCATTTGCAAGCGTACCTTTGGTGGCTGTGCGTAGTCATTCCGTGGCATCGGTTCGTGGTCGAACCCCAGCTGATCAATTGGCAAAGTGTATTTTCGCGCGTAGTTCTGACTGGCACCAGTCAAGAACGCTTGCGTGAAGAAGAAACCTGAGATCCAAAACACAACCGGAGGTTTTTCCAGTAGCCACGTGTTGAAGAACGCAATGCGCTCCAGTAAGTCCGTCACGTAGCTACCGAGTGGCTTCAGCGAAGGGTACGACTTGGACGCCCACAGTGCTGGGATTTTTCCATAGAACAAGCTCTTGGATACATTTTCGAGCTCTGCCGACATGACCACGAGGCCTTTTAAGGCTTTCTGCAAGCTTTCAAGACTCGAGCGGATAGTTGACATGAGGTTGTTGAAGCGTACGAGTTCTTGACAGAGCACCGTGTTCATCGACTCGTCCCAACGCACTGGGTATCGGATCTGCGCGACTTCCATGTCAAAGTTCGGCGGTAAACGTGACAAAATATCGTTGGCTACGACTTCGACGAGTTCTTCTTGGGATGATCCACTACTGCCTTCACTGCCACCACCCGAACTTTGAGTAAGTAGCACGTCGCGACAGAGCTTGGCTGTTGCATTCTGATCTTTCGTGATCGTTGCATTATCGTGCAGTCCAAACACTCCCGGAGGAGCCACTAGCGGCAAACTTTCAATGAACTTAAGATACGAATCATAGTCACCATCAGGCGGCATTGTGTAGACCCCTTGTTCATCGAGCGCATAGCCCTCTTTGTACACGTCTACGCAGTAGAATTTGCCCAGAACAGACATAAGTGTCCGTCGGTCCTTGTCGTCCGTCACACGCCCACCGTAATTACACTCACCGGTGCAGTAATTCAACGCACGTAGCGGCAACTGCGCGTTTTCATCGATAAACATGGCTAGTTGACGAATACTGATGCTCAGGTCGGACTCGTTGAATTCGTACTGAATATTCCAGCCCAAAGGACCAAACTGGCGACGTTCACGCACCAAAGCGTGGAAGAAACACAGCGAGTAAAGAAGTACACGGAACTCTGTGCCTTTGACCACAGATTCCAGGAACCCTTGCTCACCTATGGGGTCGGACATATACGAGCTCATGAGGTTTGCACGAAGACCTTGTGGCGGTTCGTTCGTCATTTTAACTCCATTTTGCAGTACAGCTGCGGGGAAAACATCGGACGGGTACGTTGTGCACCATAACCGGAAATCTGGATGTGTGTTGTCAAGCTTAATATCCTCCGCAATCTTCTCCATCACTGGCATCCAACTTGGTGCTAAGTGGCAATTCTGCAACACAACCCAAGAGCCTGCTTCACGCGCACGGACAATCATACGCTCGGCAATGGGGCCTTGACCTTGACCAAGAGAAATCGTTTCTGCTCTTTGACGAAGCGAGTCGGCAAATTTCAGCACAGAGCTGATCGGATCGGATCCAGGCGACAAGATGAACACCAAAGGCGACGACACGCTGCTGTCCGAGTAAGAGAGCACCAAATCGAACTGCGGAGGTTTGACGAACTTTTCACCCATTTCCTTGACCAGGAACTGCTGAATTCCAACGACGAGAAGATCAGGACGGATACATCGTAGACCGAGTAGTCGACGGAACTCACTAACTTTCCCTAACACACCGGGGAACGGGAGAGTATGACCGATTGGACTATCATACACAGCCTTCCATTGGTCCTCGTTATCGACGAAATCCTCGATGATGCCTTGGAACGCTGGTAGTGCGCTTAGTCTCGAGAATTCGGCCCACTGTTTGTCACTTAGCCACAGCTTGGCCGGATTCGGAGGCGGTTCAGAGAGCGCTACACCTCCAGTGAGCAAGAAATACCACTCGCTACTCTCGATTTCGTGTTTTCCTTGCTTGATAGAAATGCAGAGTAGGAACGAGAACATGAGTTTGTCTTTCTCCAACAAGGAGCGACAGATATTGCGATAAAGCGAGTACGTGAAATGAGCGTCAAGATTGTGCAGTCGCTGGGTGAGATCGGGCGATCGATCGCTGTTCTGGATGCTGGCGATGAACAAGTTGATGAACCAGGAGAGCGAGTACTGGTACACTGGCTCAATGTTCGCAAGCTGGTCGATACAGAAGAAAAGCACTTGACTTGAATAAGCCACAGGCTTGTAGCCTTGTCGGACCGAATCGATCTCCAGCTCGGTTTTCTCGGCAACTTGTTGCTCCTTTTTGATCTCGTCTGCGACTTGTTTACTCTGGTTCATCGTGTTGATAGCATCTTCGTCCTCGAGAATATTTCCTTGGGACGATGACAAAATGTTGAGAATCTTGTCTTCAATCTCCTTGAGTAGTCCCTTGTTTCGCGCATTCTGTACGATCAATTTGTTCTTCTGCTCTTCCAGATCTGGTCGCTCTTGAGCAACAACAATACCCAAAAGTTGATCTTCAAGACCATGAGGTGTGATCATAAAGTTTAACAATGTCACCTTCACAGAAACCTCCGGCAAATAGTGTGGGTTCCGATACTTGGTCGTGATGTAGAAGCGGAAGCTCTCCGCATACTCAACAGTCGAATCACCCAGACGAATGCACGTCACTCCGCCTTGTTTGAAAGTTTGCTTCAGTAGCAAAGGCTCCAGTGACGGGTCAAGCTCTTCGCCAACATTTTCCAGCAACACGGGAGTGCCAAACTGAACTGAGTTTTCTAGCGTTCGCATGTAGTCGGCATCTGTGAGTTTAATCACCGTCATTTGGTTATCTTTTTCCATATTACGGATCCACTTGTTAGCTTGGCCTTGTGGGTCAATCATTAGTGGCCATCGACGTGAGTTGAAGACGATGATGCCGTTGTCAACCGAGAAGCCGTCAGTGGGGAGTCCGTCGATATTCCACTTTCGTACTTGCACAGCGTCGCCAAGCGATCCGTTGAGAGATGGGAAGTCGCTGCAAGGAATACCAAGCTGCTTGCAACGACCCACCCAGTCCTGTACCGCATCTTGTCGGTATAACGACGTAAAAGGCCCGAGATATGCCACAACTCCGGCCGAGACTAACACGTCTCCAGTTAACCTGCTGTACTGAGCCGCTAATTGCTCTGCAAACTCGGTCCATCGCGTCTTCTCACCTCCAAGGCTTTCAATCAATGTGGACGCTCGGATGAGTTTCTTACCTGTAAGATCCACTTGATACTCGAGGTTTTCCTTTTGCTTGGTTGCAAAGTCGAATTGCCGCTGCAACTCTGCTAAACCGTCCTCCACTTGTTTCAACTGGGACAGTTTCTCGTTGAGTTTCTGCATCACTTCAGCGAGTTGCGCTTCAGCTACGCGTAGTGCCTCACGCTTGGGTGCAACAACCTTTGAGACATTGTCGTATAAAGCCATCGCGTGGACCCATTTGCACAATCCTGCTGCTGCTTTCGAGGCCTTTTCTGCCTTTTCTGGACTAAAATTCTCGTCCGCAATATACTTACTGACAACGATTTTCATGATTTTTGAGTCAAGATTGTCCTTGTCAAACTTCTTGAGCGTCGTGATAAAAGTCGGATCGCTGAGCATCTTCTGTGAAGGGCCCCAGTAGTCCATGATACGCTTGGATGGATCTTGGGGGTCTGGGATACGAGCAGGTTTGATGCCAAGCATGACGCAAACTCCTTCACATACCAGTTTCACACCTGCTGGCGGGTTACTCATGGCTTTGACTTCGTTGATCTCACTGGGTTTGATAGTGTCCAAAGCTTTTAAAGCCTCTTCCAATGCTGGGATGGCTTCCGCGAGATCGGCCTCGACACTGGCCTTCTGTTGTTCACACTCCGCCTTAGAAGCATCGGCCACCGCGACGTCAGCTTGTACTTCACTACGCTGTACCTCGACTCCAGGGAGCTTGGCCTTGATCTCCTCCATCAGAATATCTGTGTCCTTTTTAGACTGATCAAGAACAGGTTGCAAGTCTTCCAGCTCTTTTCGCATCACCGCCACATTGTTTTCTGCAAAGTTGATCTTCTCCAGACCCACAACATACCGGTTCCGAGCACCTTGTACAGCCTCGCGACGACGTGCAAGGAAACTCTTAAACGCCACGATAAGCTCGAGATACGACGTCGGTGTCACGTAATTCTGACGACGCAGATTCTTCAAGAACTTATCGGACAGCTCCATCACACTAACGTGGAAATACTGGCAAGTGTCTACAATGGCTTTGCGGACATTTGCACTATCCATCTCGACGTCAGCTAAGAACTTCTCAGCTACAGCCACAAGAGCATCGGACGGCCACGCAGTGAACCAGTCAATGGTACAGCAGTTAATCAGCGACGGGAACTTCCGCAATCTGTCTCTAAAGGCGTCGCCAATAGGCGAACATGCCAGCACAATGTGCAAGTTACTACGCACTCGCTGCAGGAAAAACGCGTACAGTTGCATTTGGTTCATATTGTCCCCCACTGCCTTGCCGAATTTTTCCTTAACGTGAGGACGAACAGCTTCACAGATGCCCACACGTTCATCGTACGGGAACAAATTGGGGATTTCTCCTGAGTTCAACATATTGTTGATGTCTTCCACGAAGCCATCGTATTTGATCTGCGTATCACTGAACAAGAACACCAGCGGTCTTGCACCAGTGCCAGCCATACGTAAGACATCTTTCATGTCTTCGCGCCACTCGGTCATTGTATAGTTCTTTGAGATTTCGATCTGCTTGATCTCAAAGTCGACTATAAACGCTGACAACCGCGTAAGACTCTGACGTCCACTGCCACCTACACCGACAAGAAGCGCGTTCCCTCCAGGCATATTGAGTACGCGAACTATTCGCGATAAATGCTCGATGGCGAACAAGAACATGACGAGATTCATTGGCTTGCGACTAATTCCATTGTACTCCGTCAAGTATCCATCAAGACATTGAATCAGTTGTGCGATACCGTCGAAATCAGAGTCCAGACGAACGTCGACTTCTTTGTAGAGTCTCGGACTTGCATCGGGATCGATGTAGTCTCCAAAGAAGAGATTCCGCATGTCAACAGCTGTAACGGGGCCTTCTTGACCACGTTTGAGGCTTGCAAAAACCTTGTCAAAGTTAGTTGCAAAGTGTTTGATGGTGATTTTCTTCTGAACGTCATTGAACCATTCTCGATCCTCATCGTCGATCAAACGATCACCAATCACTCGAAGCGATTCGTGTACCCACAACTTGACTAAACTATTAGCACTGAACTGGTCGTTCGGTACCACAAGCATAATTCCTTGGACGATGCGAGAGAAATCTCTTAGATTGAATGTGTAATGAGACTTTTTAGGAGTGGGGAGAAGCGACATCATCGCGGATTGATACAGCTCCAAGGTGGCGGAAACCACGGCTTCCGACAGTCGTTTAACCTCTGGAACGAAGGGGTTTGAGCCGAAGTACCAGTCCAGAATCGTCGTGAAGATACGAGTGAGTGTCGCGTCATCAAACTCGGAAAAGCACAACAGGTTAAAGTGTCGAAGTAAGCGAGGAGTGACGTTATTCCGTCCACCTCCGGAAGGTCCCATAGCTGCGAGAACAATAGTATCGACAATCTTTCGCCACGACATTTCCTTGAGATCGTAGTACCCTTCGCTGTCGATGAGCTGTCGCACCAACTCAATCGGTGGTTGAGCACCATACGTTTCCACCAATGGCATGTTGAGATCGTCGACGAAAACGATAGCGTTCTTGCCTAGTGGCGGGCCGAAGACTCCCTTACGACGCTTATCAAGCTTCCCGTCGATGATATTCTGCGTCATATTTGCCGAAGTTTTCGCCGAGAATGACAGCATAATGACTGAATTCTGATCTTGTGGCAGGACTTCGTTCAGAATCGAAGTCATGTAACAAGATTTTCCAGTTCCTGTGGGTCCGCACACCAATACTTTCCTCTTGTTCGTCACAAGGAGTTGGACCAGATATTCCAATTGAGCAGTGAAGATTGTAGGCACGACGATCTGGTTGAACGGCGTGTTGGGCTGAATGACGTACGGTTTGAGCATCTCTTCCCACTTGAACCACTTGTTGTCTTCGATACTAAAGTAGTAGTCGTGTAGGTTCCCTTTGCCAGGCACTGGGATGGCTAACGAATACGTATTCTTGCCTTCTTCAAAGACCGGTTTCTCCCACTTGCGTACTTGAAGTGCTCGACTTACGACGATGTATTTGCTCTCAAGCGACTGAATATTCTCCATGATAGAGCGAACAAAGTCGCAAAACTTGATTCGACCTTCTGCGCTGATACTTTCACCTACCGACCATGTAAGTGAGAACATAAAGAGCGCTTCAATCGTCGCTTTTTTCTTGGACGCTGCATCTTTCGGCAGCTTACACAGCTGCGCCTCCAAGATGTGTATAAGACTCTGAACCAGGTTCGTATCCACAGTCGGTGAGAGCTCCACCAGCTCTTTCCGAACGAAAGCAATGCACGGTTCAACAAGCCAAGAGAAGAGGAAGTAGATGAGAATTCGCTGCTCGCTATTGATTTCAAACGGCCCAACAGGAGGCTCCATGCTGCCTTCCACAACTGTGACGGAGTCGAGCCAAGAATTAAGCACTGGGATCCAGCCTAATTGCTCGGGTTCCATGTAAATCATCCCACAACGAGAGACTGTGGCAGGAGAAGCCACAAGCAGATCCATGGGCTCGAACATCATGCTCATGACTGAACTCATCGCGATGATTTCTCCACTCATCAAACACAATTTACGGTTGTCGTCAAGTACAGTGTTCATGTTTTCAATCCAAACCGCATCAACGGGGCCGTCGAACATTAACCACTTGCGGTCTGGAGAGGGGTTATTCGCCAGATTTCGGTAGTTGATGGCAAGCACGCCGTCATTCCATTCGTGCGAGACGGCGTCGAATTGGCCATACAGCTGTCCCATTGTCACCGACTTGGGGTTAATCACCGACACGATGACGTTGGTATAGCGAGTGTCAGTCGGAAATTGCTGATGCAAATGGGCTAATACTTCGGACAACACTCGCCACGAACACGTTTTGCCTGAAAACGGCATACCGACGACCATAAATCCGTGACGTACGATCATCATTTCGTAGATCTGAATCACCTTTTCCACAAAATTAGGTACAGGTTGCAGATTCATCTGCTTACACACGTGGCTGATGGAATTCAGCATATCCCGTCGATCCGGAGGATCAATAGTCACGCCAGGGAAGAGATCCGATACGATACCGTTGAATAAAGGCACATCCGGAGACAGGAACTTGGGCAAGTTGACGTCAATAATCGACCGGAGTACCAGAGTATCTTCTCGCAGATGTCCCTCTGCTCGCTTCAAGTTGCCAGCAGCTCGCAGTACAGCCATAACAGCTCTCATTCCGTAGTCATAGTGAGACTGAGACGACAATTGCTCCGAGCACAGCGTGTACGTCGTCGTGATCTTCTTGGACAACGCACTGGCATCCATATACCCGTACGAATACAGCATAATTTCGGCAATCATCGCGTAATCCGGGACCATCATTGCCACCGTTCGAAACAGTACTTTCAAGTTGTCCGGTAGTTCTGCGCGTCCTGCATATCCAGGGTTCATAGTAATGAAAGGGCAACACGTCGGGTTGAGTCGCAGCTCGGTGCCTTCAAAAAGGAAGTGGGCAAGATGCTGAGCTTTCGCCAACTGAATACACAGAATTTGTTGAGCAATGACCGACAGAACTTCCAGTTGAATCCGGTTGAACTCGTCAAAGCACGCCCATGCCCCCGAGCTCGCAAGACCTTTAAAGAACTTGCCCATTGCCAGATAATCGAGACCATCGGAACAATTCGTGACCACACACTGAATGGCAATTGCCTTGGCCAGATCCTTGGTCGTCTCTGTCTTGCCCGTGCCTGCAGGACCCTCCGGTGCACCTCCGAGATTCAAGTGAATCGCTCCGGTTAGAGTTCGGTAGCATCTGTCGGTTAGGGGAGTGATCACTAAACGCATACTGTTGCCGAGATACTCGAACGCATAGAGTGCGAGGGTGTTAATCATCCGACACTCAAGAGTATGGGGCTTGCCAGTTGTCGCCGAGACCCCACCTTGGACCCAGTAGTATCGCAATTGCGCAAGCCAGTCGAAGTCTGTTTTATCCGTGATCTTAAGGTCGACTAGCTCGGCTATTGTGTCTCGGTTGTGTACGTCCATGACGACAAGAGCTCCCAGTGTGATACGAATAAGCTTGGGCAGTTCACCACGGACCATCTCAACCGTTCGCTTCAGTTCTGTCCTCAGTACTTCCAAGTGTTCACGTAGTGCATCCGGGTCTTGCGTGCAGCTGTTTAGTGCTTTTTCACTCTGCTGTGTCCACATCGTCTGGTTAACAGCCAGTACAACTTGGCCAGGCCACTGCTGCACCCACTCCAAGCGATCTTTGGTCGGATAATCCACAATCGATCCGTCCAAATGGAGAGCCACACTCTTCTTCATCGTCATCTCGACTTCTTCTAGCCACACCTCGACATTTCCTCCAGAATTGTTAGGATTAATGAGATTTTGCGAGATTTTCTCGTATTGGAAAGGTACTTTTTCCATCTCGGGACTGAGCATGGCAGTGATATCCAAGTTGTCCTGGAACTCAAGCTGAGAAATACCATCGAACGCCTTCTTTAAATGTGGTTGTACACGTAGCGGATCTTTGGTTTCGGCGAGAATTTCAAGTAGTTCGTCGTTCGATAAAAAGAAGAAGCGCGGGAAGTACAGTCTCTTGGTCTCCAGATAGTCGTTCAGACCTTTCTGGATCGTATCCAAGTCTGCATTCGACTGCTGCAGACTTGGTAGCAAGTCGCTACGCTCTGCTACCGTCAAAACAGCAGGAGAAGCCACAGTCTCCTGCATATTTCGACGCCAATTCGAGTCAACTTTTCGGAAAAGCGCACCTTCCGTAGGCATCTGCCGCATGATATCATCCGAGCTGAAGATTGGCTCCAAGTAGAGCCACGTTGCCTGCACCTTGATCCAGTTATCCATGATGTCTTGGATACAGATGAGCATCTTCTCCCATTTACTGATCCGTTCAAAGTACGGCTTATTGTATCGACTTCCACGCATGGATTGGGTCTTGACGATCTGGTCGTCGATAATTTGCTGGATTTCATCGGTCGAGCACAGAATAGACGTACCTGTGGACCGATACTCCTTCGTCGAGAAGTTGATACCCACCCACTCCGTCTCCATCTTGTCCAGAGCTTTTTCAAGTGAATATTCCTTCGAAGCACTGACACACGTTTCCTCGATCGCACTTGTATGTCGGTGCAAACCGAGCTCAATCATCTGGTTGATGTTCGATCCCTCGTGGACTTGCACCTCGATTCCAGTGATACGTTCGATCTCTTCCCAATGACGTTCGCGGATTCCAGGAGTACACAGCAGAGCCATCAATGGGATGATGTTATCCAGCATATCATCCAGCGTCTTCTTCACTTCTTGCGCCATTGCGATGGGCACAGCATATACGTCGGTGTTCTTCTCGCATTCCTTGATAATCTTCACAATAGTGCGACGGAACTGGTCACAGTCGCGTTCGATCTCTTCGGCGTTCACACTTGCTAACGGAGCCTCGCGACTGAACGTCACCTTCTCCATCGTCTGCGATATCGTAGTCCACAGCTTCTCAATGGGGCCTAGCATGTCGTAGAGATCTGTCAGAGCAGTCTGGTTGTTGGTGACACTCATACCCAGCATCGTCTCCTGCTCTTTAATGGATTCCGCTTCAGCTTCAGCGTCCTCAAGTGACTTTCGGGCTGCTTCGATGCGCTTTAAAATGCTTTCCGAGTCTGCAAGATTCGCGTAATCTCTCATCTTCTCGATACGACGTTGCAAGGACGAAAACTGCGTGGTGAGCTGTTCCTGACGGCCTTCCACGATTAGCTCCAGTTCATGTTGTCGTTTGGTCTGAAGCTCCATGCTTTTCCTTTGAAATCCTTTGATATTTTCTGGCCAGCGAAATGTATTGAAGAAAAGTTGGATCTCTTCGCGAGACATCTGAAAGTCAAAGTCCTTTAGGAATTGGATACAGCGATACACGTCTTCGAAGAGTTTAATGTTTAAAGCATCAATGAGCTCGATGCTGGTGACGTAGAACTTGTCCAGCGCTTTGAGTTCGAACGAATCTAACGGCTCCGTGACCAGTTTTGCGCCAATTTGCTCGTATTCTGCAATCATCGAGCTCATCTGCCTCGTGTTGTCAGCCGACACTTTACTCAGAACTTTGTTTGCGTGAGATTTGATCTTGTTGACGAGCTTGACTTTCACGTCAGTGCAGGAGATTGCTAAGAGCTTGAAGCTGTATTTGTCGAAGATATCGTCCTTGACTTGGGTTTCCAAGTGTTTTAGCTCGTTAAGCTCGCCCCAGTATCCACTGAGGATGTCATTGGCAGTTGCTGGCTCCGGGCCATGCAGTAGCTTGTCGCTTGATTCTATCAGCGCCTCGAGTTTGGCCTCATATTCTCCATTTACGAGGTGGTCGTACGGCTGGAAGAGAGCTAGTATCTCGGTCGGATCGTGCATATGCTCAGCTATAAGCTCCGCCAACGTGTTCTTCGCCTTTACTACGAACGTATCATCCAATATCATTGTGCTGGGTCCGAGCGTAGCCGAGCTACGAAGCTTGGGAGGAATTTTCGTCTGGCCGTCGATTCGAGGGAAACCATGGGATGACTCGACGATGATATCGATGCAGGACGCGACTTTCTCTCGTAAAGCACTAGGAGAAGGCTCAATGAAGAAGCCGTCCTGTGTTCGAATGGTCCCATCGCTTGTGATAGTGCAGTCCACCGCAAGAAGCAGTGCAGACTCGCCATTAAACGTCGGACTCGAGAATTGGCGAATGAAGCCAACGAACGCGTTTACTGAAGTCTCCACCGACTCTCTCAAATTCCTCGCCATCAGAACTGCCGCTGCATCCAGGACACCAGAGAAGTTCTGGTACTGGGTCGCTTCAGTGTCTTCTGCGCTAAGATTTGGACTATTCTGCCGATTAGCTTGAGGTTTCTGGGTCAGTCCTTCAAAGTCCAGTCGGTTTCGTAAAAGCTTGTTGTGACTCTCATGGTCTCGCGATGCATCGGTCTTGGATTTAGACGGTGACGCACGGGTAATCGGAGCGGCTTTCACAGCTCCTATCAGTCCAGGGAGTACCGTGTTTTCTGCTGCGTTTGTGCCACTGCGAACGCTGTAGTAGTGCAGTTGAAGCGTACACTCGTTCACTCTCTTCGCTGCTGCTGTAACCCAGCACGTTTTCAAGCAATCCTTGACAAGACCGGCACGTTTTGAGATGGCATCTACGAAATGATCCACAGTTTTTGGCAACGTCGCTCGAAATTCGCGACTGTGAAGGTCGACGAATAGAATGGTCGAATAAGTCGCCCCTCCTCCGTTTGGCGACATCTCCCACTCCGGTGGAGGCGTCTCCATGACCCACTGGTCTTGAAGAGCGAACGTCACTGGGTTGATAGCAAACAAGTTCTGTTGGATTCGACTTCGTGCCACTTCCGCTCGGTCGCTGCTTACTCCAGTTCGGCGAAGAACACGCCACGCATCAGACTGGTACGTCGCATCGGTCCACCATTTCTGCTCCGCCTGTAAGAACGGAGGGTAGATGTTCATGGCCAAGCACGTGTTCGCATCAAGAAGATCGTACGACAACATACAACGCGCCACGGTCTCATAGTAATCTGCATAGACTTCCTGGAAAATATCGGCGATCAAAGCTTCACTTCGCTCATCGAATGCCTGTAAGCCCTGAGTATCCAGTCCAGTTGGAGGGGGGACTTGCAAGCGTCGAAGAATGCGATGAGGACGTTCAGTTGCCATCGGTACCGTCCTTGCTGCAGCGAGATACAAGTCCACTTGCTTCCAGTACGCTTCCATCGTTTTCACGTATCGTCGTTTCTCTAGTTCAAACGTGCGAGGTGTAGCCTGCACAGGTTCCAGCAGTGTTCTACTCGTCTTCTCGTGAGCATCTAGAGAAAACTTTGATCGTGACTTGGGACTTCGGAGCGAAGGTTTCGTAGGAGACGGTGATCGAAAAATACCTTGACTGTTTTCCACATGACGTGCGTATGCCCTGGACCCGTCGATATATACACTTAGCTGATCAGCTTGGTCGTATTCAGTGTTGTCTGGTCGTTCCTCTCGAGGTGAAAGTGGAGCTTCTTCTTGTTTTAAGCCCAATGATGATTGGGATTTGGTTTGAGAAGTGAGTGCAGGACACATTGCCATGGGTCTTGATGACGGTAAACGCACTGGCTTGGTTAAGCTTACGGGCATGTGAGCTTCTCGTTTCGTGAAGCTCGATATCCTCTCGATGGTAAGAGTTCGAGCTGATTGCGTATAATACGCTCCAATGCGGTCGCTTAGTCGATAGTATCCTCTGTCTTCGACACTTGCCGTCACCTTCTCTCCTGGTCGATATGACGCCTGCAACAACTTCCTCTGCTTTCGTGGCGGTTCTGTGCCATTTAATTCAGGACCCATGAGTCCTCCCAATGGCCCCATAGTCGCTAACATCTCGTCCTGTGGTCCTTCGAGTCGATTGATTCGTCGTTCGGATCGTGCACTTGGAACTTGATCCGTAAGGTCTCGGACGTCGCAGTTGCGAGTGTTGATGGCGCATTGAAGCATTTTTAATCGTGCCAGACGCACGGGGCTTCGCTTGGGCGAGCCTCGCGCCACATTCTGCGACGACAAGTCCGCTTGGCCTTTCATGTGCTTGATCCTGGACCAAACTGACGACTAGCCACCTCCGTTTTACTTTGGAAGGGACGCAGGCTAATTGCGAAGACATATCCTCGGAAACCATTGCTGTTTACGATCTCTCGTGGCTCTCATGGTGCTGGATATGAAAGCCGATGCCAAAGACGGCAATGATGACGCTGACAGCAACTTGGATGTACACCAAGACGTCGTGACGCAGTCCGACGAGGACGCAGCGATTGCAGCAAAACAATTCACCATGGCAGGCGTGGTTAGTACCAAACAGCGACGTCTCGTGGATGACACAGTGGACGCGGTCGAGTTGCCGTCGTACGGTAGCAACACCCCAAAGGAGCAGCTTTGTCTCGAGTACATTGCCGGTTTCCAGCGGCAATTCGAACGCATGTTCCCAACGCGACGACCGCTGTATCTACATCCTCCGAACGAGAAAGGGGTGCCAAAGTTCGTTTGCACGACGATCCGACCGACGTTACTACCGTATCGTGATCTGTATGACTGTCATACTTTATCTCGCTTTTTGGCGAGGGTTGTCGAGTACGAACCCTTAGCAAACCCGACGATCCCACCAGTGTGTCTACCGTCACCGTCATTCACGCTCAAGTGGAAGGCAGGAGACAGCTTTGACTTGGCTACGCTTCTGGTATCGTTCTTGATTGGTGCAGGATATGACGCTTATGTCGTGAACGGTACTGCACCCAAGTGGCTGTGTCTTCTGGATCAAAGCAAAGCGCCATTGCCAGTTTTACCAGTCGAGGAGGAGCTGATCAAGGCCCACGAACGCGAACTGGCCGCCGATTCTTCTAAGGCGGTAACAGATACTAAAACCAACGGTGACGTGAAACTGGTGAGCCGCACCACCTTCACGAGTAAATACCTTGAAAAGCAGGAGCTGGAAGAGAAAGAACGACAGGAGAAGACACGTCGAGTCTTGGATTTTGGCTATAACGACAATGAAGACGACGAAGATCCGCTAGAGGGGAAGCGTGCACATGCGTGGGTCCTCATTCGAGCAGGTAAACGGGAAGTATCGTATCACTTTTACCTCGAACCGTCGACTGGACGGAGCTACTCGCTGATAGATTCTCCCTACATGTGCATCGAGAGCGTTTGGAATCATGAAAACTACTGGGTCAACATGCAACAGCAACCTGTGCATCTTACGCTGTTCGATTTGTCCAATCCAACCGACTGGGAGTACGTTTTCCTGTCTGCTGCAGAGCGGAAATCAGCGAAAGAGGCTGATCAAGGTGCAAAGGGGGGTGGCGATCTATCCAACGATCTAAAGATGTTGAGTACCGAAGGTGACGATCATCATGGACAGGACGCTGCTGACGACGATTTAATTCTCGATATCCCTCCGTCGTGGGTGACCAAGCTTCACATTGACCGTGCAACCTACAAGAAACGGTTCGTCAAGGACTGCCAGCATGTGACGCTCTACCATCGAGCTAAAGTCGAAGAATTTGCCGAGAACACGCACGAGCAGGGCTTGATTGCACGAGTTACGCTTTTCCGTGATGTTGGGTGTACATTGCCCGTCGAGATTCGTGAATACTTTAAAAACAGGAAGGACAGACTCGAGTCTCGACTCCGTTTTCCATTCGAAGGCAAATTCGAAGAGCGCTTCACTCCAGGGAGAATCCCTGAGGCTCTGAAATCGCGCACGGAGTGGATCGGGTACCGTCGTGAGTTTCAATTCTACACAAGTGCTCGGCCTGACGGTCTGGTAACACGTGAAGAGGAGATTCAGGATCGTGTTTTAGAGCGCTTCGACGGCCGTGACGATTTCCTCGTCTTTCGATCCGTGACACTCGCTACGGACAAGGACGAAGTGGATGCGAAGAATCCGTATATTTTACCTGGTGGCCCTGGTGGTGAAACTGCCATTAAGAAGATGAAGGAGAAATTTGCGCGAAACCCTGCGCTTGCGGCTGATGACGATCAGCGCAAGCGGGCGTACAATGTTCACGAAGGCTCTATCCGAGTCTACTTCCACTATGCAACAGGTAAGATTACAGCGGGGTCACGTGTGTATTTCAAGACCCCCAACATCCCAGTGGAAGTCGTGATGGCGGATCCAAACGCGAAAAAGCCAAAGCTTTCGGTGCTTGAAAACGAGCTCAAAGCGTCTCTACAGGTACCGTAACTTTCAAACAGTAAAAAGCAGATTTATGTGAACATTTTTTTTCTCATGTTGTTTGTTGCATCAGATGGAGAAAGATTGTTACAGCGCAGTTCGCCACTCTGATATCGAGACACAAGATATTCTAAAAATCCGAAAGCGAGAGGAAATGGCAATTGCATTGGAAACGAGTTTCTTCGACGGTAATGACGACGAGACACAAGCCAAAGACAAAGAAGACACCAAGGAGCTGGACAAAAACGTACGTCACCTGGATACGGTCAGGATTAAATCGATAACCTTTCCTTTTGACCGACTTTTTACAGGCAAAGAACGAGGTGGACTATCTCAGTCCGTTCCTGCAAAGTGTCCATTCAACAGGAGGAAATCTATCCAAAGAAGACGCCCAAACTGTGCGGGATCTGTGTCTGCGGAACCTGAAAGAGCGTCTACTGGAGCGTGCCAACATTATCCAAGGACGGCTGGACAAGGAGAATGCGCTATTGGCCAAGCGCCAAGCTGCATTCCAGCGTAGCCAACGAGAACACGACCAGGGAACGGACGACGAGTTCGAGCGCTTCTGCAGCGAGACCATGTTCCGCATCCAGATACTGGAGCAGCGACTAGCTAGTCATGAGGAGACGGCTCTGCACAAATACGCCGAGATGGACAAGCGTCTGCACAGCGATCTGCGTCTGCGTGTGCTGCATCGATAGACGAGAGTGTTGGAGTAGTTCTGTGTCGATTTATTCGCGTTACACGAGGAAGAAGAGAGGCGGGGACGTCAATACACTATCAAAGAGACCTAAACAGCCATCCCACGCTCCTTTTGTGAACGCTTAGATCGACTCCCAACGGGCGGGAAAACAGCAGACACTTAGTAGTCCTCGTCTCCGCCGAACATGTCCATGCCGCCGCCCATGTCGACTTCCTCCTCCTCTTCAACGGCCTTCTCTTCCGTCTTGGCGGGGGCAGCACCGCCAGCGGCAGCGCCAGCAGCGGGTGCAGCACCTATAGCAGAAACAACATTGTCAGTGTTTACTGCATTTTAAAAAAAAGTGACAATTGAAGAGTGATGGTCGTACCAGCCGAGGGGCCAGCGAGGAACTTCTCGACGTCGAGGCCGCGGTTGAGCAGGTCAGCGAAGAGAGGGGCCACGTAGGCGGCGACATCGTTGCCCGAGGCCTCGAAGGTCTTGGTCAGAGCATCGGCAGTGACCTCAACACCGGCGTCGTAAAGCGCCAGAACGGCCAGAGAGGCAGCGAACTCGTCGCGCTGGGTCTTGCTAAGGTCGGCGAAGGACATGGTTGCGTCAGGAAAGATAGAACTGAATCGGTTTAAGCTCGGCAAGCGGAAGTCAGTCTGCCAACAGCTTTGGCGGCAATTTGGTCGCAAATGACTGGTCCTCCTAGGACGGCCGATTATCAGCCAGTCAGAAGCCTGTAAGCAAAGTGTGGCACAATATGTACAGAACCTGAAATAGATCCTTTGGTGTTGGTGCAACACGCAAACCGTGCATATTGTCACAATAATTGTGACAACAAGCATTGCAGAGGTTTTTGCCAGATTGTGCCTGTTGCAGCCGCACGTGTTTCGTGGAATTTCAAGGTTATGGAAAAAAGTATTAAACGAGTGCGAAAAGCATTCGTTTCTACTGGTGCGGCAGGTGTACGACACGTGGTTGACTAGGATTCGGCACGTTTGTGCGATTTTTTTTATCATTCCAATAACTGGATCACACCTGCATTGTTGCGCAGCTCCGCAAAGTGGAGTGCGTCTTCACCGAACTGATACAAGTGATTGCAAAATCAAGTAAGGCTACCAGTATTAGCAAGGGAAGAGTGACGAACACATACCGAGTTCTTGAGCGTGGCGTCGGCGCCGTGTTTGCGCAGATAATCGATGGCTTCCGATTGATTCTTCTTAGCAGCTACAATGAGCGGCGAGCATCCCTGCTCGTCCAGCGCGTTGACATCAGATCCAGCTTCCACAAGTAGCTGCACGACTTCCAGGCTCGGCAGTTCACTATAGCACGCGTGGTGGAGTGGAATGGATCCATTCTGCAGCAAGGCGGCCAAGTATCATTCAGTACACTACTAACTTATATTATCAAAGAGCACTTGTAGAGCGCACTTACAGCATTCTTTATGAAATGCTTCGCACCAGCCTGCAACAAAAAGGAGACGCATCCTGGGCTTCCTGTTCGAGCTGCGTTGTGCAAAGGCGTATTTCCAAACTCCACAAAAGCAAAATAGATAAAAAAAATCAACACTTAATCTTCTAACATGGCAAACGGAAGTTCTTACTTGGTTTTGCAAGTTCACGAGATCAATAGCGTCGTCGCCCGATTTCTCAAGAATCTTTTTCAAAACGAGTTGCATGATATTCGGATTGCCTCTGAAAGCTGCCTCGTGCAGTGGACTATTGCGATCCTGCAGGCAGCCAGCAACATATCAGTTGTTGACATTCACTTGCCTACGCATGCCGTGATACACGTATTTTACGGGGGTCTTAAGAACTTCCAGCTCCGCGTCAGCTTTTAGTAGGATCTCGACGATATCTTGGTGATCATGGGAGATAGCAGCTATGAGTGGCGTAGCTCCGTACTTCGAGAAAACACAGAAGTCTCGGTCAACGGCTCATATCAAGCAAACAAGTTTTGTTCGCTCCTCACCGACTGCGTGCACTGCCAGTTGATGTCAACTTCTGGGTCTTGAAGCAGGTTTGAGACTAACTGTAAGTCCCCGATCTCGCTCGCGCGGAAGAGATCCTCTGTTCGCTTGGAGACCGCTCGATTCGCACTCATTGTTCTTGAGTCTTTTTGAAGCTCGTGGAATATCTTTATCTATTGCATGAAGGGTCGTTGGCTTCGAGAAACCCATGGAGTTCTCATGTCAACGTCTTCCTAATTTATGTCACCCTTCTGTGATTGGGACTGACCAACGCGCATTTTGATTTCTAAAAATGCGAATTCAAGAGCTCCTGGTACTGCTGGCGACGAAGACTGCTGCAGGCGATGCAACATCCTGCGATGGTTTTTCTCAACTGCGCTTCACTCTCACTACGAACGAGGGAGGCCTGGCTGACGCATTAAGAGAATGTGTCGCGCCGCTTCTGTTCACTCCCAGCAAGTGGCTTCCAGGTGACCAATCGCGCAAATTTTGCGACCAAGAAGCGTGCAAGCGTGCCGTCCAGAAGATGGAACAGCTCCCTCCATGCACTTGGAATAGCGAAATCCCTTCAGGCAGCGACGCTAACACACTATCTATTGCGCAGCAGGTCATGCGTGACTGCGGCACGTGAGCTTCAACTTCAGCTAGACCTCTTTAGCTGAATAGAGATGGTCGTCAATTTCCTTTTAATGAAATACTTTATATTTTACAAACAACAGCTTCACTGCAAAACATCTGTCGATTATTATAATTTGTACATATAGGTTTCGCCGAGCTCATTTATTATCCATTCTCACAGGTTTTGAAAGTGACTGCCACGGGGAGGCGGGCAGTGGTGGACGAAGCAGCAGATAGATCAAGCTTCAGCACGAGAAACATGGCCGGCCGCGGACGAGAGCTCACGCTGCCCGCGTGGATGAAAAAGCAGCAGCAGGAAACGGGACCTGCGCACCCTCTTCCCCCACCGCGTGGTGCGTATCCTCCTCCCCACCACCAGCTACAGCCTCCGCGAATGCCCCCGTCCGCGCCGTCTCAGTTCGCCAATGCACCGGTATGTAGGAGCCATTCCACCATTTAACCTTCATGAAATTGTACTAACGTTGTGCATTCTCATCAGGAGGCTTCAAATGGCAGCTCCAAGTCCGCAAACCCCGCCGAAGATCTCCGCCGCAGCTCTCACCGCAGTCGTCGCAGTCGCTCGCGCTCGTCGCACCGCCGTGATCGCAGCCGCAGCAAAGAGAGACGCTCCTCACGCCATCGATCGTCTCGTGATCGTCGCAGCCGCAGTCGGGAGCGCGAGCACCGTCGCTCCCGCGACCAGTCGGAGCGTCGTTCAGCCAGACGCAGTCGCAGCCGTTCGCGCTCGTCGACGCGCATCGTTCGTCGCCGCAAGAAATCTAACTTTGACGTGCGCCCACCCGGAGTCACAGAGAAGAACGCGGCAGCCTACGCTGCCCAAGCCATTCTGCAGCAGAATATGGCTGCACTGTCGGGCTCGGTCGGCGCATCATCTTTCGGTCCGCCGCAGACGTCTACGCCTACTGGGGTGAGTCAATTTTTGTCCAACATCATTCACGAAAGCACGGCTGCCAACAGCACGGAGAGATACAACGGCTGACACGGTGTCGTTGTGTGTGCGTTGTCCGTTGTCTGTCCGTCGTGGCAGCTCTATAGTGTCCCGGAGTGGCGCTGGATGACGAGCGCGGTTCTCTCGCATGTCCTCTAACTCGTTATGTTTTTCCTGTTGTTTACCTCTTATTTAGAATGCCCCGCCCGCGTCATTGCATACGCATTCAAACCCGAACCCAGGCTACGGCTTCTCCTCGGGTTTGTCGCAGCAGACGCGTCACGCTCGTCGACTGTACGTTGGCGGCATCGGCGAGATCTCCGAGCCAGAGATCACCGCGTTCTTTAACGATGTCATTGACCGAGCGCTGGGCGAGAAGCAGGAAGGAGGCTCCGTGGTGTCCGTGTACATCAACCGCGAGCGTCACTTTGCTTTTGTTGAACTGCGCTCCATTGAGCTCACGACGGCTTGTATGAATCTGGATGGTGTGTCGTATAATGGACAGCCATTAAAGATCCGCCGTCCTAACGATTATAACCCGGCTACGGTCCCCAAGGACCTGGGACCGATCCCTCAGCTTAATTTGGCTGCTCTGGGCATTGTGTCCACCACTGTGAGTGATGGTCCGGGTAAGATCTTCATCGGCGGCCTGCCGTATCATCTCAATGAGGAACAAGTGAAGGAGCTGCTGCAAGCGTTCGGTCCGCTGCGATCGTTCCACCTTGTCAAGGAGCTTAGCTCTAATCTGTCGAAGGGCTATGGATTCTGCGAGTACATGGACATCAACGTGACGGATGCTGCGTGTATTGGACTGAACGACATGCAACTTGGTGACAAGACGCTTACTGTTCGTCGAGCGATGTCGCAGGAGAACGCCAAGGCTGTCGCTAGCGCTGCAGGTACAGTGAACACGGGCTTGGAAATGGGACTGGACCCGTCTCTTGCTGCGATGCAGGCGATGAGTATGGCAGGGATCCCGAGCGTGCCGCTCGGTACGCCTTCCCGTGTGATTGTCCTGCTCAACATGGTGACACCAGAGGAGCTTGAGGATGAGGAAGAGTATGCTGACATTTTAGACGACATCAAGGGCGAGTGTGAGCGCTTCGGAGCCGTTCCGTCATTGTTGCTACCGCGCCCGCGTGACGGGGTCCTCAGTGCTGTCGGTAAGGTCTTCGTTGAGTTTGCCGATGTGCAATCGGCCCAAGCTGCGGCCACGGAGCTTCATGGTCGAGGCTTCTCGAACAGAACTGTGGCTGTCGAATTCATGGACGAGGGCAAATATGCGCGTCGGGAGATTTCTTAGTCGTGTATGTTGAAGGTGGTCCTAGTAAGGTTTTCTTCCTTTGTTGCATGTGAAGCGATGCGAAGGGTAAATACGTGGGAAACCCTTGTTACCATGGCCAACGTGGCGAAATCGGCATTTACAGAGACGTACGTACGTGCTGCATGTACGTGCTTTTCACTGGGACCTCTTGCATATTACTTCGATAATAAATGCGTGTGGCTTCTTTTACTTTCCGTGTCATTTAGAGCAGCAACAAACACACATACTACTTCGTCCAAGCGGCACAGTGCTTCGTCAAGCTACAAACTGCTGTGCCAATGAGTAGCCAAGCTCTACGGCCTGCAAAATTCGAGTTGTAAAATATCCATTGAAGTTGGAAGTATGTCAGTCAACGCACCTTCCGGAAATGCGCTTGTGCAGCATCTACATTACGAGCGACGCCTTTGCCATTTGCAAAAAGACAGCCCAAGTTGAAGTGGGCATGCGGGCTATTCAGGTCTGCAGCGGTGCGGTAGCATTCGGCAGCTTTTCGGAAATTCAAATCGCAGCCGTCGCCTTCTTCGTACATGAGACCTGTTCAATTTGCAACAAGTCAGAATCGCGCGTCGATGAGGGATGTGATGAAGTCGGTGGATAAACACAGTCGTACCAAGCGCGTTCAAGGCTTCTGCGTCGCCGGCGTTTGCTGCGATGGTATAGAATCGATGTGCCTTCCATTTATCCGTTTTGCTGCCTATAGCCGAGTAGTACATTGTGGCTACACGCTTTGCGGCTTTCGTGTGAGGCTACAAAGGCACAATTAGTGGACAAGTTGGAGTAGTTGGCGCAATTTTCCAAATTGCTGCTCACCGTTGTTGCAGTGGCAGCTTTCGAGTAAAAGCGAAGGGCTGCAGATTGGTCCCGAAGTAGCGACGAGGTCTCGAGCAGTTTGCCAAGTGCGTAGTAAGCCTCAGTATGTCCACCATGTCCAGCACTCAAGAGTAAGCGCAGGGCTTCGTCGTGTGCCTCCTCACGGTCTTGAAATTGAGCAGATGAAGACGATCCATTCGTTGCTGTCAGTGCTCCATTCTGTTGAGGTGTGTGGAGAAGCAGCAAGCTTGCAAGTCGCGTCATGGCAACGCTGCTACCAGCATCTGCAGCCTAAAAACGAAATCATTACCAATTTAGCACGAGCACAAAATGGCCGACATGAGCAGTGAGAGAACTTGCGCTTTGCAGAAATGCCACCCCACGCTCCATATCTTGCTTGACACCATTTCCTGTGGTGTACAGCAAGCCTAGCCTAGTCTGGGCGTTTGAATCGCTCTGGTGGGTTAAAGAAGATCACGAGTTTAGAAAATGAACCAGATACTCGATTTACATGGCCGGAACTCACCTTTGCAGCCGCGCGCTGCAAGAAGTGAACAGCTTTGGCAATATCCTGCCGAATCTGCGTCCCAATAAGAAAAAGACGGCCAAGACTTGCCTCGGCGGCAGTGTGGCCCTGGTCCGCTGCTTTCGTGTACCACGTTGCTGCTTCGCTTTCGTTTGGCTCACACCCGCCGCCTCGTCCAGTCTCGTGAAAAACACCTATCATGCAGCCCAGTGTATTGATGAGTATTGCTACGAAGAATTTCAAAGAGGGATACTTGGACACAGTTTACCTAACTCGTACTGCGCATCACGGTGGCCTTGCCCCGCCGCCTGGGTAAAGCGAACCCGAGCAAGGGAAAGAAACTCGTCCGATTGCTGTGGGTCGTTCACATGGGCCTCTTTCTCGCACTGACGTTGGGAATAACGCGCATACCACATCAGAATACGTTCAAGTTGATCATAGTACAAGAAACCATTGCTGTTTACCATCAAAAGACCCAGTTGGTAGCAGGCTTCGATGTCGCCTGCCGATGATGCAAGTTCAAGCCATTTTTCGGCGACAAGCAAGTCTTTCTCGGTTCCGTTCCCAGCAAAATGCATTTGACCCAAGCACGTCATGGCTACTGCACAATGGAGATTAGCAGCTTGCTGCGTATATGTAACACCGTCACGTTAGACTGCAAGGAAGTGTAACTTGTTGTCAAGAAGCGCCAAGAGCTTACTGTGTAGAGCTCAACAGCTTTGCGAAGATTTTTTGCCACCCCGTGTCCAAAATAGTACTGATGAGCTTCCAAGCAGATTTCATCCCCTGTTGGTGCGTGTGGTTCTGGTGGTGATACAGGTTGAGGGAGTGGCAAATGAATTCCTGACCGTCGAGCTACTGCCATCGACAGCTCCATAAAGAGTGACGTATAATATGAATTGATCTCCTGGAAGGCAAACAACACCTCACGCTTGAAAGTTCGGTTCAGCATAAATTTTGCAGTGCGAAGTCGCTCCGCGATAGCAGAAACTTGAGTCAGTGAGGCTAAAAAGTTCTGTAGGGCGACTGAGACGCCTTCGTTGTCTGCATGTTCCACAAATTCAGTCTCGTATGCTGCGAATTCATCTTGTGCTTTGCCCAACAAGCCTCGAAGCTCTCCTCCTAGCCGTACAGCAAGCAATTTGCGGGGATCGACACTGTCCAGTTGTGTCACCAGTTTCTCCAAAATTTCTCGCACGACATCTACGAAGCTGATATCCGACCTGGTGTGGTCCTCAGTCTCGATCGACAAAGAAGATTGTTTCAAATCCTGTTCAGATTTTGATTCTCGATTGCTTGTTTGCTGTCGATTCTCTTCCGATGATTGTTGCTGTTGCTGCAGTTGAGCTTCACTCGTCTGAGCTCGCTTGATGATCCCAAACATGGTTCGCTTGCTCCCAGTTGCTTCTCCCGTTGCGGCCTCGGGGCTTTTGATACTAGTTGGGGACTGTTTCTTCGACCGCGCAGCGTTGGACGCTGTCACAACATTCTTCGCTACAGCGAAAAGCAACTTTGGCTCACGTGGCTTCGAGTTCGACAGTGCTTCAGTTTTCTTGACAGCAGCATCCTCCTGCCCCGTCACAGTTTCACTAGCTGTTCCAGTCGGCGACATGGTGGTCGGTATTAAACCAGGCAACGACACGACAGCAGAGCTGTGTTCACTCGCCATCTTCAAGTAGTTCGTAACTCAAAAGTGCAGTAATTTCCAAAGTGCAATATTGCAACTCAACCACACTCCAATTTTAGACTGACCATTTTATTTTTACTCGCGATTTCGACCATCGAAGCGTTGCATCACCCGCCTGCTATTATTATACCCCACCCTTCATTTCTTAAGTTGCAAACAGTGCAACTTCGATCTCAAATACTTTTCGTGCATTTGTTTTTAAAAACTTGAATCTTCAAACCTTGAAAAAACATGGGAGGTTTACGTCTACGGCTGGTAGTCCGACGCGTATCTGCGGGACGTACGATCATCGTGTCCATTAGGTGCAGGGCGTCGGTAGCCGCGCTCCGTTGCTTCTTCCTCCCTGCGCATCGGCCGTCCGTTATCTCTAGGTCCGCGATAACCGTATCCACGGTCTTCATAGCGATCTCCTCCACGCCGGTAGTCTCCACGATTGTCCTGACGTTCACGAGATCGCGAGCGAGAGCGTCCACGGGGCGGTCCGCGTCGGAACGAGTCTTCTTGACGACGGTCCGAATCAAAGCCATGGCCTCGGCCTCGTCCGTTACCTCGGTCACGAGAGCGCGACTTGGGTCGCTCTTGCCTGGGCGGTGGCCCTCTCATGTTGCCGTTGGGGGCATTTCCGCGCTCTTGAGAACGCGACCTCGGTCGGTCTTGCCTGGGTGGTGGTCCTCTCATGTCGCCGTTGGCGCCGTTTCTGCGATCTTGAGAGCGCGACCTGGGTCGGTCTGGCCTGGGTGGCGGCCCTCTCATATCACCGTTAGGCCCATTTCCGCGATCCCGAGAGCGCGAGCGCCGCTTACCGCCTGACGGCATGCCCATGTTGTTGGGTGTCATTGGCCCGCGATTCGGCTCGGGCGCATCATCGAACTGGCCTTTGCGCGGTGGAGGGCCTTCAGTCGACGGGGGTGGACGCGAGTCGGGTGCAGGCCCAGCAGGCGGCTCGTTAAGTCCCTGCTTAGTCATCCACGCCGGCAGCGTGTTGGCACGTCCGCGTCCTCGTCCAGCCATCGTTAATTCGGAAGTGATGCCAGTTTTGTGCACTTGGCTACAGATCGTCTGGTCCATTCCTTTTTATAGTCCGACTAAATTATGATGTGTTGACTGTGAGTTGCAAAACTTGAATAAAGTTTTTGACATGTCGGGAAGTGGACGAAAGAGCGCGTACCGTAAGGGCGTCACTAAGCGCGTGCTGTACGGTGACCCAGAACCCAAGGAGAACGAGCTTATCGTGCGCGTTACCGCACTGCGAGGCAGCAACTTGTTCGAGGTGCAATTACAATGTGTACAGTGGGGTCAACGGTAATGGTGATACTAACCTTACACTGTTTAATTGGCAGGTGGAGGACGCCAATGGCGCAAAATCTGTGACGATGTTGCCGACCAAGTTCCGCAAGCTCATTTGGGTCAAGCGAGGTGACTTTTTGATTGTCGGTGAAGGTGATGGTGGTGAGACCACGACTGCAACAGGCAAGAAAGGTGCCGTGACTTCCATCGTGGAGCACATTTTGTACAAAGAGCAGATCAAAAATCTCAAACGCAAAGAACTCTGGTACGGTGCAGCATGAGAAGCAATAGTAGTCCCGGTTAAGTGTGCATTGGCGATGATGGCACTGACGTGCATATTTCTTACCGCTAGGCCTGCAACGTTTGATGACTCCCCCACGGGACCGGCGTGGACGCAGGGAGACAATGTTAACGATGATGAAGAACAGAAGGGCGGGGAAAACGACGACGTGGGTGGTGAAAACGCTCAACCGTCTGCTGGCTCCTCGTCAAAGGGACTGACGATGGCCGAGGACCGTTTTGCCATGATGCACGTGAACCGGAATCGCCGCAAGGGCCACTTTGACGAGGAGGAAGAAGAAGACAGCGACGACGAGTAAAGCATGAGCTGCTGGAATGCTTGGTTCCCAATGTTCTATAGACGTGTTCTGCCAAATTTGGCGGCTTACATATCAATCCAATTTCAATAGAGTTATTGTTAGGCTGAACAAAAACGTATTGCGCCTTCGAACGAAGGAGGAAGCTCAAGTATCATGCAGCGCAAACGCAGCAGTGTGTACAATACTGGACCTGCCGTGTCGGTACGTGGGGATCAGAGTAACAGAAGTGATAGTAATTCGCTCACCTTTACTATACTTTAAGCATTACCGTCCCTTGTTTTCGGGGAACACTGCAAGTCAAGAGAATGGTGAACCGCGCAATGGCTTCTTTGGCAAAGTATGATACTAGCACCTCAAACTATTAGTACCAAATTTGCTCATATGTGCTGCATACTTGTTCGACCACAGTTCTCCAAGAAAGACTCCTTCTCGGACCTTCGTGTTGAGATTGACCGTGAGCTGGCGTCAAGATACGGGACTCATCCAGGGTATCTTCGCAGTACATCGTCGATTATACGATCCTCAGGGATCACTAAGACGACTGCTAAAGCGAAGCCTGTAGCGACGACTGCGAACGAACCCACAGTGCTAGCACCGTCAAATACGCGGCAAATGCTTCGGTAAGCCAACACTTTTGTGGATTATTAACCTGCTTGATGATCCCAATTCGTGTCTGAAAAGCAGGCGATCCGCTTCAGCGTCTGCAGTCCGGAAGAAACTTTTTCACGCGGTGGAACACAGCGGACAGCAACGTCAAAACCACAAGTTGCAGACTCAAATTGAAGCACTACGAAACTTGACGTCCGCGCCTTTATGTAAAACCCACACGAAACCCGTAAAGGAAAATTTTGCTGCCGATGCCGATGCATCATCGACATGCCAAGGCATTGTAAGTCTTGCTCGGAAAAATTCAGGACTACAGGTACCCACACGAAAGCCGCAAAACCAGGATGAATGCATCTCTGGAGTGAGTATTGGTCCCAATCGATCAGCCAGCGCCTCCATTTTAATGGCCAACCCGGCTCAATCCGTTGCTAGCTCCAACGCACCTCATCCAACACCATCAGTTCTCGTAGGTGGATACAGATCTTCGTCCGTGCAACTCGAAGTCGAACTTGTGGAACGGTTGAACGAGATAGGACGTTCGAACGTACGTATTGGTGATCTTGAGTTTATGGTGCTTAGCTCATGCTCTCTTATAGCTACCAGAGAAAACCCTATCACGTACGCGAGCGTGCCAAAGCGTGCTCGACAACATTGTGCTACAAGATGAGGTACGCTTTACATGCAATTGTTTATATTTCAGCAATCTTTGACGTATTAAATTCCTTCTGCTGCAGCACTACGGTCGTCTTTTGTCACGAATTCGAGACGAGTTTAGCACGTATGTTGACATGACGAGCCGAAAGAGTCCTATCAAATCAACTAACGGCAAAGGAGCGAAGACTTGGTGTGCATGTGAGCAAGACATCTTTGGTACGTGGAAATATGTTCTTACGGTCGCCGTCTTCTCTGGGTCTCAAGTTTTTCCTTGTCTTGCAAGCAGAGTTCGCTCTTATAAAACAGGAAAATACTGTGATGAAGAAGCGAGTGAACAGCATGCAGCACGAACTCGGAAGCTTACAAGCTGCTCTAAGACAAGCAAAGACCGGGGGGTCTACTGGTCATAGCAATCAAAGTAGTCAAAATAGTATTCGTGAAACGTGGAGCACTGAGTGCTGGTCAGAGGATGATCAGCACCAAGAAGGTAGAGCTTCAGCAACTAATTGCTTTCGATACTGTTCAGAGATATCTAACAGAGCATTTCTATCAGACAATCTAGACGACATTCTGCTTTTTCCCGTCGAAGATGTGAATCAACACCACTCGCGACCTCAAGGAGTTCCGAAGTTAAGTTTCGACACTCTCCCTCCATACAGCGATGACGTACGAATCATTATTCTTCGATCGTGAAGTGTCTTAACCTTTTTCTGACTTGTGAATGCGTAGGACGAAGATGAAGAAGTATGTACTCAATAAAGATGAGACTATAATACCAGTTATTTCTTCGTTCATAGCTTTCGAGTCAAAGATTATCACTCTCTCGTTCGTCCAAGCATCTCTAAAAGCTCCTTCAGTAACTCGTGTTGCTGACGCTGCTGGATCAGCGACTCCCTTGTCAATGCTTGCATATGGTCTATCGCAGCACACACTCGATACATCGTGTAGAAGAACATCAGTGCGCAGACAGCGATTGCCACTTGAATTGTTGGGTGAAGTCGTGTCAGCAGTCCATTAATCGTAGTGGAAGTTGGCGCATTTGGAGAGGCCTTTGTTACGGCTGCAGACTCATCACTAGGCTTCGTGGATAAAGCATCCTGCTTGCTTTCAGACTCCGATGGCATTGCCGAAGCTTTACTGGCGGGTGGAGGAGGGCCAGCACTGCTACTCGTTGATGAATTCTCCTTGATTGTATCGTGAGCAGCGTTGAGCCATGATTTAATAGCATCCTTGGCCTCAGTGACAGTTGTGCTTTCAATCTTATGGTGACATGGCAACGATACAAAAGTCAGTCACGCACTCGGAGTATGATGAAAACATCCTTGAACCCGCTTGCCTACCTGCTTCTTCAGCCACGTGCTCTTCATCCATTGCACGCGAAGCCCCACTTGAGCCAAACACACGCCTCGTTTTTTCGTAGCACTGAAGACCCACCGATGTTCAACGCGAAAGTAATCGCAGTACGGCACATCGGAAACGCACGTCGTCGTACTCACAACAAGGCGACTATTTGGTTTGTACGCATAGCGCTGGGTTTGCGTCGTAGGAATGACACTGGGACCGACCATATACTTTTTGTTGTGGGTGTATGAGACCACCCGAGAGCCATCAAACGTGTCGGGTGAGGTCACTGCAGTGTACGAGGTAGATTTCTTCTCCCATGCAGGGAGAGAGATTTTCGTTGCGCCGGCTGCCTCAAGAACATTACGCGAGAAAGTGTCCGACTCGACCCATAACGTTGCGTAAGCAGTCGCAATGCTGCAAGCATAGCAAAGATCAGGTCAGTTAGCAAGTGCACATGCCAGTGAGATCCACAGAAGCTCCATCAATTTTCGTACCTGAATTCTACTTCTTCGTCCATCAGCATGTCGTACTCACTCAGAAGTGTATCCTTGTCTGGAACTGTGGGAGGTGTTGACACAGAATCTGAAGATGGGGAAGACGGGGATCGGCTGTCCTCTGTAGGAGTTGTATCAGTGGAGGTCGAATCAGGACTAGGAGCAACAGCAGCTAAGTCTTTGGAGCTCCTACGCCGTCTTGACTCGCCGTTAGTCACAGGCTTGTTGTCTGTGTCAAGAAACTCAGTATCGGGTTGCTTTGCTGGATCTGACATAAGCTCTTCAGTTTCCTTCTTTATGGATCGCAATTGCTGGATACTCTGATAGCATTCATCGCTGTAATTCACATGGACAGGAAGGTCATCATGCTGCAGCGCGTTTAGGTAAAAATGGATGAAATACTTACCGATAAACAAATGAAGCGAAGAACACCTTCTCTCCTTTCACTGTGAACTATAAGCCACAAGGAACACGGTATGAGCATGTGCAAGCAAGCAGATAATAGTAGGATGACTCTAACCTCAATAGCGTTTGGAACTATCAGCGCTGTGTTCTTCTTCTCCATTGCTGAAATGTCTGACAATGATGCAACCTACAATGCGACATGTCAGATCATTTTGTCCACCAATATCACATTTCACGTGGTAGATAACGTACGAATACAGTGTCAATCCACCCCGAGAAGCACATGCTGTCTCTGGTTAAATAAAGTCGTCCATGGTATGGGAAGTTGGACAGGTAAAGTGCGCACGAATAGCTTTCGACAACTTGTTCGGGTACGTCCAGCTACGACAAGCAAGAAATAACTGTTAGTAGGCAAGACACCCTTTTACAGTTGGCACCATATTTACCTTGAACTTCTTTTGGAAGTCGGAAACGCCTAGCGGCTGCGATTCGGCGTAATCTTCCTCTTGCTCCGTTCCAGATTCTTCACTTTCATCCTCTTCCGAAAGATTGCCATCTGCATTGGCGTCGTTTGTTGTCGCTGTGTTATTGTCTCGTTCGTGGATAACACTCGGACGCGGGGATTTCTTCTCGGACGAAGCATTTGTTTCGCTTCTGAGACTTGCAATAGACGCGCTGATGCTACTTGTACGGCTTCGAGAGCTGGTGTCTACATTTTCTGAGCTCAACGACGACGCACCAAGCGACGAAAGGTATTCTCGCATCGCTTCTTTTAAGCTATCGTTGCCGTGATAAGCAGGAACGATGCGCTGGATTTGTTCGTACGGCTGTTGGTTGACTCGAATGAACTCGGTCATATCTGTGCTGGGATCAATCTTCTCAAACTCTATCAGGGCTTTGTTTCCGACTGAAGTCCCACCTTGCAGCATATGCTCGATGGCTTTCGCTAGTGATTGCAGCGAGTTCTTGCCGACTTGAAGACGGTATTTCTCGTTCTTCATGCATGTTGAAATAAAAACTTCGATCTCCTGCAAAGTTTGGTCAGCGCGTTAGAAATTATCACAAGGAAAAAGTCACTATGGAGACGAACCTGAACGTAATTCTGGTACGTCTGCTTCAACGATTTGGTGTTATCGGTGACTTGCGCTTGCAATTGGCGTATTTCCTCCGCAAGCTGACGGAGCTTGGCCTCCGAGCGGCGCTCCTTTTCGTTGAACGAGCGTACATTGGCACTCAGTACCTCCAGAGCCTGCGTGATATCAATGCCGTAGGAATTCGTAGCGACGGGGGTTGCTCCTGGCAAATACGAAAAGGTCATGGCGAATTCCCGGGCTTTCGTGTCAAGCTTCTGATGAAGCTTTTTGTGAGCTGCTGCTTCATAGCACAATGACGTATGCAACTTCGAAAAGCTCTCCTGCGTTGAGACTCGAACATTCTCGTACTCACTCTTCATGGTGGCAAGGCTAAGAGACACGGGCTCGGCGAGTAGCGATCGGAATTCCTGCACAGTGACAACAATCATTAAAATAACGAAGGAGACGATGCCGGTCTTGCAGCGTACCTGGTGAACTTCTAGAAGAAGCTTAACTTGATCCTTCACCGCCATCCAGCCATTCGCCATCGATGCGCCTTCATCGGACAGGAAGCTCGTTGCGTTGGATAAAGTACCGAAGATATCTGTTGGCGTAACGTGACCACCATTTTCATGTGTTCGCAGAAGCTTGCGTAGATAATGTGAAAAGCGGGTCTCGGTCGCAATGAACTCTGTCACGACTGAGCTGATTATTCCAACCATCCGATGTCCGGTGTCTGACATCTCCTGGATATGCGTCATGCGCAGATAGGAAGGATTGGCCGATACGTCTGCTCGATCGACATCTATCTCGTCTTGGCTTCCAAGGCTTTGGAACGCCTTCTCAATATCAGCTAGAAATCGGCCACAACGTGTCAGTAAAGTTCCATTTCGTCACGTGGTGATATGTTTATCTTACCCAGTTCATCGACTTTGTTGGCGCTTGCTTTCATCCGCTCGACGAACTGTTGAGATCGCGAAAACATGGCGATGAAAGCCTTCTGCATGCGCATCAACACGTCTCGAAGATACTCGAGACGCTGTTCTTCTGTTAGTTGAAACGCATGCAAGTTTTCCTTGATTTCACGCTCGAAAATGGGACGTTGAGCGTTTGTGTACTCCACCGTCTGGACGTAGTGCTTTTCCGCGGCGATAACATCTTCAAGACTGCTATATAGCCTCGACCTCTGTCGCTCCAAGGGGTTGCGCCCAAAAGAAGACGTGGTATCCCACATCTTCGTCAGCAGTTGGCCAGCACCTGCTGCCAATTTGTCGGTCAGCTCCTTTGGCGTTAAAACTTCTTCGGACGACGACTCAGAGGATGACGAATGGACGTCTGCTAGTGTGCTGTCACTCTTTTTCATTGCTGTCGTGATCTCGATCGCTTCTTGGCATTTCCGCTCGTACTTCTCTTTCGCTTTGTCCATGGAAGAAATCATTTGCTGTTGAGCCCAGCGCACCTTTGTCCCCTCTGCAAAAAAGTTACAAGAATCATCTGCGTTAAAGTCCTTACGGCATCCAGCAAACGACAGGTAAATAATGCAAGGGCAACGCGACTAACCTGTAATGAGGCGATGCACCTGAGTTTCCTGCTGTTGTGCGAAGGCTTTTGCACCAGGCACAATAGAACTCTGCATTATCTGGGCAAATGCCCACCGCTCTTGAGTTAAATGCTCAGTGGCTTCTTGAAACATGGTCCAGCATCCCGTAAACTGCTCCGACCAGTCTTCAGCCTTTGCACTCCTGCACAAGTGCATCAACAAAGGTCAATATGTTCTATAATAGCTCAAAGCAGAACACCCTTCTTACTGTGCTAACTTGAGCAGTGACTGTGCATAGTTACTCTCCAATCCAGCTCGCTCTGTGACGAATGCTGAAACGGCCTGGCAGAGTTGCACGCCACTTTTTGCCTTCTGACAGACTTTGGGGAAGGCTCGAAAGAGGTCTGTCGAGTACGTTCCCTCAGCTTGCGCCTGATAAGGTGGCATCACGGAGCCTTCGTCACTCTTGGCTGTTGGACTGGCATTGCTATGTTCAGGAGAGGCTTCAGATGCCGTGCCCGTGCTGCTGGGGGTGCTCTGGACCATCTTATCTTCAGACGACGTCTTCACCGTGATATCCTCCGCGTCTTCTTTTAATGGAGAGCGGCCAAATGAGAGCACAAATGTATGGAAAGATTAATGGGTGAGTGGAGAGAAGGTAGACAAAAGAGATGAGTGCCAGTACGCACCCATGATAAAGAGAAGAAGTGCGCGTGTGCTCTGTTTTGCACTTTTGACACTGAAACGCTGAAGGTCGGACGAAAATGGAGACGCTTTTTCTCTACTGTAGCAGTTTCAAACGATTAGCTGATATGATTACCCTACAAACATCAAGTGAAAGTGTGAGATGGAGCCGTTAATACTTTGAACTTCATTGCGAGAAGCCTTGACGTAGTATCTTGCATCTATGCTATGGATACAAGTAGTACACGTCTATCCACGTGGAGTTATGTTCACGACGAGCCACTTACTGCCAAGGTGGGCATAACGAAATCGTGCATGTAAACGTAGAGATGTTGGAAGTTTAAATGTTATTCAGCCATTACACTTGCCAGGAAGGACTTCCTCCCTGTCGAGAGCACCTACGAATAAAGAAGACAAGATGCAGCGTGCCACGCCGCACTTCACTTCAAACCCGGTACATATCTTAGTACTGGGCCTTCTTGGCAGCCTCGGCGGCGATCACCTTCTCGCGCAGCTCCAGCTTCTTCTGGGTCTTCAGGCCCATGATACCTCCGCCCCATTTGCGACGAGCCACAGAGTCGTCGTTGAACTTGGTGCGGAACACCTGGGTCAGCGAGTCGAACTTAGCCTTGTCCTCCTTGTTGACGTGGGTCAGAGCGACCACAGCGGCGTTCTTCTGGTGCACGAGCTGGCCAAGACGAGCCTTGCCCTTGACGATGCAGTACGGGATGTCGAACTGACGGCACAGAGCGGGCAGGAACACCACGAGCTCAATGGGGTCAACGTCGTGGGCAATTACCACGAGCTTGGCCTTCTTGTTCTCGATCAGCGAGGTCACGTGGTTAAGACCGAACTTCACGACGGCGGGAGGGGCCGAAGCCTCCTCCTTTCCGGCAGCGATGTTGCGAAGACGCTGGGTCTTGGCGGCCTTGGTCTCCGGCTGGTACTTAAGCAGCAGCTTGAACAGGTCCGTGGCCACGTTCTTCTCCACAGTGTTGGAGAACTGGTTGATCGACGGCGGCACCTTCAGGCGCTGGTACAGGACCTTGCGCTGACGCTGAAGACGCACGTAACGCGGCCAGCGCACGAAGCGGGACAGGTCACGCTTGGGCTGTTGAGGGATAGAGCAAGACAATAACAGAGAGTTAGTTAAGCTGCTGCATGAGGAGGCAACCACGCTCCTCCACGAGTGACAACAGGGCAGAGAGAGAGAGGTTCTTTACCCTTGAGGCGCAAATCATCGCTAGCGAATGAAATTGCCACCACAAGTTTTGTGTCATTGCGGTCGTGGGGGACCCGCTACACTGTTCTCATGCGAGACGGAGAGACAGCGGTCGAGTCATGCAGCACTTAAGCTAGAGGCTCAACCACTCCTCTCTATCATCACAGAGGGACGTGGATCGCTGCCTTTAGTCCCTCATCGAGAGACAAAAGGACAAAACGATAGGATGGAAAAACGGCGCTTCAAAATACCTGAATGTCACCGCCCTTGCGGAAGTTCTTCGGGGTAGCCACGAAGAGGGGGTCCTTCTTCGAGGCAGCCGAGACCTTGACACCCTTGGTGATCTTGGTCGTGGTGGTGGTGGTGGTGGTGCGCTTGACCTTCTTGGTGGGCATGGTGATCGTAGATGGCGAATAAACGAATGGGGGCGACTTGGCTCGTGGCCGTCATGAGCTGCCCAACAGCCAGTCATTCAATCAAAGCGGTTTTCAGCCAATGAGATAACGTTTGTGTGAAGTGGTTTACACAACTACTGAAATATGTTAAGTGCGCAGTCCGAAGAAATGAACCGAGCAATGCGAATTAGCAGATTGACATGTGATCACTTGCTTGACATGTCCTAATGTCGATTGATGCGGGCACAACAATCGTGAGCTTGGTAGTACGGTAGTATGGTACATGCTACATGAAGTCGAAGTTGGAAACCGACCAACAGGTCTATCTTAAAATCTACTACCGCATGTCATACGTTTTGGCTTTTATAAACCTGCTTTCGAATGCCTTGCTCTGGGGTGACGACAGCACCCAGATACAGTATACAAGGGACAGCGCGGGCATTCTTTGAGGCTACGAGGACAAATATACGTACAAGCGATCGTATACGTCAGCGCCGCGACGCAGTACGTCACTCTTCCAAGAGCTGCTCTGGTGTAGATAAAACACGTCCCGAAGTTTCTGCGCGTACGGCAAGCGGTTTGCAGATGATGATCCGTGATGGTAGATGGCGTTCTCCTCGACCATTGCTTTCAGGATGAACACACCAGGCACCGTACCGAGCTCTTGGCAAAAAAGAAGCGCGTTCTTCTCCAATTGAGGGCCCAACAGTTTTGCAACACCATCGAAAGTAAAGCCGCCGACACCATCATAACCGCGTGACACCGGATTATCATTATCGTGCACGAAGACCACCTTGTTCGTGTACTCCGAGCCGGAGAAGACGATGCGTGCTGTCTCCATGTCACTCCCCGCTCCTAGCATCAGTGTGTCAACACCGGCAGGCCCAAGCCCCGTGTGCACATCAACCATCGCGAACTTGGTTACGGCGTTGAAGTCGACATGTTCCCTTAGGAAATTCTGCAGCAGTACCAAACTCGGCTCAAGCTCCGTTCCACCGAAGAAAAGCGTCTGTGGGAAGTGGTAATTCCCGCCAATTGTCGCCTGCTTTATCGCATCAAAACCCTTAGTAGCTAAATGCATGATGCCTTTTACCCAAAACCAGTTCTTGACCCCGCTTAATTCCATCGGGTTCAGCAGCTCGTAAACGTCCATGTATCCCAATCGGTTTGGGTCTCTCTTTTGGCGCTCCGTGAACTCTTCTGGCGTGAGCCAATTACGGTTCAAATCCACACCATGCTCATTGAATCGACGCAGCTGCGCGAATCCATACGCATTTAATGCGTGCACGAAGATCACCGTGGGTTTGTTCTTGATGGAGCTTGGGGGTGTCGCCGTGCGCTCCAGCAGCGCCGCTTGGATAGCGCTCCCCGCGAAACCTTCGACGCCGTGCGTGGCTGAAATATGTAGTAAAGCGCGTTCTCTTGAGCCTTCGATCACTGCCACATCCACAGTCAAATCCAGCGGCTTTAGATGCTCAAGGGGCAGAGAGAAGAGCTTGGCGCCGGCGACCTCGGCTCGTGATCGGAAAAGCGCCCGCGCTTGGTAGTACGAGTCACTAAAATGCTCCTCCACACTGACATTAGTAGTCGAGATGGGGGCATACGAGTCCATAGGCAGAAAGTCGTTGGAAGCGTGCAGAAGCAGCGCCGCCAGCAATGCCGCGATCGCCGGCAAAATAGTGCCCATTATTATCGAAGTTGAAGATTGGACAATGCTTTAAAAAACCGCGACAATTTTATAAATTTCATGCGTGTGTCAAAGAACACGGTAATATATTAGCCAATGGTAAGCATGCATGCTCAGGTTTTAGACCACAAAAATTAGACTTCAACAATAAAGAAACAAGATAAATCAGCATTCATGTTTCTTTCAGATAGACCTAGACATTTGAAATGTCTAGTTTGCGTTACAAAATCAAAGCTCTGCAACACCACCTGCCGACTACAAGTTCATTATCAGGTGTGAGGACGCTACACCACTGTGCCGCGGCCTATTGCTCAATTAGCTCCGTGCGGACGATCGACGCGATGGGTCAGAACTGCTCATGCCTGGAACACCCGCCCAAGTACCAGCGACGACAGTCCGACGACTTAGACACGGTGGACATGGAGCGAGGTGACGACGACGACGACCAGGAGCTAGAGGTTTTAGTGGGCGTGCAGGAATCCCATGAGCTGCTTGGTGCCAGGTCAAGAACGAGTTCAGGCGGTAGGAGTAATCAGGGGATCGTCTTAAAGAGGTCTGGATCGCCTGGGCTCATGGCAGACGCAGGCAGAAAAGATGACGAGGATGAAGAGAAGGAGACGGAAGAGCAGCGCATGCGTCGCAGCCTCAGCATGGGACTCCTGGGGCTGGATGCAGACCACTATCCTACACCATCACCTCGACCAGAAGAGCTGTCAAGGCTGTTGCGTTCGTATCAGGAGGTCACTGGTGTGGTAAGTATGTGTGGCCATCTCAATTTTTGGCGGTGCTCGAGCTGATCATGTTATACTGTCTACGGTAGGTCGACGAAGGCCAACTTGACCTCGAGTGCATCATGTGCTTGGACACATTTTCGGAGGTGAGTGCTACTTCGACTTTTCGGTTGGTAGTGATCTATCTAATCTTGTTTGTTTTTTTGCTAAAGGATAACCCCAAGGTTCGCACGTTGTGCAACTGCGGCATGAATCGCACTAACTTTCACATGAGCTGCTTGCTCGAGTGGCTCAATCGTGACGCGAATTGCCCAGTTTGTCGCGAGTATCTCTTTTTCGAGGACTCTTAATTCTATCAGTTCTTGAGAGCGTGCTCCAATGATAAGCTACCCCACTCGTATTCAAGCACAAGACTACGAGTATGATCAACTGATGTCCTCTTAACAGGACAGGGCACCAGAATTCTTGTGATACCAAGTATTCCGTTACAATAATCGTCGCCTTACGCTGCGACAGTTTTGCTTCTCGCAGACGCCCTGAATAATAACAACGTGTATTTTATATCGTGGAGAGTCTTTTATCCTTACCATTTTTCAAAATCACTGCTGCACTTTAACTTCACGCGTGCAGTACAATGCGATCACGAAAAGCATACGCGGAAGCCACTGCTACGACGCCAATCACGGTTGTTGCAATGATAGAAATCTACACAGTATCACAGAACACTTCAGTACCCACACCCACTGAAGTCGAAATAAGCTAAAGTAGCTGAGTTACCTGCCAAGAGCCAAAAGTGTAGTTGGTTTTATCTCCATCTCTGTTCAATTGATATCGCATCAACCATGTAAAACCCACCAAATCACCAGAAACTCCACACTATTAACAACACGTATTTTACTCACCTTGATCGTGACGGTAGTGGCGGGACATCCTTCAGCACTGGTTTGGTTACACTGGGCCACGGTTGGAATTTCAAAGGAAACCGGAAGTACGCATTTTGGCTGCCACGCACATCAACAACGTAGACGGTTAGAACTTAGTGCGCTGTATCGGGAGCTTGCAGGCCTATCAACCAGCGTACACTGAGCCAGCATCCATATCGCTTTGCTTTATAAGCTGCTCCGGCGGCAGTTGATGGAACAGTACAAGAGCCCGTGCGATCACCTTTTCGACGTCCATAGAGAGTGGCAAATTCGACAGCATTCCATGCATCGTTCCAAAGTCGCTCTCACACCGCAAAATTTTATCTCTTGCTTCCAGCACAACCTACGTATCGAGCGAGCACCAGAAGCAAGTTAAGGAAGGTGAAAAGACTCAAAAAGGTTTTTAGGCTCAACTCCATACCCCAGCAGACACGTAAAGACTGAAAAGCGGGTGTGTCACGAGAAATACGTCAAACAGCCGCTTAACGTCTCCGAAGCGTTTCAATTGATGCGCAAACCACGTGATCATCCAGGGTAGCGCGAAAAACGGTTCAACCTAGGTAGTAGGCACACGACCAGAAAGTGTCAGTATGACATACACGTTGGTGCACCCTCCAGTAAGAGAGCGTACCCCCGATGCCCGTAGATGTTGGAATAGCAACTCGTCTGCAGCATCCAGCAACGGAAATAACAGCCTTGTGGTCGCCATCACTTGCTCAAAGCCTGGACGCATCGGTTCGCGCTGGTATGTCTCGCTGACATTTTGCACAGCTTGCATCGTGGTTGGCGAACTTCCTAGTGTCAGCAGGAATACCGAGACAATGTCATGATACCCTTGGAAGTAGAACAGCTCGTCGTTGGCTGATAGTGCGCCCAGGATGATCTGCGTCAATGCACGGCGCTTAGCGCGACGCTCGCTCTCTTTGATTCCCTGCAGCACGTCATAATGCCACAAAGATCGCTCCACGTCCTTCTCCACCTGCGCTGCATCCCGGTGCACTTCCACTAAATCACTGTTTGTGACAGGTCGCGTATTGTGCGTTGCTTCACCAATGCCTAAGAGAAATGGCCATAGATCCCTCCGGAACTCGTCTGAAACTAGCCCTTTCGGTGTTATCGCCAGCCGGCGCACTTCGCGGAAACACTCATCCCGATCTTCAACTGTTGCAACGCTGCTGTCGCGCACCAGCGCCCGCAGGCGAATAATGACCACACGGAGCTGTTTTTCCTTGTGCTGGATGAGACGGCGCTCGCGCGCTGCAAGAGCCCGTCCTGGGATGCCCCGCACACGACGTCGATCGTGCCTCTTGCTGCCCATTTTGCTGGACCGGATACGAAATCGATTCAACGTTGACTGCTGTCTTGGGGTAACTTTTAGCAGTTAATCAGGGTAAAATAGATGCTATTTTAAGAGACACAGAGATGCGAACGGATTATAATAGCTAGAAAAGGAAAGTGGTCCGATCGTCATGATTATTGGTGTACAACACGTAAGCCAGCTGTTGTGATTAATTTGATTGTGCAGAATGGCTGACTTGTCGCGGCTTGGTAAGGTCCTGGATTTCAGGCTGGAACACTCATGTACAGTGATAGCAGCGTCGCGCAGCTTCGATCGACTTGGCATCGTATCAGTGGCACTACATACCACAGCTTCCTGACAGGAAGTTCCTGTTTGCTACTGTGTTATCGTCGAGATCCACGAAAATTATTTGAACAGTGTAATGCACCTTTTCGAGCCAAAAAATCAGCTGTCGGAAAGTACTGATTCAAAAAGCTCATCGAGTTGTTTGCCTAACCTAGCTTCATCTTGCACATGCGATCTGGAAGATTATACCTTTATGCAGATAATTGGAACCCGTGATTAGCACGTGCAAGCCGTTTCAATTTAATTTAATGTAAGGGGTTAACTCCCGCTGGGGATTCTGATTTCTTTGGCTACCACGTTTCACTTGGCTTCAGTATACTATGTCTACTCCGTCTCGGGGCGCCATGATGAGGTGCAGCTCCTGTCGTCGGTTGGTGTCGGCTCAGTGTGGGATATCGCGAGCGACGGCCAAAGGTCCGGACAAGAAACGCCGGGCGGACGACACCCGCCGCCCCCGCGTACACGACTCGAGTCCCGCATTTCCAGTCGCGATCGGCGATAAGATCCCCTACCAGCTGGGCAGTCGCACGTGAACTCAGACAGGACCCCGCGGCTCGGCTTGACGGCCGCTGTCTCTCTCTCTTTTCTTCAGTCAGTCTTGAACGCCCCGCAGCCCGCGCAACATGGCGCGTTCCGGCAGCGATGGCGACAGCGATGACGCTATGCAGTATAGCAAGCCGTTACGCCAGCAGAAGAAACTCTGCGATGAGGCCATGGAGCTGGTTAACGCTGGTGTGGCGATGCAGAATGCGTCTCCTCCCGATGCGGCTGGAGCCGACGCCAAGCTCTCTCGCGCGGTGACACTCATGGAGCAGGCGTTGGCCATCGAGTACCCCACGCAGGAAGAGCGAGACGCCAGTCAACGCCTCAACAGCAAAATGAACCGATATGTAAAGATGATCCGCAGTCAGCGCGAGAAGGGCACGGCTGGCGGCGCTACGGGCCGCGGACATAACACCAAGTACAACATCTTGCCCATGGACAACCTGCCGACCACGTATAATGCCGTGGTCGAGCTTATGACCAAGTAAGACTAAACCCACTGCAGTTTCAAATTGTAAAGAGGGCGTAAAACTGACGCTGATATTTTCTCTTTCTCTCTATGACAGCTCGTCTGCGGTAGGTGACATCTTTGAAAGCCTCAAGGGCGCGTTCGGTTTCCAGGAGTCCAATATCGCCAATCAGAAGGAGCATGTGCTGCTCATGTTGACGAACTTCAAGCTTCAGGAGGAGGAACCGAACCAGAACAACGAGGAGCACCACCAGCTGGACCGACAACAGGAGCTGGATATGGCTAACAAGGGTATTAAGCGCTTCCACGGACGCATCTTCGCCAACTACACCAAGTGGTGCAAGTACGTGTCTACCAAGCCTGCCTTCACGAGCGACCCCCTAGTGGATATCGTGCTATTCTTCCTGATCTGGGGAGAGGCTGGTAACTTCCGTCAGATGCCCGAGTGTCTGTGCTTCCTGCTACACACTTCACTACCTCAGGCCTCGTCTCGTGGTGGTGGTAAGAACCCTGGTGACTTCCTTGCCGAGGTAATTCGTCCGATGTACGAAGAAGTCAAGAAAGACAACGACAAGAAGACCGCACAGGGTGCTCGTGCTCCTCATGGAGAGATCCGTAACTACGATGACTTTAACGAGTTCTTTTGGAACAAGAAGTGTCTGAAATACAACCCGACGACCATCCACGAAGCATTCGGCGAAGTGGACAAAAAGGGTCGCCCCAAGGTCATCAAGAAGAGTTTTGTGGAGAAGCGCACGTGGATACGCGCTCTCATGTCTTTCCGTCGTATTTTCTGCTTCAACTGCGCATTGTTCCTGGCAGTCTGCGGTTTCGCTCTCAACATGGTCATGTATTGCCCGGACACGCCAATTTTGTACGGCGCTGATTTGAGCAACGGAGACTCGCGTGGTTTTACGGTATTCGGTAAGAATTTCACGGCTTCCGACAGCACTGGCATTGGATCTGGTGACGGATCAGAGGACAAGTCAAGCGATGGATCCGGTCCTTCCTGTAACCACCAAATGCTGGCTACGTGTCTTGGAATTACCTACACGACCGGTATCTTCGAAGACATTCCCATTGATTTCAAGGCTCTACTCCAGGTTGTGCCGTTTACGGACTGTGTGGAGAAAAGCACGGGTCGGTGCGGATGCTACTTGGATCTGATTGACAACTGCTTTGCGGAAACAGGCCAAACTACGAGAGTAACTGAAGACGAACTGGCGTTCTCGTCTTCAAGTGAATTCGACCAGAGTATGTGTGTGGTGAACTGGCGTGCTGCCGTTGAGAGCATCATCAAGAAGCCTGGTCCGGGTAAGCTAAACTGCGAGATCTGTCAGTTGGATATCAAGGCGTTGATCACAAACGGTAAGATCGGTGATCTGTTTAGCGGTCTGTTGAAAATGGGAGATGGTACCCCACTTCCGGACGGTGACATTGACAACGACAAGCGTACGGATATGGGTGGTCTTGCTATGCTTGGTGGTGCTGGATGCATCGGTCTCGTCGTTGCGTGTGAGTTTTTCAACAAGATCTTCTCGCGTGTCGGCTCCGGATACGTGGGTCGGTCGATGCCAGTTCCCATTCGCGCGTACTGCCGATACACTTGCTTTTGGCTGCTATTGTTCCTCTGCAAGCTTACGTTTGACTACCAGTACATGATCAAGGCGCTGGTGGAAACAACACTGTTCATTTGGTACGCGAACGAGGATGAGTATCTTCCGTACTCCAACTTCATCCTCCAGATGACTTTCCACAACATCATCTACATCTTGTTCCTATGGATCCCGGCGTTCTTTGTGTTCATGTACGACGCGCAGATTTTCTACTCGGTTTTGTCGGTGATTTTCGGTTCGTTTGCTGGTTTCAACCTCCGTATCGGTGAGCTGCGCTCATTCCGCGTGCTGCGACTCTCGTTCAAGTCCATTCCTCGTATGTTCAACAAGAAGATTGTCCCGAACATCCAGGATGGCGCAGCTGATGGCAAGAAGAAGAAGAAGAAAAAGAAAAAAGGAGAGACGGAAGAATCAACCATGCCTGTCCGCCACTTTGAGCGTGTGTCAATGGCTGATGGCATCAAGCCTCTTACGGTGAAGGCCCAAATGTACTCGAACCTGTTGGATCAGAACGGAGATCATTTGTACAACGAGGTGAAGACTCCCAATGACAAGGATGACGCCAGCTCAAGTGGCCGTCAGTCCCAGTTGGGATCGGTTACCGGTGTGTCTGGCGCTGACTTCGAGCGTACGATTGCCTTTGCTATGGCGTGGAACCGCTGCTTGGGTAGTCTACGCGAGGCCGACGTCATCAGCGATCGCGAGCTGAATGTGCTGAGCTATCTTATCGACTCGAAGGACGCCGAGGAGCGAAAACTGTACCCACCTGCTTTCTTGACCGCTGGCAAGCTGGACGAATCCCTTGACATCATTGTCGATTGCTCGGCTGTTTACGAGAAGCTGAATACTGACAAGAAGAAGAAGGAGAAGGCACTGCAGAAAATTGAGAACACCATGCGTGACCGCCTGACTAAGGATGACCTGCGTGTGGAGTCGATTCTGGGGTCATACAAGTTTACGTCGCAGGCTCTCCGCTTCTTGCTTGGTGATGAGCACAGAGATCTGAACGAATGTTTTGAGTTTATGGAAGAAATGGCTGCGCAGAAATCGATCCTGAAGGGGCTTAACTTGAAGAGTCTCCACGAGTGCCGCGCCGCATGTGCTGAACTGATGAAGGCGCTGCTCGAAGTGCCGAAGACGACGTCAGACAACAGTATCAAGTTCCAGCGCGCGCTTTACCGCGTTATTGATTGTGTGGAGACTGTGCTGAACTGCATGAAGAAGATCCTGGTGAAACAGGAGAATCTGGTGCAGATCTTGACGGACACTCCGCTGAAGCAGAGCTCGTTCTTCTTTCCTGGTGACGCTCAGCAGTATGCTAACATGCAGCTGCAACGTCTCGTAAACTCGGAGGCTGCTTTGGACATTGTGTCGCGAGCCTACCAGCTCCTGACGGTGGATAACTTCGATGCTGAGCCACGCTCGGATGAAGGACGCCGCCGCTTGCGCTTCTTCGCCAACTCACTGTTCATGGACATGCCTGATGCCAAGCCGATTCGCAAGATTCGGTCGCTGACAGTGTCGACGCCGTACTACAACGAAATTGTCATGTACTCGATCAAGGATTTGACTGCTCAAAATGACGACAGCATCAAGCTGTTGTACTACCTGAAGACCATTTACCCGTTCGAGTGGGAGAACTTGCTTGAGCGTCTTCAGGCCAAGGACATGGAAGAGGCTCTGAAAAAGTACCCGGAGGAAGTCCAAATGTGGGCCAGTTACCGTGGTCAGACGCTTGCCCGTACCGTGCGTGGCATGATGTACAACGAGGATGCCATCCGCTTCCTGCACTGGTTGGAAATCTGTGAGAACGAGGTCATGCACCAGTTTGGCTGTCCATGCAACAAGTGTAAGCGTCTGGATGAAATGGTGGCTCTCAAGTTCAACTACGTATGCACGTGCCAGATTTACGGTAAGCAGAAGGATGAACAACGCCAACAGGCTGCTGATTTAGAACATCTGCTGCGTAAGCACCCGAGCTTGCGTGTGGCTTATGTGGACGGTCCTAAAAAGATGAAGGAGGGTCCACCCAAGTTCTTCTCCGTTCTGGTTCGTGCTGACGGTGAAAACATTGCTGAAGTGTACCGTGTCGAGCTGCCGGGTAACCCGATCATTGGTGAAGGTAAGCCCGAGAACCAGAACCACGCCATTATCTTTTCGCGTGGTGAGCTGCTCCAGTGTATCGATATGAACCAAGATGGTTACCTTGAAGAGGCCCTGAAGATGCCGAACCTTCTATCGACGAAGGATACCGAGACTACCAAGGTCCCCCTCACAATTATTGGTTTTCGCGAGCACGTGTTCACGGGTGGCGTGTCCAATTTGGCCAGTTTCATGTCCATTCAGGAGCTGTCGTTCGTATCGCTTGGTCAGCGTATGCTGGCGATAAACCATGTTCGCCAGCACTACGGTCACCCCGATATTTTCGACAAGCTGTTTGCCATGGGCTGCGGTGGTACCGCCAAGGCTTCCAAGGGTGTGAACCTTTCGGAAGATATTTTCGCTGGTTTCAACAGTACCCTTCGCGGTGGTCGCGTCTCGCACGAGGAGTTTATCCAGGTGGGCAAGGGTCGTGATGTCGGTATGCAGCAGCTGGCTCTGTTCGAAGCCAAACTGTCTTCGGGTGCCGGCGAGTGTGTGATTTCTCGTGATGCGATGCGTATGGCTTCTCGTTTGGACTTCTTCCGTCTGCACTCGTGGTTTTACGGTAACTTGGGATGGTACTTCACGCAGACGATGACTGTTGTGGGTGTATACTTCTTCATCTACGGCAAGGTGTACATGGCTCTGAGTGGCATGGACAGCTTCTTCCTCGAAAAGGGTGGTCTGGGTATTGGTGGTACGTTGAACACATCGTGGGCCTTCCAGTTCGGTTTCTTGCTTGTAGTGCCTGTTGTTGCCGTCGTGGGTGTCGAGCAGGGCTTCCGTCATGGTGTGACGTATCTGCTTTGGAACATTATGACTCTTGGTCCTCTGTTCTTCACGTTCCAGATGGGCACGCGTATGCACTACTTCGACCGCACGTTAATCCACGGTGGTGCCAAGTACCGCGCTACGGGTCGTGGCTTCACGATCAAGCACGAGAAGTTCGCCGAGCTTTACCGCTTCTACGCATTCAGCCACTTCTATCGTGCTGTGGAGCTTATCTTCCTGTTGATTTTGTTCCGTGTGTACGGCACTTTCTCGTGGTGCAACTGCTCGTGGACGCAGGATGCTTTGTTCTACAACTACTACAAGCCGTCAGATAATGACTGGAACACTCGATGCTACGCTAACTACTACCAGACGTGTGTCGAGCCGACGAACCAGAACTACGGCATTATGTCGTACTCGCTGTGGATTATTGCAGCGACGTGGCTGTGGGCTCCGTTCTTCTTCAACCCGAGTGGCTTTGACTGGGACAAGCTGATCGAGGACTACAATGATTGGCAGAACTGGCTCAAGACGACGAATGACTCTGCTGCCAGTTGGTCGGGTTGGTGGTCCAATGAAGTGGAGTACCTGGAGCACTCGACAAAGGGCGCTCGTTTCGTGTCGATGATTCGTAAGACGCGCTTCTTCTTCGTCGCCTACGGTTTGTATCTGCAGTTGGCGTACAAGACGTACTACGAAGACCGGGATCTGAAGATCGAGAAGGGATCCATGATCTCCTTCGCACTCTCTGGTGCCATGTTCATCTTGGTGCTACTACTGCTGTGTTGTGGCTACATCGCCAGCCGTGTCAAGAAGAAATTGACCTTTAAGCAGAAGAAGCTACGCAAGATGAAGTTTGTGCTCTCTTGCTGTGGCCTGTTGGTGGCATGCGCGAGTCTGCTGGTCATCTCGCTCACCAATTTGCTGGAGATCATCATCATCATCTTGATCGCTGCGTACTGGTTCCTCCAGCTATGCGTCTACCGCAACCAGACGAGTCACGTGGTGGTGCGCGCGATGGCCCGATCGTACGACCGATGGACGGGCTGGATCATTTTGGGTCCGGTGCTCTTCATTGCCATGTTCTTGCCGTTCCTCTCGGCCTTCCAGCAGCGTGTCATGTTCAACAACGCGTTCACATCGGGACTAGAGGTGTCGAAACTCTTTGCGAACGAGGCGGCCTCGTCCACGAGCAAGATCGTCAAGGTTAAGCGTGTGGCCAAGAAGAAGAAACGAAGTGACTAGACGAAGCAAATCGTATTGCCCGCATCCAAGTTGGATCGTTTTGGAGTGGTGGCAAGTGTCTTTAGGAACTTTGGACCATTCCTGTGAATGCGCTGACGTCTGCTTTTTCATTCCATGATGCTTTTTGTTCGCACGCCCTATCCAGTATTTCAATAGCAAAACAATACACGCAATGAACATGCATTTTCATCTTTCTTCTTGTGAAGAAGCTCTTAATGAAACGTGTGTTGAGCGAGGACAGGCAAGATCGTCAGAGCGCAAGGTTGAGCCCCTAACGTCGCGACGTTTGTCTTCTCAAACAACGCTATCGCTGTCACACATGTAATGAAGCGGTGCTTGCATCAATTGTACATGTAGCTGTCACACAGCGGCGACCTAGCGCCAAGCTCCATTTACAGGAACTTGTAAAATAATAAGACAAAATAGTCCGATTACGCCAGCGCTTGTCTCACTTTGCGCCTCTTTTTATCGGATCTTTTCATCTCAATACGACGATCAAGTGTAACATTTGGCTACACTCTTTTGGTCTGACGACTGAAATGGATCCAGCGAAAAATCGCACGTGTCCTGAGCAACTGGGTGAGCGACATCGACGGCATCGAGTGGTGATTCCAGAGAGTAAATGGTCGTGTGGTCGATTTCATCCGTGCTATATACATGTACGCTATTTACAGGTCGCTCTGCCGTTTCTCCCTTCCAGCCTACACTTCGCCAAGATCGATATATCACCCAGCTCGGTTTCCTTGTACCTTGTGCCTGTATCGCCGACTATTTTTGATACTTCAGTATTAGATTGCTTGACGAGCGTAACGGATGACGGCCTCACACCGAGGCTTTCACCTCGGAATGCGTGCAAACAAACCACATGGGCCACTGACGCGAGCATTTTTCGCGGCGCAGTAAGGACCATGTGCACCTTTGAAATACAGTACCCCTAGCCTAACAAAGTAGTACAATGAATGGTATTAAAAGTGCGTCTAAACCATATCGATTAGTACTGATTCTTTGCCAAACTATTACTCAATCTAGAAGCGATGAATGTATCAGTGACAGAATCACGCCACGAGTATGGGAGCTACACAAGGACTGTGTCATTCATATTGCGGTAGTTTATGTGCTAGCAAATGATGTTGCAATTGAAAAAATGTTTATCCTGCTTATGGCTAAAGCTTCCCTAAAACTCATATACACAAGTATTAGGTTTGATTTGGTTCGTTGCATACTATTCTAATACTCCAGTCGTCGATCGCCAGTTCAATTCGCAGCGTTTTCGTCCCCACTTTTTAGGGATAGGGATGATGAGCTGGCTCCCTCTCTGAGCGGTTTTCCTGGGCCCTCCGCGGAAAAGGCGACGCCGGCAATATCCAGCAATTCTCTGCCATCATTTCCAAAGGCGATCGCTGCCCGGCTGTGCTTGTTGATACGAAAGACGAGCACAGGTGACTAGCGATGAATCGCCGAGGCCATGGAAACGGCAACGGCAGCGAACGCGAGGGAAGTTCGTTGGGCCTCATGACGGAGGCGCTCGAGATGCAACGCCAGATGTGCGATGAAGCCATGAGCCTCGTGAATGCGGGCGTAGCTATGCAGAACGCGTCGCCCCCCAACGTGGCCGAGGCCGAGCGCAAACTTACGCGCGCCGTGGATATCATGGAACAGGCGCTGAGCATCCGCTACCGCTCGGCGGACGAGAAGGACGCGGCCGACCGCCTCAATAACAAGATGATGCGCTACGTCAAGATGATCAAGAGCCAACGCGCCAAGAGCGTTGTTGGCGGTGGTCCCAAGGGACGAAACCTCATCAAGCACAACATCCTTGAGATGGAGCGACTTCCCGAGGTGTACACGCCTGTTCTGCAGCTGCTCAACAACTCGAACCAATTGGGCGACATTTGCGAGACGCTGAAGCGCACGTTCGGCTTCCAGGAGAGCAGTGTTCTCAACCAAAAAGAACACTTGTTGCTGTTGCTGACGAACTTTAAGGAACAGAGCGGTCAGGACGACGGAAAGAAGAAGAAGAAGAAGAAACAGGACGACACGGAGACGATTGATGACTATCTGCGCCAGCGCGACCCGCAGCTTGAGATGGATCTAGCCAATAAGGGCGTCTCGCGTCTCCACGGACGTATCTTTGCCAACTACAAGAAGTGGTGCAAGTATGTCTCTCAGAAACCCAAGTTCTCGAGCGATCCGCTGGTGGATATTGCGCTTTTTTTCCTCATTTGGGGCGAGGCTGCCAATTTCCGACAAATGCCAGAGTGTTTGTGCTTCTTGCTGCACACGATGCTGCCTAAAATCAACAGTGGTGGCAACGAAGAGCCCGGCACGTTCCTGGTCAACACGATCCGCCCCATGTACGCAGAACTGCGTCGTGACAGCGACAAAAAGACAAGCAAAGGAGCTCGTGCCCCTCACCGTGAAATTCGTAACTACGACGACTTTAACGAGTTCTTCTGGACCAAGAAGAGTCTAAAATACGACTACACGACCATCGGCGAGGCCTTTGCCAACTACGACAAGAAGGGCCGCCCCAAGATCGTCAAGAAAACCTTCAGCGAGACTCGAAGCTGGACGCGTGCAATCATCTCGTTCCGTCGCATCTTCCTGATGAACTGCGCGCTGTTTCTTGCAACTTTAGGTTTCTCAATCGATATGGTGCTCTTGTGTCCTGACTCGGCCATTATGTACGGCGAGGACGTGCAACCGTCTTCTGAAACAGGTGTGCTGGAGATCCTGGGCAAAAAATACGCTGCCACGACCGATTCTTCTTCCGTGGAGAACACGGACGACTCGCTCTCGGACGATATTAACACGGACAGTGGAGCAGGCTCGCAGTGTCTGTACGCCAAGCTGGCGACATGTCTGGGAGTGGAGTACTTCTCGTCGGCTTCCGACACTTTTGGCACGTTGCCGCAGGATTTCAAGGAGCTGATGGATATCGTGCCATTCACGAAATGTGTGGAGAAGACTGTGGGTCGCTGCAAATGCTACCACGACCTGATCGACGACTGCTTTAGTGACTCTGGTGACGCTGATGAAGTGTCGACTGCAGGCTCAGTGGCTTCTCTCTCGTACGACCAGAGCGTGTGTGCACCATCGTGGTTGGCGCAGGTGAACAGCATTCTGGACGACGAAGGCGACGGTCTCCTTAACTGTGGCAAATGCCAGATTGACATCACAAGTCTCTCCAAGAAACCGACCCGCATTATGGATATGATTCAAGGTATGATCGACTTTGGCCGCGATGATAAGGGACCCATGGCTCTCCTGGGCGGCGCAGCGATGATCGGACTGGTGTGTGTGTGCGAGCTGCAGAACCGCTTCTTCTCCGGTATTGGCATGGGCTTTGTGGGTCGTTCAATGCCTGTTCCGATGAAAACGTACTGTCGCTACACGTGCTTCTGGATCGTCCTCTATCTCGTCAAGCTAACGTTCGATTACCAATTTGTTGTCAAGACACTGGTGGAGACGACACTGTTTGTGTACTCAGCCAAGTCGACGGACTACCTCAAGTACTCGCACTTTATGCTCCAGACCACGTACCACAATATTGTGTACATTTTGTTCCTTTGGGTTCCAGCGTGGATGGTTTTCTTGTACGACGCACAGATCTTCTACTCAGTGTTGTCTGTCATCTACGGCTCTTTTGCTGGATTTAACCTGCGTATCGGCGAGCTGCGCTCGTTCCGTATTCTTCGTTTGACGTTCAAGTCGATCCCTGGAGTGTTCAACCACAAACTTGTGCCGAACATTGTGGAGGAGAAAGCCAAGAAGAAAAAGAAGAAAAACAAAAAGAACAAGAACGACAAGGACGAGATGGCCATGCCGTTGCGTCGGTTCGAGCGTATTTCGATGTCTCAGGGCGCCAAGCCGTTGACGGTGAAGACCCAGAAGTACTCGAGTCTGCTAGAACAGCGTGATGATGACGACGTGTACAGCGAGATGAAGACGCCGAACGGAACCGACGAAGACATGTCGTCGCAGTCGAGCCGCTCTTCGAACATCGGCTCCATCACGGGTGTGTCGGGAGCGGAGTTCGAACGCACGATTCCGTTTGCCATGGCGTGGAACCGCTGTTTGACTAGTCTGCGTGAGGCTGACGTCATCAGCGACCGCGAGCTGAATGTTCTCAGCTATCTGATCGACTCCAAGGACACCGTGGGCCGCAAGTTGTACCCGCCGGCATTTCTAACGGCTGGCAAGCTTGATGAGTCGATTGATATCGTTCTGGAGTGCTCTGCGCTGTACGAGAAGCTGAAACGGACAAGAAGAAGAAGGATAAGGTGCTTCAGAAAATCGAGACGACCATGCGTGAGCGTTTGACCAAGGACGATCTGCGTGTGGAGTCGATTCTCGGCTCCTACAAGTTCTCGTCGCAGGTTCTGCGCATCTTGCTAGGTGAGGAACACAAGGAGCTGGACGACTGCTACAACTTCATCGAGGAGATGGCGTCGCACCAGCAGATCCTCAAGGGCTTGAAGCTCGACAACTTGTATCTGTGCCGCGCGGCGGCAGCTGAACTCATGAAGTCCATCCTTGAGGTGCCCAAGAAGTCGACTGAGACGAGCATCAAGTTCCAGCGCGCGCTGTACAAGGTCATTGACTCGGTCGAGTCGGTGATTAACTGTCTCAAGATGGTGCTGACCAAGCAGGAGAACTTGGTGCAGATGCTGAATGACACGCCGCTGAAGCCCAACTCGTTCTTCTTCCCGGGTGACTCGCAGCACTACGCCAGTCTCCAGCTCCAGAAGATTGTGAACGACGAAGCTGCTCTGGACATCGTGTCGCGTGCTTACCAGCTTCTGACTGTGGATAACTTTGATGCTGAACCGCGTTCGGAAGAGGGACGTCGTCGCTTGCGTTTCTTTGCCAACTCGCTGTTCATGGACATGCCGGAAGCGAAGCCTATTCGCAAGATTCGGTCGCTCACGGTGTCAACCCCGTACTACAACGAAATTGTCATGTACTCGATCAAGGATTTGACGGCGCAGAATGACGACTGCATTAAGCTGCTGTACTACCTGCAAACCATCTATCCGTTCGAGTGGGAGAACTTGCTTGAGCGTATACAGGCCAAGGACATGAATGAAGCACTGAAGAAGAACCCGGAGGAGGTGCAGCTGTGGGCTAGCTACCGTGGTCAGACACTTGCCCGTACCGTGCGTGGTATGATGTACAACGCGGAGGCTATTCGCTTCCTGCATTGGCTGGAGATTGGCGAGAATGAGCCGATGCACCAATTGACTTGCTCGTGTAACAAATGCTGCAAGCTAAACGAGATGGTGGCTCTCAAGTTCAACTACGTGTGCACGTGTCAGATCTACGGTAAGCAGAAGGACGAACAGAAGCAGCAAGCACAGGATATTGACTTCCTGTTGCGTAAGCATCTGAACCTCCGTGTTGCTTACGTGGATGGCCCGAAGAAGGTAAAGGATGGTCCGCCCAAGTTCTTTTCGGTCTTGATTCGCTCTCAAGACGAGAAGATTGTCGAGATCTACCGTGTGGAGCTGCCGGGTAACCCGATTGTGGGCGAAGGTAAGCCCGAGAACCAGAATCACGCCATCATCTTCTCGCGTGGTGAACTGCTCCAGTGTATCGATATGAACCAGGATGGATACCTTGAAGAAGCTTTGAAGATGCCCAACCTCCTGTCGACCATGGACCGTGGCACTGAGAAGCGCCCGCTGACGATTATTGGCTTCCGAGAGCATGTGTTCACGGGCGGTGTGTCCAACCTGGCCAGTTTCATGTCGATCCAGGAACTGTCGTTCGTTTCGCTTGGTCAGCGTATGCTCGCTTTGTTCCACGTTCGTCAGCACTACGGTCACCCCGATATCTTCGATAAGCTGTTTGCCATGAGTTGTGGTGGTACTGCCAAGGCTTCCAAGGGTGTGAATCTTTCGGAAGATATTTTCGCTGGTTTCAACAGTACCCTTCGTGGTGGTCGCGTCTCGCACGAGGAGTTCATTCAAGTGGGCAAGGGCCGTGATGTCGGTATGCAGCAGCTGGCTCTGTTCGAAGCCAAACTGTCTTCGGGCGCTGGTGAAGCTGTAATTTCTCGTGATGCGATGCGAATGGCTTCTCGTTTGGACTTCTTCCGTCTGCACTCGTGGTTCTACGGTAACTTGGGATGGTACTTCACGCAGACGATGACTGTTGTGGGTGTGTACTTCTTCATCTACGGCAAGGTGTACATGGCTCTGAGTGGCATGGACAGCTACTTCCTCGAGAAGGGTGGTCTGGGTATTGCTGGCACGTTGAACACATCGTGGGCGTTCCAGTTTGGTTTCTTGCTGGTTGTTCCTGTTATCGCCGTCGTGGGTGTGGAGCAGGGATTCCGTCATGGTTTCACTTACCTGCTTTGGAACGTCATGACGTTGGGTCCAATCTTCTTCACGTTCCAGATGGGCACGCGTATGCACTACTTCGACCGCACGTTGATCCACGGTGGTGCCAAGTACCGCGCTACGGGTCGTGGCTTCACGATCAAGCACGAGAAGTTTGCCGAGCTCTTTCGCTTCTACGCGTTCAGCCACTTCTACCGTGGTGTTGAGCTGCTCTTCCTGCTGCTGTTGTTCCGTGCGTACGGCACTTTCTCGTGGTGTAACTGCTCATGGCGACTGGATGCCGATTTCTACAACAACGTTGAACCCACAGACCTCGAGTGGCGAACACGTTGTTACGATGACCACTACCAGTCGTGTGTGTTGCCGACGAACCAGAACTACGGTATCATGTCGTACTCGCTGTGGATTATTGCGGCGACGTGGATGTGGGCTCCGTTCTTCTTCAACCCGAGCGGTCTGGACTGGGACAAGATCATCGAGGACTACAACGACTGGCAGAACTGGCTCAAGACGACTAATGACTCGGCTGACAGTTGGTTTGGCTGGTGGTCCAATGAGCAGGAATACCTGGAGCACACGACTCGCGGTGCTCGCTTCATTGCTGCTGTTCGCAAGATTCGTTTCCTGCTGGTTGCTGTCGGTATGTACTTGAACATGATGTACAACGCGTACTTCGAGCGACCGAACAGGATCATCTCGTCGGACGACGATATGCTGACGTACGCTCTGTCCGGTCTGGTTATCGTGTTCTTCCTGCTGCTGATCTGCTGCGGTTACATCGCAAGTCGCGTGACCAAGAAGATGTCGATGAAGCAGCGCAAGTTGCGGAAGATGAAGTTCTTGCTGTCGTGCTGTTGCTTCCTCATCTCGTTGCTGAGTCTCACGGTGCTGTCGGTCGGCAATCTGTTCGCCATCTTCATTCTTTTGATGATGGCAGTCTACTGGTTCATGCAGATGTGCATCTTGCGTCTGCAGTACCACCACATCGTGGTTCGTGCTCTGGCTCGTGCCTATGACCGCGCCGTTGGTTGGATTGTGTTCGGGCCGATTATGATTGTATCGATGTTCCTGCCCTTCATCTCCTCGTTCCAGCAGCGTGTCATGTTCAACAACGCCTTCACCTCGGGTCTTGAGGTATCGAAGCTCTTCGCACACGACGTGGCGCCGGCGCAGGTCGTCAAGGTCAAGCGCGTGTCGAAGAAGAAGAAAAACCGCGATGATTAAGCTCAACCAGTTGCTAGGTGTCGTTCCACGGCTAGTCTAGCTATTTTGTATCTTCATAGAACACAACCACATTGTTCTCTGTTCTCCAAAAATGTACATGAAAAAATGGTATGAAATTGATGAACTTCTGCAAAAGATAGATAAGGGAGCTTGTCAATGGAATGTCTACTAGCCCTGCAATCGAGTGAGGTCTGGCGTTGACACAACATGACGCATGCCCACGAGTTCGGCAGCTGTACGAGTGTTCATTCCGCCATGAGGACTCACAGTATTCCGTTGTCCGAAAGGAGCGAAGTAACCTGACGCACTCATTGCTGGCACCCGGGTCTTGCCTACACCTGGTGGCGAGCCGATTTTGAGTTTGCTGAGAATCTCGGAGAATTTCTGTGTGTCCGGTTGGAAGCGCTTCAAGTCTAGATTTCTCCTGTCGCCCGAAGACTTTACTTTTCGAGAGCTCGAGGTTGATCCGTTTTCACTGCACTTTAACTCAAACGACGATCGCGACCGCACAGAAGGCATCGACAGTTCATTCGAGGGTGACGAGGTGTCGCTGCTTTGGTCCTCGTCGTCTTTAAACTCGCCGGATTCACTTTCAAGTGACGACATCGTGTTGCTTCGACGGCGTCCACTTTCATCTTCGTCCGCCACACGCGAGCTTCGAGTGCTGGAGTCACTCTTAGGGGCACTTCCAACATGAGTGGATGCGCCTACAGTGCCACCCGAACCAGCCGTAATTTCTCGCATCCGCATCACGTCAAACTCCTCGGCGTCGACTTCGTTATCAATCTCAATAGCCATCGCACTTTCAGTGTTTCCTCGCGCCATTTGAGTGGCCAGACTGTGGATAGCATCTTCAATCGCATGCATCCACTGCTCCTGGCGACCCCAAGTGTCTGTGAGCACAATAAAGTTCTTGTAGCCCTTCGATGAGAACTGCAAGCCATGTGCACCACTACCAGGACCCTCAGTCACACCGAAACTGTACCACTTTCGGACCGACGTGGGGATGACCCACTTCATACGATTCGTCCAGTTAGCACTTTGAAGCGTGTCACAGTACCAAAGTTTATCGCACACTTGGCACAATCCAAAGAATGTGATCGTGAACGTGAGCGCGTGGAATGGCATGGGCACAGGGAACTGAATAAAAGAGCTCACACGAGTGGGCTCCGGAATAGGAATATGGTCGTGGATCTTGTCCTTCTTGTACATGAAGCCCGTGATGAACTCGTCCGTGTACGTGACCTTGCAGTAATGACTCGCAGCGCCCGAGAAAATAGTCTCTAAGTAGCCAGTGTACTCGTCGACCTCAGCATTCGTAAGGGTTGTCGCCACATACTCAACTGCGCTTTGCTTTAGCTTCAAGCAACCGTGACACAGCGGCGCATTGCGCTGACCAAGTGGCAACATCTCAACACGGTTCTGCTCCGCCAGAACTTGCTCAAACTTCACCCACTTTTCGTGCTGCGACGTATACTGCCGCACGACATCTTGACATGTGATTGCCACGGATCCACTCCTGCAATTCGGGGTGCTACACAGCAAATACCATCAACTCGTTAGTGTAAGCAACAATACCTCGTCCCAAACTTATTTCAGGTAATACGTACTTTGTTAGCGTGAAAATACTGTTAGCGATTGTCGTCATGTGGCCCTTGTACTGCACTTGCTCGTCGTACGCACATATGACAAAGTCCAGGATATTCGCTCCCTCAATGAAAAGGCTGTTCAGCAACGGAGACGACGGCAGCCGCTTCTGATCTGGGTCCATTAATACAAAGCGAATGACGTCCGTGAGTTCGTGATGTAGCATACTGTTGCTAGGATGCGACGCGTAACACGCTAACAAACAAGGCATCAAGCCAAAGTTTGCCAATAGATAATCCACATCTCCACTTTGCACAAACACACAGCGCTTCAAAAATGTGATGATATGTAGCAGAGCAGACCCTTTCGTGTTCACGGCCTTGATACTCCCAGGATTGTACGAAGTGGACATCGTACGGAGCGCATTCACATCCGACGTAACCACTGCCCGACACAGCTTCACAAACTTCTCCACTCGAGGGATCAAAGCGGTTAAAACAGACACGTAGACCGACTTCAAGAGCCCATCAATCCCCGTAACATCACGTTTCTTCTTGTGGTAGCCGAGAGTGCTCATCAACATCATAACGATGGACAAAGCACCGCCCTCACGAACAACAAGCGACTTTGATCCTTGAGAACACTGACGACAAACCTCCGCAAAGCCCAAATCGATCAAAGTTCCGAACGAGACATCGGTTGTGTTGAGTAGGAAGATCAACAGCGACTTAAACAGCTCGTTATGGTGCAGAGGGAAGTGCTGGTCTGTAATCAACGGCAGCGAGTGGTCTGTGTTCTCCACGAAGGTAGCCACGTTGTTCATGATGTACACCGAAGGTGGGTAAATGATATAGTTGATCAGCGAGCAAATGTTCTCGATGGAATCTCGCTGAAATGCTGTCCCCACACCCCAGCCAAGCGTTCGCTGCCACGAATACAGCCGAGCAAACAAGCAGTCGAATATACCACTCTTCCGCACGTTGAGTTGACCAGCCTCCGACATGTCCGAGTACAATAACCACACGACAGTATCGCGAATGGAATCTAGTCCAATGTGACACACCAGCCAAGGAACGATAAATTGCCCTTCGTCAGCAAGGAAGCGCCACATCAGCTCTCCAAGATTTTGGTTCACGATCAAGTGATTGACGACCTTGCAGAAGAGCACCAACAGCACATCGTCCAGCGGATCCGCAGTACATACGAAGTTGAAAAGCACCTTCAGGTACCCGGACGAAGTCTTGATATCGTACGCGTCCCCAATGTTTAGTGTCCAGCCAGCACCACCTGGCTTGTAGCCCTTCTGAAAAATCTTTGGTGTGTACCATACAGCGACCTCACTGCAGAAATGCTGGACAGTGTATTTGCCGTAGGTGGGATCATCCGCAGGATCAGAGTCGGGCGACGAGACAGGAACCGTGAGCAAGCGAAACACTTCATAAATAATCCGAGGCTGTTCCAGCCAAATGCTCGACTTGTGCTCACGTATCATCTCTCGGTACAAAATGTCAACTGACATTTGGCTGCTTTTTGCAATTTCCAACAAATCCCGTAGCGTCGAGTTTAGCTTGGCAACCGTTTCCTCAATTTTGCGACGATGATTCTTGACGGATTCCTGGTGAACAAAGTACTGGTTAGAAGTCACGGATTCAACACAGTAAAAAATTGCCACGTACACTCTCCGCTTGCTCCCGCAAGTAGTCTTCAATATCGGTATATCCAGCCATACGTGCCAGGTGCTCAGCTGTGTGGCCATCGCGCTGCTCATTTCGCAACAACGTCAGCATTTCAACAATGACAAAAAAAATAACCACTGCCAGTACGGCAAGCACAAAGATTCAGCCACGTACATCCTTTGCGATCAGACTAGCTCCAGCCTCGACAAGAACTTTCACACAACCTAGATTTCCCGCACGTGCAGCTTCCATCAAAGCCGTTGTTGAGTTCGGCTGTATAGCATAAAAACAATAAGAGAGACATCGCTCGTTAGCAGGTTGCGGAACACCAAAGTACACCATACAGACTTTAAGCGTACACTTTGTATTTCAAGCTCCGCACCCCCGTGCAACAAAATCGAGCAGCACTCTTCCAGACCACCACGAGCAGCGATATGCAGCGCTGTTGTACCACGGCTCTACAGCAAAAATTCATAGTAGCTGTGAGTAAACAACATTTTCGCTTCCATAGTATTCACGTGACCCACGTACTCGATTTCTGGATAGGTTAATTCTTGCTCCCTTCTTGACCAGCAGTCTCACGCAATTCGCACGACCATCACGTGCAGCAACCATCAGCGCCGTCATACCATGTACCTAACAAGAGAGATGTGTCAGGTATGCCTTAATTCCTAACGCTGAATGAACAACTTACATCTTCCAAGTCGAGACTAGCTCCAAACATCAACAATGCTCGCGCTGCTTCCACATTTCCGACAGAACACGCCATCATAAGCGGCGATACACCCGTCGGCTGTCATTTTGTGCATAAGAAAAACACAGCATCAGCACAACTCAATAAATCACATAATAACCTCGGAAATTACCTTTTGCTCGTCCATGGAGACGCCAAGACTGTGCAAAATCTCAATACAATCCACATGTCCGTTTTCCGCGGCGTCACACAAAGCCACTGCTTTCGGGATATTCTATAAACAGCACAAACAAATAAATATCTAGCGCATCAATTATTGAAGAAAGCTCTTTGCCACTCACATCCACCACATTTCCTGTCGTGTCGATTTCCAGCAAGTGTCTTAGAAGTTCCACGTCGCCAGCTCGTGCTGCAGTCTGTACTCCAAAGTACACATCGTCCGGTACCACGTGCCTACACGCCTGTTCTCTCCAGAGCAGCTCGATTGAGATTCGAGGCGGTTTATCTGCCAGTAATTGGTCTGCGTGATACTTAGACAGCAGCACGATGGGGATGGATACACGCTGGCGTCCAGACGAGTGAAATCCGTCGAATAACGATTGAATCGCGTGCCTGTTGTCCGTCCTCTCGATGAAAACGATGCCTGTGACGCCAACAGCCAGTAGTCGCCGCACAATATCCGGGAAATGTACGCGGCCGCCTCGTTCGACTACTGCGATGTTTCCTAGCAGCTCCGTCTTGTTCCTGAGCTCTCCATCGGCTTTAGGCGGGTTTGTAAACACGGCGTTGCCAGGCAACACTCGTGGCGCGCGATCGTAGCGGTAGCTGGAGGGCTCTGCGAAATGGTAGCTGCTGGTTGTCACGGACGCGCTGTTCTTTGCGTCGATGTCCCCGGTAGGCTGCGACTTGGAGCTACGTTGCCAACAAACAAAGGGCACGCCGTCCCCGCGCGCGCCATTGGCCGTGGACTGCTCGTTGCCCATTTGGCGGGTGGGCCAAGCTTAGTGAGTGCGGAAATCGAGAAGCCTAATGCAGGAGTGATGGTCCTCGTATCCTCTGTGTTGAAGAACGAACGGCGCGCAGGCAAGTGTCACTACGCGTGAGGCGTAGAGTAGGCGGACAATGACGTTCGGCGTGCGTGGAGGAGGGTTTCCTTTGGCAAGCTGGCCGTTGCAATCTCTTTTTTTTTGGCTTGCGCTTGAAGATTCTTTTTTGACCAGGGCAGGAAGTGACTGAGATTTTGTAAGCTGGCTGACCAGCCGTTTACAACACGGGAAAAAAATTGTAAAGTGACCAATTGCATTTGTAAGTTACAAATGCAATGACCCCATTTTCCAAGGACATCGATGTTCGATGTTCTTGTTCTTGAATTAGACGAGTGCATGGCATATTTAGTTGAAAGATGCAATCCAAGGTGTGGATGTCGAAAGGGATGTAAACACCTTTATTATAATAATACATGTACGTAAAAACTGAGGCAGTGGCAATGAAAACAAGCGCTGCAAGCTGAATGCGGCCACAAAGCAAATGCTATACTGCGGTTCACAGCACACCTGTTTCAGTCTTGGAGTGAGTTGAGCCACAGCTCGCATCGCTAACATTGAGTGCAACAAAAGGTAAACAACGCGTTGATTCATTTATCTAAACGAATAAATACAGAAGTCCCCCTCAATGAGCGTAGGGGTCGTCTGATAAATTTGCATAGGTCAATCAATGCGATCTGGTGGTTTGTCTTTATTCCTCCAATTTCTGTGATTCGATATCACTGGGTATATCAAGTGTAAGTAGCGCTTCTTCAGGGGGACTTCTGTATTTTGTTACACGACAGACTTTGACATGGTAGAATATCGAGTCCGTTCGGACGATCAGTTTGTGAAACTTGAATGTTACAGTAGTGGTTGGCCAATTATGATAGATTTTTAAAGAGGTTTATCCAATCAAAGCTAAAAATTACATCTGTTTCAGATAAAGGCTTTAGTTTGGACACCTCGGACATATTAGGGGTTCTCAATTGTGCAGCAAGTAGATTTTTTTTGGTTGGCCGGCGTTTCATGCAACACCTTTTCAGCCAATCAAACACTTCGTAATTGAGGGCCCCGCTGCAGGTTTTTGTCAGTGCTGCAGCAAGTAGACTTTTACTTGGCGCCGACTCCAAGATCTTCGCAGAAGCAGATCCAGCATGCCAAAGCTGTCAGCTAAGCAGCGTAAGCTGCGAGAGCTACGAGAAATTATCGCCCAGCGGGAAGCCGCTGCTATCAACAGGGAGATACTTAGCGACGAGGACTCGGGAGAGGACGAGCTGGACGAGTACTGGGAAATTGAATACCTGCGTGCACAAGCAGCCAGATACGGTGCCCGGGCTTCTCATTATCGGCGTCGCAAAACGAAATGGCTAAAGATTCTACACAACCACCAACATAACAGCGACAGTGAGTTTCTCAAGCACGTTCGTCTCTAACGCCCCGAGTTTTTCCGTCTTGTAGCACTTGTGAAGGATGACCCCGTCTTTAAGACAAAGGGCGGAAAGCCATTTAAAGGCGGAGCGTGTCTCCACTTGATGGTTTTGCTTAAGTTCCTAGGAGCATATGGGAATGCCAATACTGCCCTTGATATTGGTAAATTTCTGGGGTTTGCGGAAGGTGGGTTCTACAACTATCTCGATAGAGCTGTCAGTTCAATTTTGAAACTTGAGGAGTCGACGATTACGTGGCCGAATGCGGTCGAGCGTCGCGAAATCGCTCATCGGATGAAAGCTAACTACGGCTTTGTAAATTGCGTTGGTATCACTGATGGCACCCTGCTGCCTCTAGCAACGAAACCGCGGCACAATGGCGAGGATTACTACAGCAGGAAGTCGTCGTACGCCGTCAACGCACTAGTGACTTGCGATGATATTGCCAGAGTGCGTAACGTCGTTATCGGGTGGCTTGGATCTGTTCACGACAACAGAGTGTGGTCAAACAGCCCAGTTTGTCAAAACCCGGACCTACACTTCGAGCACAACGAGTACCTGCTAGGTGATTCAGCCTTCCAAGCCTCTCGCACTATGATTCCTGCTTACAAAAAGCCTCCCAAGGCGGATATGCATCCTAGCAACAGCTATTTCAACAATCAGTTAGCGAAGGCTCGCATCAAGAGTGAACACTGTATCGGCCTTCTCAAGATGCGGTTTCAATATCTACGTGAAGTCCGCGTCGAGCTAGGGAAAAAAAGGAAACACATGAGACGTCTTATACGATATGTGAAGTGCGCATGCATTATACATAACTTGCTCGTCGCGCAACCGGTCCCCGAAGAGTGGCGAGCGGAGCTTGATAGCTATATCACAGGTGAACTCGATGAAGATGATGAACTCAATGCACCAGTGCCAGCAGGTGCTTCAGGCGATGAACGCCGAAACCAGTTGCTAGCATACATGCTAGAAATCCGTACTCAGCGGTAAGAGCGAGTCAATATCATCCATAGCAGCGCCTTCATTTTTGAGTTTGTTGCGTTCGCGCAAGAGGTTGATTTTTCTTTGTTGGCGCCAATGTTCTGTTTTCTGGTACAGCTTTGCAGCCTGTGCGGTGGCCTCTTGAACGCGCGCATTCACCGCTAGAGAATCGTTTTCCAGTTGCTGCTGGCGAGCTACCACTTCTTGCTCGTGAAGCTGAACCTGACGTTTTCGCACTTCTAGCTCCATTAATTGAAGCTCGCGATTTTGAGCAAGCTGGTCTTCTTTGAACTTCATGAGTGGATTTATCTCTGCGTCGCTGCGTTTGCGCTGGCGTTTTGACTGCTTTTCAGCAATAGAAATTGGTGTTGATGAAGTTCTCTTGGCAGACGAAATTCCTCTGGAGACACTGGGAGGCTTAGAAGGTTCAGCCTCGCTTGAATTGGAGCTGTCATTCTCTGTGTCGTCTTTGTTGACTGCTTCATCTGTGCTAAGGAGCTGAGGCTGTGTACTATCCCGGTTGATCATGATATTTCGTAGTTGGAAGTAGAATGCGCATCGACGCAACAGGGCATCGCGAATGGTGGGTTCATCGTAAGCGACACCTTGTCCTGTGCAGTTTCGTCAGTCCTCTGCGTTTCTGAACAGTGTTTCCAGCGAACTTATCTTGTTTGTGATGTCTTTGATTGCTCGTTCAGTTGCTATGCCTGCAGCAGCAATTTTAACTTTGACTTCCCCAGCTATAGTGGCTTTCGTCTCCCCAGTCTGGCTGTCTCCACCTCGGTAACGGCTGTAGTTATTGCCATCTGTGAGCCAGTCCATGAGCACGCTGATAGAGCTAACATCGGGCGTTGGTCCGTCGTTGTGCCAAAGCACTCGCTTGTTTGACTGCATTGTAAGTGAAGGGGTCTGCTTTGTAAGCGCATTGTAGCAGCGCTTACTACAAGCGGTCTTGTTGAATGTGTCGCTTGCTCCAAATAGAGACAGTATCGCAGCAGCGCATGCTGCGTGGACAGCACGATCACAACCTACTTTACTGCATCCTTTAATCTCGCCCCCACCTGCGTTTTTTGAGACCTTCTTGCAGCCTCTCCAACAACACGCATTATCTGAGGGTTCATCACCAGACTGCGCGAAGGCCACTTGAGATGATGCTCCCTCAACGTCACTAGTCACTGTCAGGTTCAACTGGCTTTCGTCCGTGGTGATCACCTCTTGCACCGGGCTTGCCGGTGTCGCGGACTGCTGTTTAGGAGCAGTCATGCTCACCAGAGCACAGTGGGGCACACGTCGCGTTTATTTCGAATGGGGTGCGATCTTCGGCCGGTGCCAGCAAAAAAAAAATCTTCTTGCTGCAAGCCGTCCTGCATCGATTTTGATGCAGAACGGGAAAAATGTGCTTGGCCAATCAGATGACCGGAAAAAATTCTACTTGCTGCACGAAAAAAAAAATATTACTTGCTGCACAGTTGAGAACCCCTATTGTGTCCGATTTTTTATAATATTAAATATTTGTTTAACAAAGTCAAGTCAAATGAATAGTATAAAAATAGCATGAAAATTCGGACAATGATCAATTTTGAAGGGTTTGGCAAAAGAGAAAGCACTAGCCATTCAAAGAGTCGTCAGCAGTCGCATATGTCAACCAAGTCGTTGATACCAGAAAACTCCCAGCGGGCATGCCTGACGGCGCTTAATGCCTTCGAGCGCTTCGCGGTGTCCGAAGGCCTAACCGTTAAGCAGATATGCGAATTTATAGGCGCAGATAGCTCTGGCGATACTCTCTACACGGTGCTCGACAAATTTGCAGTTTTTCTCGCGTTTCAAGAGAGCTCCAAGGGTTCTGTGCTCTCTAAAAATTATATTGCTAGCTACTTTGGCAACGTGAAGAATTACCTTTTGGAGATTTTCTCAGCGTTGGTTGCAGTCTCGAGCAAGCGCTTGCAGAAGATTGCATCAATACTCGACAAGTATTGCTCGAAACGAGGCACAGACTTTACCCATCAAGCCCTAGCATGCACCAAAGCGGATCTCCGTGCGCTATCGACAACGATTCTCAAGGGCGCTGTATCACCTGATGACTACAAGGACGCTGCTCTACTCAATCTTTTGTGGTATCTCTTAGGGAGGTCATCAGACACGATGTGTCTCGTCAAGAGTCAGGTTGCAGTGTACCCGGGTACGTTCAACCTTGAGGTGCTTAAACATCTATTTGATACTAAATGTTTGCATCATTTGCTAGGAGGCTGCCTATTCATCAACTTCAAAAGAATGAAATCCGCCACAAACCAGGAATCTTCTCTCTTTAGCGATCCTTACGATTTTACGTCGTGTCCGATTCACGCGATAGCAATTGCAACAATTATGCAGACTTCCCCGAGTGAATTTTTGCTTAATCAGCTACCGCGTGAAACAGTCGGAATACAAGAAGCAAGTATGACCAACATTCGTGTCCTCCCAAGGTGGAGCTCAGCTACCTCGGCGAATGGCTGCAAGCTGACGAAGGGGCTTACTTCGCACTCGTTTCGAAGAGGAGCTGCACAGAATGCCAATGGTGACTGCAACATAAGTACACCATGGATTGTTGATAGAGGCGGATGGAGCATGAGTGCAGTGAGTAAGGCATTCAACTATATTGTAAGTACCACACATGAAGATCAGACCGTCGGAAAGACTTTGGCTGGGTGGGGGATCAAGGACAAGCCTCGACTACCTACATTGACCATCTTCGACGCTGTAGTCGCGCAACGGGTCCGTCTGGTGCAAGAAAGTCTATTAGCAAGTTCCCTTGGGCTTCATGACGCATTCGGTTTGAGAGAAGATGTACTGGATGTGCTAACGGCGTCCGCTGTCTTGCACTACCCTGACATGGCTAAGCTCGCACCACAGTCGCTCTACATCAAGCGCGTACAGCAAATACTGAGTCAGAATCAAATTTCAGAGATGGAAATTACTGCATGGGCTCTCACCATTCACGCGGACGTGGCGAAACAAGAACGGAGTTGCACACTCACTTCAGTCGCTGAAAACGGGCTGCAGGCAAGCGTTGAAGACTACATGCGCAAGCAGACCACCCTCCTTGAGCAACAAACGTCTCTGATTAGTGAACTGACCACACAAGTCAATTTGTTAGCTGATAGAATGCGTCAGCTGAAAAATGGTTTTTCGTACGTACCTGAGCATTCCAAGATAGCCGAAGCTGTAACGGGGTACGTAGCCCTAAGTGTACCCTGGTTACATAAAGTGTGACACTTCACACTTCAGGAGTATGACACTTCATACTCCGGGATAATTGGTACAAGGTACCAAGGTCGTTCAAAGCCAACCATTGGTTAAATGACATTGCATTTCTATAGGTAACTAATAGTTTGTATTAAACCCAAACTTAACCTACCTAAAATATATTCAGTTAACAATCTACCTTATTTAGGTCACTTTGCTCTCTTTAATTAAAGAGGGGACCTGTGAACTGCCGTTCACTGAGAGTTTGTATACTCTCGGAAGATAACTTCCTCTAGCGCAAGGTGCTGTGTGACCCCGTCACAGAAGCAGCCGAAGCAGCCGCAACACCTTTTTCACAGATGAGAACTCAAGGCAAGACCCAATCGAGAGCTAAATCTCCTTCGTCGGTCTGGTACGAATGGCTTTGTGACCTGTCACCATTTACACACACCAACAGAAGACGTTATCATGAGTGCAAGGTGACGGTGGCCTTTATGCGGTCATTCCTACCAGATGGATATAACGTGATTAGTGACGACGGTCAACTCAAAGCACGGATCCTTCAATCAGGATTGGAAGCAGAGGCAGGTATTCAAGCGCTTCTAGCTGAAGAAAACGTAACGGCAAAGTCGTACGGGACCATCGTCAAGGTCTTGAAGCGCCTTCATACAGACTGCAAGCTCAACAACCACATTGCCCGATTTCAGACGCTTCAGCAGCAGATTCTTGTCCTTAATCCTACGCCCCCGAAGTCTCAGCATGTGCTTCAGCTGTGCTACCCAATGCAACCAAGTCAGCCGTGAGTGTTGCATCATCGTAGAAGTTTATTTACCGACAGCATTTCCACAGAACGCGAGTTTTTTTAAATGAATCACAGCACTGCAGGAAGTTCTCTGCTCTACACAATAAACTATTCATTTAACACAGTTAGTTCAATTGTAACCGTTAATTTAACAAGTTCAGCGCATTAACCTTAGCACAAAACTTACTCGGCTACGTCATTGTTGACGTCGACGTCACCACCAGCTACCTGCTACTGTATGTCCATCCCATCCCCGATCCGACGACACCAACCTCTAGTCCAAGTTGCAGCCACTGCTGGTGGCCATGAGGGCCATCATCCCCTCTAAGCCAGGGCCACCAACGTCCCCCAAGCTCCTGCTGCTCAGGCCACCGCATGAGGACCTGGGCCATCACCTTTCTCAAGCCAACGCCAACAGCTTCCAGTCAAAGCTCCTGCTGCACTGACCTCTGCACGTGGCCCTGAGGGCCATCACCTCCCCCAAGCCGACGTCGCCAACGTCCAGTCGAAGCCCCTGCTGCTCCAGAGGACCATCACCTCCCCAGAGCCAGAGCCACCAACGTCTAGTCCTAGCTCCTGGTGCTCAGACCACCGCACGAGAACCTGAGGGCCATCACCTCCCTCAAGCCAACACCGATAGCTTCCAGTCCAAGCTCCCGCAGTCCCGAGCCGCGCAGCCGTCGCCGCCGATGTCCCGCTGACTATCCAATTATGTTGTGTGTGCCACTACTTTAAATCGTACAATATAATAAAACTTAATTTCACAGATTGTCCGATCGTTTTCTTCTCGGACAGATTTTGTCCGAATTTTTACGG